TTTTTAGTTTATTGATTTTAGATATATCTTTTAATATGATCAACATATCATCGGCATAAAGTAGTAAATAAAGAAAAAAATAATTTGACAACTTTTTAAAATAAACACAATTGTCAAATTTACTATAAGAGAATTCATGTTGTGTCATAAATGCATCAAATCTCTTTTACCACTATCGAGAAGATTGTTTGAGATCATATAGAGATTTCTTCAACAAACAAATATGTTTCTCTTTTTCTTCAACAAGAAAGCCTTCTGGTTGTTGTATATAAATGTGTTCTTCAAGATTGTCATGAAGAAAAATTATTTTAGCATCTATATGTTCTAACTCTAAATTATATGATGCAACAATAGATAATAGAACACATATAGAGATGTGCTTCACAACAGGAGAAAAGATATCATTATAATCAATACCTTTGACCTAATTGTAACCTTTTGCAACTAATTATAATTTGTATCTAATATCATCAGAGTTTAGAGTACCTCCTTTCTTCTTGAAAACTCACTTATAGTCAATGACTTTCTCTTCTTTAAGAGCCTCCACTAACTCCCAAGTCTGATTTTTATAGAGAGATTCAATTTCCTCCTCTATAGCAACTAGCTACTCGTCTACATCCTCACAAGATATAACATTTGAAAACTTGAAAGGCTCATTTTGGGTCCAAAGTTTCTTCACCAATAGTCACTACATAAGTGACCATATCAATATATTCATATTTCAACAATGGCTTAGTATCTCTCCTTAATTGGTCATGAGTAAGAGAATAATTTTAATTTTGTAGAGATATCTCCACATGATGCATGTTAGGCACTAAGATATGTTCTTACTAGGAATACATCTTATGTGAATCATATATACCTAACTCCACCTGATTTAGAGTATCGTCATTTGAACCTATAATTTTAGGGGCAGACATCTTTTCTCTAAGATGTAGAATTATAGCTTTATCAAAAATAATATTTCTCTCAATTAAGAGCTTAGGAGATTTAGGATCAGGGAGCCATAACTTGTATCATTTGACTCTAGAGGCATAACTGAGGAAGGTACACTTTTTAACTTTAGGCTCCAACTTACCATCATTTACATGGACATATATTGGACAACTAAAGATTTTTCAATTTGAATAATCAAGAGGGTTACCAAACTAGACTTCTTTAGGAGCTTTGAAGTTAATGGCAAAGGTTGGAGATCTATTCACAAGATGACAAGCTGCAGACACTACTTCTACCCAAAAGTCTTGATCAAGCTTGCAGATAATAGCATACAATGAGTTCATTCTAGTAGAGTTCTATTCATTTTTTCTACAACATTTTTTTGTGGAGTATAATGAATTGTCTTATGCCTGTCAATACCTTTGTTTTTGCAAAAATCATTAAATTCGGTGGAGTAAAACTCTAGATCATTGGTAGTCCTCATCCTTTTGATTTTCTTTCTAGTTTGTCTTTCGAGTAAAACCTTGCATTGCTTAAAATGCATAAAAACTTTAAATTTATACTTAAATATGAATACCTAAACTTTTCGAGAAAAATCATCAATAAATATGCAAGAAGGACCCCAAAGATCTAAGTGGATATAATCAAGAGTACCTTTGGTCTTGTGAGTTACCATTTGGAAGCTAACTCTTTTATGCTTACCTAAAATACAATGCTCACAAAATTCAACCTTGCTGATTCTTTACCTACAAATTAAGCCTCTCTTGCTTAATAGATTCATTCATTTCTCGCTCATATGTCCCAACCTCATATGTAACAATTTGGTGACATCTTCTTTTATCATTGAAGTAGATGTTACAACGATTGAACTAGAAACAGTGGTCCCTAATAAGGTGTAGAAGGTACTACATCTTTGTCTTTTCATCACAACAATGGCTCTTTTGCTGACTTTTATGACCTCATTTTCACGTAAATATTTGCAGCCATTAGCTTCAAGAGTGTCCAAAGAAATGAGATTTTTCTTCAAATCAAGAACATACCCAATATTAAATAATGTTCTTGTGATATCATCAAATATTTTGATACAAACTATGTCAATACTAATAGACTTATATGAGGCATCATTTTCCATTAAAACATTTCCACTATTGATTTGCTCATAAGTGGAAAAATACTCTCTATGAGGAGTCATATGGTATGAACAGCTTGTATCTAAGATCCAATCATCTTTGGATTTAATGGTATAAACAGAAAGAACAAAATCATAAGTCTTATCTTTGCCAACACTAGCATGTGCTAAACTTTCAATACGATTAGACTCTTTGAAGTCTTCTTGCTGCCTTCTCTTGAGTTTACAATAGTCAACCTTCACATGTCCTTTCTTGCGACAATAATTACATAACTTATTTCAGATTTTGATTTGGATCTTGACTCACCTCTATTTTCTTCTTGACTTTTCTCCTTAAATCTACTTCTTATGATCAAATCTTCGAGTTGTTGTCCTTCCGAAGTAATAGTCATATTGTTGTCAATCAACTCTTTCAAAAACAAAGAAGATTTAACATCTTTAATAAATATAGTATCTCTACCATATAATAAAGTTTCTTAAAAGTGTCTATATGACGGTGGTAAGGAACATAGGAAAAATATGACTTGATCTTCCTCCTTTATTCTTTCATCAATATTTTATAAATCTAGTAAAATAGAATTAAACTCATCAAGATGAGTTTTAATTGACGTACCTTCTACCATCTTAAGTATGAATAGATGTTGCTTTAGAAATAGTTTGTTGGTGAATGATCTGGTCACATACAACCACTCCAACTTCAACCATAGTGTAGCTATTGTAGTTTTATGAATGACCTCACGTAAAACCTCATTAGATAACCTAAGTTAAATCATAGTAAGAGCCTTTTCGTTTAATTCTTATTTTCCTTCTATAGACATAGTGTTTGGTATTTTCTCTTTTCTCAATAATACTTTATGTAGCCCTTGGTGGGTCAAGAGGGCTCTCATCTTGACTTGCCATATTCTGAAGTTGATACTTCAATCAAACTTCTCAATATCAAACTAAATAAACATCTTGTATCTCTATTTGTGTTGAAATAAAACTTTAATCAAGCTATGATACTAGTTTGTTAGGAAATAGTACTTAGAACAAGATCTTAATGGGCTTGGACTGATCTATCAGTGTAATGGAAACTTGAGAGTATAAGTACAATAAGTTTTCTAATATATAAATGATAATAAAAATATAAAATGGACTATAATAATACATGACTTTGATTATTGTGATCTAAAAAAGATAAACACACCTCACGACTAGTTAATGAAATAGAGAAAAGAGTAATGATAAGGTCTAAAGAATAAAATATAGTAGAGACAAAGTTAATGAAATAGTAATACCAGCCATCGGTGGAGGAAAAAGAGAGAACAAAAAGAGGGAGATTACATCGTTGTCAGCTGTTACATAAAAAAAGATGGAAACATGAAGTCAACAAACATGGAGTCCTATTACATCTTTCAATAATATTGCTTACATTATTATATATAAATAATGTTTGACCGCTTTCCAATGTTGATGAATATCGTTCACACCTGCAAAGCTGTCAACTTTGCAGATTATGGCCCGTGTTCAGGTCAGCGACGGAGGATGGCGCGACGGCGGCAGCGGCGACAGCAGGAACGACGTGTTGTTTGAATTACCATCCGAGACTTTGTACTGCATCTCCAACATTAAGCTGAAGCTTCTGGGCGGCACAGCAACGGTGGTTCTCGGTGCCGCCCCCACCGGAAACGTCTGGGGGCCGATCCTTGCCTACTTGCTTCTCTTTGCCATCGCTCGACTGGTGAAGATCCTCTCCGCCCCCCAGGCTTCCCGAACGCCGCCAGCTTCCGGTCTTGGCCTTGTGCTTTGTCACCCGAGTCGCTGCCGAAGGTTTTCAGGTGGCGTGCATCCCGATCTTCCTGAACCCTATCCGGGAAGCCATCTCCTCAGGTCTGGTGAATCTCCTATCCGCTCACTCCTAACGCGAACAGAATGAAAAATCTTCTTCTTCTTTTTCTTCTTCTTCTTCTTCTTCTTCTTCTTCTTCATCTGCTGAAGAAGATCAGAGGATCGCACTCTCTCTCTCTCTCTCTCTCTCTCTCTCTCTCTCTCTCTTGCTCGCTGGTTCGCTGGTTGTCTCTGCGGTGGTTGGGCCACACGTGTGGTCAGTCTTCGTAGAGACTGCCCAGCCCACCCTCTTCCTTCGTCTCCACACAGAGTACGTGGACGGCGCCAACCGTCCGCAATTTCTCAAAACAAGGAAAATGGGCCGGTGTCTCGAGTTGTCGGACCATTAGGGCTACAACTTGGACCAAATTCGCGAGGCCAGTCAAATGCTGCCGGTGCCACGTGGACTTACTATCGTTGTTTGATCGTTACGACCTGTCAGTGGACGTTGACTTCTGTGGCTGGGATTTCACCATGGCCAACCCGCGCTCCAGAAATACTCAAACAACGATCACTGCGAGTATTCACGGCGGTTGGTGGAGAAATTGCCCTCTTTACAGAGGATAGGAAGCTTGGCGGAAGCCTTTTCGAACATCACAACCGTGAGGCAATTGAGGTACCCTATCTGATCTGTTTGACGATTGGGACCGCTTCTACTGGTTCCTCTCGCTCCTCACTGCCGCCAACTTCCACTCTTCGTCATCCTCCGTAAAAATTCGCGTTCATTGGGAAGTTTGACCGACCTCATTTTTCAACGTGGAACCACGTCACCGTACCTCGAGATCGTTAGGTACACGCGCAACGATGCTTTGGCCAAGATTTATTGGGCCACTCTCAACCGGAATGTAAGACGGGGATGGCCCAAAAAAGCTAAGGCGGCCTCAACCATATGTTGACACGTGACTCTCTAAGGGTTGTAGGATTCTCTTGCCGTGCCTTGGGATCGGACGGCTGAGATATCGGGAGTGGGTATGCGTTATTCCCTTTCTCCGTTGAACGAAGCAGGAGGAGGAGGAGGAAGCGGGGAGAAGTGCGGCGGCGGTGGGAAGGACAGGAGAGAAGAGAGACGATGTCGTCGGGGGCGGCGGTGCCGTTCTGGAGGGCGGCGGGGATGACGTACATAACCTACTCCAACATCTGCGCCTCTCTTGTGCGGAACTGCCTCAAGGAGCCGCACAGGGCCGAGGCCGCCTCCAGGGAGAAAGTCCACTTCGCCGTCTCCAAGTGGGTCGACGGGAAGCCCGAGAAGCCGAGTTAGTCTCTCTTTCTCTCTATCTCTCTCTCTCTCTCTCTTTTCGTCGACGCACTGTTCTGATCTCTTGGTTTATTGTGATCTTGATCCGTGATGATTGCCGCCGCATTTTTAGGGTTCCATTTCCGATCTTTGTGCAGACCTCGTGTTCTCTCAGCTTTTTATTTTGGGGCTTTCGACTGTATCTTCTCTCAGAACCGTATGCTTCCCGCATTTTGTGCCAGTTTTCGATATGCTAGTGTGTATGCATCTGGGATCTGATCCAGAGAAGTTTCTTCTTCCTTGTTGTATCCATTGGGTGACATTATTCTATCCATCAGTAGGAAAGTGAAAGGTTACGGAGAAGATTAGCCCTGTTCTTTGATGATTCACGTTCAATGTCTCGGTCTGGTCTTCGATTGCTAGCCGTCTCTACTCGTCGTGATGCAGAGATTTGACTCTGTTTGGCTGGCTCGATTACTTCATCCATCTCATGCCCACCACCATACTCCTATCTACTTTTCTTTGTTCCCGTTGGGCTCTAGTTGACGAACAGGGTTATGTTGCAGACATTAATTTTCTCTGGTAGATGAAAGTAAATAGCCGACAAATACAGAGTACACTGCTTTTCGGAGAAGAATGTGTCTCGGCTACTACAGAAGCTCTATTCGGTTCTATGATTTTATTCGGTGTGGCATTGATTTTGCATATTTCTCTGAAGTACCCACATTTGCATTGTTGAATCTTACATGACTCTTCCACAGCATTTTGCTGATTCCTAAAGTAAATCCATTCGCATTTTTCCGATTCTCCTGCATGTATTCTTGCCTGATCGAGAAAAAAATTCGCTATCTATTGGTTAATCAGTCGCCTTTCGTCCCTAATTTTTGGTGGGTGGACGCCTTCATTTGAATCAAGGCCGTCACTGGGCAGACAGAATCACCCCAATTCATCTGCCATTTAAAGATATATATATATATATAGATGTATGAATATCTTCATAATTTTCATTATGAAATAGGTGCAAATGATGAACTATTTTTTGGTAAGAATTTTAATAAAAGGTAGCAATTCAAGCCCTCCCATCTCCCCCACCCTCCCTGCCAAATCACTGAGTAACCGCTGTAGAGGCAGAAGCTGCTACTGCTTTCAGAAAGAATAGGTTGTCAGCTACTACCAGCTGTCGCCACTGCCCCATGTCTGTGGCTACTACCTTTTTCCATCCTCGCTTTCCTTTTTCATGTTCTGCAGAGCTCTTTTGCTCCATGGTTTAACTCGTGTAAAAATTCCATTGGGAGGCATAATTTCAGCGCTGAAAACCTGAACACGACTGAAAGCATTCCAAAGATCAGCGGCCCTCAAGTTTGTGAGTACTAGAGGCATATTATTTCAGCGCTGGTGATTGATGAACAAAAAATTTAGGTTGACCAAAACTTCTCCCGAGTTTTCAATTACCTTTCTTGTTTACATAAAATAATAAAGGACGAATGCTCTTCAGATTGTCACCTGGGTGGAGATGATGTACATGAAATTAACTATCAGTGCAAATGTTTGAAGAATCAAGAAGGGAATAAATTGGTTCTTAAGAGCTGTTGCCTGGTCTCACTCGTGGTTTGACTTTTGCTGATAATATGCAACACAAATCTCTTTTCAGCGAGCTTGTGTAGGATCCCTCATTCTTTTAAAAGTATCACAAATAACAGTGAATGTCTGCCATGTAATCAATGAAGTCATTCTCTCGCGGACTGAGCTTCTGATCTGGTTCAGCAATGGACCAGAGAGAGCTGTGCCTTTAGGAGCTTTAGGGGAGAAGGGGGGGTGGGGAGGTTCATCCATGGAAGAGGAAGGGAGGGGCAGCCCTGTGGATATTTTCAAGCCCGGGCCTGCCTACTTGGGGATGCGCGATCTTCACAAATTTTCCTATATTTTGTAATATTTTATTTTGAATGTGTGAATATTTGTATCCATAATATTTGTCTGTCTCGTATTTAATTGCATCCTTGATGAGTGAAGTGAGGAAAACGGTACAGCGTTCATCAATAGTTTCACGTCAGATGGTTTCATTTGGTCTTATAACTGATCTTCACTCACCTTTGCTTTCTGTTCTTCAGCCCTTCGCTCCGACTCTGGTGAAGACTGAAGCCTGTTTTTCGTGGAGACAAGATCTCTTCTGAGATTCCCATGATTCCACATCCAGAGGACTAGCCATTTTGTTTGCAAAGCAGAAGTTAACGCACTGGACTCTTGTGATGAGCATGTGTTGCTACAATAAAGAGTCAACTCTTCTTTCAATGTTCTTCATCTGTTGGAACCTCCTTTTTCTGATGATCCGATGCCCTCGTGGGGCTCTTTCCTTGGTTTCTGTCGAAATTACTTCAATCATGGATTGGGATTTGTTCAAGAGACCTCTTTGACCTTCATCATGCAATGCTGCAATGAAAAGGGCCAACCCAGCTCTTCTGGGATTCCCATGATTCCACATCCAGAGGACTAGCCATTTTGTTTGCAAAGCAGAAGTCAACGACTCGACTCTTGTGAGGAGCATGTGATGCAATAATAAAGAGTCAACTCTTCTTTCATTTTCTTGATCCGTTGGAACCCCTTTCTCTGATGATCCGAAGCCCTATTGGATCTCTTTCCTTCAGTCATGAATTGGGTTTTGTTCAAGAGACCGACCTCATTGACCTTCATCATGCGATGCTGCAATGAAAAAGGTCAACGCAGCTCTTCTTTCATGTTCCTTATCAGTTGAAAAAAAAACCCAACTTTGGTGAGTCCTAATCCTGAGTAAGATTCTCACTTTTCTGGAAAATTTTCAGATGGTCTTCTTCATCAAGAACTGGGATTTGTTCGAAGTCAAATTGTTTGACCCAGAAGTCAACGGGTCGCATGGTTCCATCTGCCTGGTTATCTCTCTTTATTAGTCATGATTAATCTCAGCTATCATTACACCTAATTATTCATGACAATCCCAGTCTCCTAATGCACATAGTGAGCTAGAGAGAGAGAGAGAGAGTGAGAAACGGGCCGGGCCGAGGTCTAGAAAACTGGGATATTACAGGTCATAGCAAATGGACGGTTTGGGTGTGCCAGTTCAATGGACTCCATCAGCGGGAACACGTTATGTTCCGTTGTTCCGCGCGGAAGAACAAGAGCACGCATCGGTCACGCCAGCCGCCACTTGCCATTAGGATACTCCTCTCTCTGCCTGGCCATGCTTCTGAGGTCTGCTCTCGAGGAGTGAATTGTGGGAGAGGATCGGTTAACCGGCGTAGGGGGAGAGCGGGGTCGAGGAGCGATTCGGGCTAGGGGTTCAGCTGCCATGGCTGGTCCCGGCATTCACCCCTACCACCAGCCTTGGGCGCCTCAGCCGCCCCCTCCGATTCCCGTGGAAAACCCTAGCCGAGCTTCCATGGACGAGGTGAGAAACGTCTTTCAATGTGCGGCCATCTGAAGATTTGATGTGTATTCGATTTTATTGATATTTAATGTTTGAGCGCTTTGCAGGTGCGAACGGTATTCATAACTGGTCTTCCTACGGATGTGAAGGAGAGAGAGCTCCAGAACCTGCTGAGGTGGCTGCCGGGTTATGAGGCGTCTCAGATCAATCTGAAGGGCGAGCAACCCATGGGCTTCGCCCTGTTCTCAAGCCCTCAGGCTGCCATGGCTGCCAGGGATGCGCTCCAGGTATTTAGGCATCGTGTCCGTTGGGTATTTGCGTGGTTCTTTCTGGCATCGGTTTTGACTCTTTCGGACATTTTTCTTGGGCCTAGAACATGGTGTTCGATGCGGAGTCGAAGTCCGTTTTGCACACAGAGATGGCGAAGAAGAATCTTTTCGTTAAGAGAGGTCAGTTTTTTCAGATATTCGGAAGGTTCATCCTTTTGGACTAATCTATCATATCATGATTATATATGTGCCCAGTCTGTCTGATTTTCATAGGAATTTGGCGTAAAAAGCTTACACTAGGATTTAGACCCATCAGTCATGCATTCCGATTGCCAGTGTTTGAAAATGCAGTCATAACAAAACTTTCATACATTTATGATCATAAGTTTAGAATGCTAGAACACAAACTTGCTCAGTGGCGAGCAGGTGGATGTGACTTCTTGTCGAGTTTCAGTTCTGTCCGAACTAGCCGATGGATGGTGTTGGCCTATTTGAAAAGTCAGTTCTTTAATTTCTTTTTTCCTTTTTTGGACATGGGTGTGGGAATTAAGTCCTGAAGGTTATTTTTCCTAGGATTTGCATCATCGAAAGAAGTTATTTAAGGGTAAATGCCGTCCATTCCTGCGCGTTTAGTATACTAGGAAGCCGGTACTCGGATTGGATTTCACTCTGGATATTATCAGTTAACCTTCATTTAAAGTTATTTTTGGGGTAGAACTGAAATTTTCCAAGCTATCCTAATTGCTAAAGCCTATTGTCTCAGTCCATGTTATCCAGACGATTACCCCCTCCCCATGTCAGATTTGCTACTACTGAATGCGGCCGGTCGATAAGTAGTGATCCTGAGTTGCTGCTGAGAACTGGTTCGTGGTGTTCTTGCAGCTGACTACGTATCAATTTAACTCATTTGGCATCGTGTGGTATCCCATGTAGAGAATTCGGGGTTTGTAAAAGACAACCAGCTGATATCAACCATAGATATAATTTATTTATCATGTTGATCAGTAAGATTCCTATCATTTCATCAGACGCATTCTTGTTTATTATCTTCACTTTAGAAAAAAATATATTTATAGAAATTTAATACTTCTTTAATCATGCAATTCATGTTTTTCCAATTTTTAAAAATAAATTACCAGTTAAAAGGAAATCCCATCTTTTCTGTCCCTCACATATTTCTATGAGCTCATTTGACTTAATTCCCATTGTCTGTGTCTGTCATTTTAGTCACAGCCCGGTGGGCATATAGTCACACAGGAGTATTGAAAAGCACATCAAGGGGATTTCAATACTTTTCTTGCCAAATAATGAGTAGCTCGAATTTTGGAAACCGTTTTTAATCTTGAACTTTGTGTATCACTCGCATTATAATATTTTCCTGATATATTTTTTTCAGAATTATCTTTTTTGAATTTATTGCATGATATTATAACTTTCCAACGGTGGATATGCAGACAAAGCTAAACATTTACGGTCAACAGTAAAGTCTGTGATATTATTTGACATCAACCCATCGTCTCACAGTAAATGTCAGCTTTCTTGTTTCAGGTGTCGTTGCTGATTCCAGTTCCTTTGACCAAAGTAAACGCTTGCGGACTGGTGGTGATTACACCCACGCAGGCTATGGAAGCCCTGCTCCTTTCCACGCTCACCCTCCTCCTGGGCCTGTCTGGGGCCCCCCCGGGTAAATTTTCTCCTACAGCCAATGCTTCAGCAATGACTGTGGAAAACCATCTTCTTTGGACGAAAAAAATACAATTAAATATTACATCCGGAATATAAGTTCTTGCCTGATTATGGATCTCTGAAACTTGGATTTCATTCCCTTATTGGATATTTTCGTTTTTCTCTACTTGATCAAAGGTACATGGCCCCTCCGCCACCGCCGCCATATGATCCATATGGAGGTTATCCTGTTCAGCAGCTACCCTTGCCTGCTCCTGCTCCTGTGCCTGCTCCCAGTGGCTACGCCCCTGTTCAGGTACTACTCGTGAGTTCTCTCTTCCCAGCAGATCTTCGGGGTCTTGCTTGAGCCTCCACCTTACTGTTTTCATAATTTTTCACTTTTTTCTCCTTTTGAATCTTCATCATATCATCATCATCATCATATATCACAATTTAAAGCTTTGAGTCGACAACTGATGGCTTGATGTTGATTGGGGTGATGATCGCAGACATTAATATGCTGTCAGATTTTTGGAATCGCGGTTATACTAGTGCAATATTTTTTCCTCACAATCTTCCATCTGTTCTATAGAATATGAAGGACAACCCTCCCTGTAACACACTCTTCATTGGCAATCTCGGAGAGAACATCGTCGAGGAAGAACTGAGGGGCCTCTTCAGCGTGTAAGCATCATCCTGATCTAAAAGGTTACCCGGAACAAGAATCACATCCTTCCTGATTTTTTTCCACTCTCTCTCTCTCTCTCTCTCTCTCTCTCTCTCTCTCTCTCTCTCTCTCTCTCTGTGCTGATTTGCAGCCAACCAGGTTACAAGCAAATGAAGATCTTGCGACAAGAGAGAAACACCGTTTGCTTCATTGAGTTTGAGGTCTGTTTTCTCACTCCTCTTCTCTCTTCTCTCTCTCTCTCTCTCTCTCTCTCTCTGGCTCATGCTCAGCTTCCATTATTTTCTATTTTCAGGATGTGAACAGCGCGACAGTTGTTCATCAGAACCTGCAGGGCGCAGTGCTGCCCAGTTCTGGACGCGGAGGCATGAGAATACAATATCCTTTCATGTTTCGATTATTGATCCTGAGCCACTTCTAGAATAAATATTCATTAATTATCTCAAAAAAATCGCGTGCTATTTCTGGAAGATGCCCTTTTTTTCTTTTGAATATAAAATTCCCCAATTTCGCTTGCTTTTTTTTCTTGACAATCGAAACGTTCTCGAAGAACCCATTCGGGAAGAGGAAGGACTCGGTCAACGGCCCGGGACCCGAAGTCAACGGAGCTCCGTACTAGGCCATGGGAGGGATGTATTCTGCTCCTCCTCTCTATTATTGCTGGCTCATGATGCACCCATCACATGCCATGTAGCTCCCCCCATCCGCTCGCATGCTCCTTCAGTGGCGGCAGCGTTCATGTGAGAACCATCATGCCCCATCCATCCATCCATCCAGGACACATCCCCACCCAATGTCGGAACACGTGTGCATCGGCATCATCACCATTGACATGGATAGGTCTGAACCATTATGCTCTTGATATATATAGATATATATGTTATGCATGGATGAAGGGGGGGAGTTATGGTCTGGATGCGTCGTGGAGAAGACACGTCATCATCAGCATCAGCATCATCATCTCATCATGGCATCTCCCATGTTGGCCAGCAGGGTCATCCATCCATCTGGCATTCCTGTGATTTTCATGCCTTATTTTACTGATGAGGTGATGGTGATGGTGATGGTGATGGTGGTGGTGGCGGTGGTGAGCTGCCGTCTGCCTCCAGGGCCCCTTTCTTCAGACGCGGTGGATCTCCTCAGACAGACGCGGCTCGGATGGGTAAGTGAGATCCGTTTGTTTCTCTTTGAAGTTGGTTTTCATCTCTGGAGGAGCGATTAAACGATGGCCTGCAGTAGTTGCTGGGGAGGGTTGGTGGTAGGATCTGTAGAGATTACTAGAGAGAAAAAGCTCTGAACAGATCGTCGGCTGTTGATTGCCAGCCGCATGCACTTGACTTTGAGGGGAGGGAGAGAGAGAGAGAGAGACAGTGATGATAAGGAGAGCACTCGGGATGGCGACGTGCATCTCCCGAGATCCCTATCGGCCAGCAAACCCACTGTTGGATTGGAAGCCCGGTCACTCGGCACTCACCCTTGGGTACCAGAAGCGGCCTCTCTCTCTCTCTCTCTCTCTCTCTCTCTCTCTCTCTCTCTCTCTCTCTCTCTCTCTCTCTCTCTCTCCTGATTGCTGTAAAGGAGCTCAACAGCAAGCAACCCACGAACATCTTCTCGAGGATCTGAAGCTGTACCCCGATGAACGAGCTCCCTCTTATCTGGGGGCCCCATCAGTGCGTTTCTCCCTCACCAAGGCATCGAGGGTAAACATATCTAGTCGAGAGGCGATCTCATCTCCATTGATTGAGGGGGCTTTCACCCCGCCGCCCTCCTTTTCCGCCGCCGAGAGGACAGATTCCGAGAGGATGTCCGCGGCGGCGACGGGGGGCCAGATTCTAAAGGGGTTGGATGCCCTTTTCCGGCGGTGCTTAAAGGCTCGACATTTCTATCTTTGTAAATGCGAATAGTTCTTAGATCCGATCAACATGGGGCCCAGGTCGAGACTTCATCCCCGCCGCCGCTGCCGCCGCCAATACGCCGCCTCCAAATTGCCACCGTCTTCGGAAGAAGCTCTCATTAATTTCTACAAGTTTTTTCTAACCAAAAAAATATATTTACTAATGGGTAATAAGACTTTATTTAGTTTATTTGTGTCGTCGTTTCCTTCTTTTATCCTACCAAAGTAATACCTCCTTGGTCGGCCCTGTAATTTCTGGAGTAGACTAGGAATCGGTTCCAATTGATACAACACCGCTGTTTTCTTTTAGCTTTTTTCCTTTCCACCGTTGACTTACCTAAGGTCAACCTTTAAAACTATTTAAGTGGGTCAACCGAAGAATAGGTTCTCAAACCAACGATTAATACCTGCCTCTGAATGTTACGTTATAATTTTCAAATTTCAATTAATTAACGGGGGATAAAAATTCCAAGCTACGTTCGAATGGTGCCATGTGGAAAAAAATCCAATGATAGTCACAAGAATATGATTTATTTTGTGCTATTGACCCAAGACGACGGTTTTCTTTTAGTTTTTTTCCATATCCACCGTTGACTTATCTTAGGTCAACCTTTTAAAGTGTTTAAGTGGGTCAACTGAATGTTATGCGATATTTTCCCAATTTTAATTAGTTAATCATATTATTTCATGGCACCATGTGGCAAAAAAATCCATTTTTTTGGGTGCTATTTACCGAATTATTGGTAAATAAAAAGACCTAATAAAAAGATGAGATCGTATCATGGGCCAATTTCTTAATGGGTTTTAAGGAGGCGTATGGCTTCCAAAAGCGAGCCGAAGCCCCTTCGTTTTCTCCAAGGGGCGCTTCTCCCTTCGGTGGAAGAGATTCCTGGAATCCATTCCGGGAAAGAACCAGAAGTAAGCGAAGGTCGTAGCTAGTGGATGAGGGAATCTGACGGGTTGGAGAGGTGATTAGTGGAGGCTTAGCCATTGCAACTATGGGGGCCGTTAGAGAAATCGATGCCGTGCCCGTTTGGGACAGATTCCCCAAGGTGGGAAACGCTTCTCCTAACCGAGATTCTGCTTCCACAGGGAGCTGGGCCCCTCTTGATGCCCCCTTTAATAAGATAAAAATATGTAAATATAATATTAAAAAGTATTATAATAAAAGGGCTTCTCACTCGAAAACGATTAGCAGGAAAGAAGAGAGATAAATACCGCTTTTTGGACAGATTTTATAAGCTTGGGTAGAAAATTCGGGGCACATATTCTCATATAGTGCGTTATTTACCTAACATTATATTTTATACGTTTTATTGATGTGAGATTATCCGATCACGCCACCCACTTGGCGGCGAAGATGTGCGATCAACGTATTTGTCGATATGGCCGTTGTGAATCGTTTAGCTCCTGCTCTTCCCCTCTCTCTCTCTCGCTCTCTCTCTAGGGTAAGATTAAGCTCAGGCTCAAGCTCAGATGAGTATGAACTTGTTCTGACAGGAGCTCTTCCAACTGGTAGATACTGCAAGCAGAAAGTGGGAAAGCGCTGTACTGCGCTGGGTTACATGGAAACACAGAAAGGGTAGGGGGGAGAGAGAGAGAGAGAGAGAGAGAGCTTTCCCACTGGGTTGGTCTTCCGTAGATTCCTCATCTATTCATGTTGGTTCCATTTAACCCTCGACGAGGGAACTTCCTCTCTTCCCTCCCCCTCTGCCCTTTAAAATACCTTGTCCACTCCCCTCCTCTCTCACTCACCCACCACCTCTCTCTCTCTCTCTCACCCACAGACACACAGAGAGACATACAAGAGCGGGTGCATAATCGCATGAAGGTTTCCTCCCATTTCATGGCGCCCATGGCGCCGCCACCAACGGCGGCCCATCACACGGGGTCGGCTCAGCAGAGCTCGCCCTGGAACTCGCCGGTTCGCTACCTGTTCGGTGGCATGGCCGTCATTTTGGGCCTCATCGCCTTCGCCCTCCTCTTCCTCGCCTGCTCCTACTGGAAGCTCTCCGCCGACCACGACGGCGGCGACAACAGCGACGGCGACGTCGAGTCCGGCGACGGCAGGCCGGCGATAGGCGCTGCTGCCAAGCCTCCGCCTCCGCCGCTCGAGCGGAGGATCGTCGTCATCATGGCGGGCAACGATAAACCCATCTTCCTCGCCACCCCCAGGTCAGCTCCGGCCTTCTGCTTCCCCGATGTGGGCAGCAACGTCGCAGGCCGCGGCGTTGACCAGGCCGACGAAGAAGACGAGAAAAAGGCGGCGGCGGCAGAGCAGCAGCGCCGCCAGGAAGGAACCCAATGGAATCTCGAGGAAGCGGAGACCCGGGAGAATCAGAATTAGAGCCGAGCATTTTGCTAGGAGAAACGTAAGTTTTTTTGAAAGAGATGTAGAAATAGAAGATCATCGTTTTGTTCTCTACTTTCTTCCTCCTTTCTGGGTTTTTTTTATACCATTTTAATTAAAAATAATACCTTTTAATACTAAAATTTTCATAAATATTTAATAATTATTATTTTTCCGTCTTTCAAATCACAGAAGTTACCATTTATCCCTAATATTAATTAAAAATTATTCCTTTATTTATTTTCCTTTTTTCACTGACGGCCTCCTCGAACGAGGGGATTGGGCCAGAACGAGGGAACCTTAATGGGCCTGTCCGCCCTCTTAAGTGATTTACAAATAGTCTTATTGGGCCTTCGCGCGTGCTGCTATATGAGGAATCGATACTGGGCACGTTATTGGGTGGAAGCATTTGAACGACCCATTTCGCGTCTGACGTGGGCGCCGACTTCGGGGACCACCGGAAGCGGCATCAAAACACCACGTGCGTCATTGTCTGACCTTAAAACGTTGACTCACAGCATTCGCCGAAATTCCCCGGATTTCTCGGAAGTAGAAAAGGGTGTTCCTATTTCGGGAATGATCGATGATCGTCATTCGCATCAATGTCACTCAACTATCATCCACGTCATCATATGCGTGAAATTATTCGATTCATTCAGCCGATCCGGTTAAGAAGCCCCATCATCTACGAAGTGCACAGGATGGGGTAGAGATAGAACCTTACATTAACTGTAGACACCGCCGCCGCCGCCGCAGCCGCAGTGGCATCTACAGACTAGACTAGACGAACTGCTCTTTCCTTCCCCCTCCTTCCCCCCAGCCCGCCCGCGCAAAAGACGGTGGCGGCGGCGGCGGCGGGTTAATATACACAAGAGCAGGGAAAGGAGGCACCAGCGGGGAAAAAGGGAAGACCCATGAGAGGGGGAGAGGGGTAGAGGGGAAGGAGAGGGGAAGGAGAGAGGAACAGGACACAGTTGGGGGCTACATCTTACCGTCGCGGGAGAGGATGGCGGCGCCGCCGGTCAAAAAGAGGGGACCAGGCCGTAGCCGGGGTCGGCGACGAGGGAGGCGGCGGCGGAGGAGAAGATGTGCTCCATCTCTGTGTCGTTCTCCGTGCGCTTGGCGAACCTGCCCTTGATCCTTGGCCGCGTTTCCGCGTAGGCCTTGCGGGAGGCGTAGCGGATTGTCTTCTCGAACTTGCGGTTCTTCCTCTTCTCCCTATACCTCATCACACGGGCCTCCCGATCCAGCCCCACAGCCACCTGAGCCGTCGACTGCACCACCACGGGGGAGACGCCGCCGATGCCGTAGGGGTTGCTGATGTCCGCCATCGCGCTCACGTCCGGCACAACTCCCACATCCGACGAGGACATCTGCAGAGAGAAGGAATTCGTGTTCAGTCGGAATCAGTTGCAGGGGATGAAGAACTCCCCCGCCGTCAGGACCGTGGAGGATTCTATCAATCGAGAGTTTATTGGATGCGGAGGTATTACGCTGTGGCTGAGGGAGGGGACGGTGGAGTAGCTGCCGGAGGATGGCTTGGATCTGCTGAAATCGTAGTCGAGGCCGCCGTCGGGAGCGAAGAACGCCGGCAGGTGAGCGGCCGGGATGGCGATCTTGGCCCGCACGGGGACGACGCTGTCCGACTGGTGGTTGCTGCCGTCGTCCATCGAAGAGACGCACTCTAGATCGAGATACCGATCCACCTCCGAGAACAGGTACTCCCCTCCCTTGATCTCCGGCGCCTCCACAGCGATCTTCTGGTGATGATTGCCGGGGAAGGAATTTGAATTCGGGAGCAGCCACGAGGCCGCGTCCTCCGACTCGTCGTTGTTCCCCTCCTCCTCCTCGCCGACAGGCTTGAGGAGCAGATCCGTCTCCTCGCCGGACTTGTGGATGGCGGGGGACTCGTAGAACGGAACCACAGGGACGCGCTCGTGCCGGCGAGCGAGGGGATTTGCAGAGTGGATGTCGGCGTCGCAGGCCAAGCACAGTGCGGCGGCGTCGGCCTTGCAGGTCACCGCCGCCGCCGCCTGTTCGCAAACCTCGCACATCCACACCCGCTCGTGCCTGGAGGCGAGCTTGTTGGCGCTATGAACCCTAACATCACAAGCTCCGCATAGGAAGGCCGAGTCCGCGCGGCAGAAGAGCAGCGCCGGGGCGCTCTTACACGAGTCGCACTCCCTCGCCTCCATCCCCCAGTAGCTCTTCCCTTCCACTCTCTCTCCCGCCATGTCCCTCACCATCCTGCTCCGACTCTCCCTCTTCCTCTTCCTCTTCCTCTTCTTCTTCTTCTTCTTCTTCCTCCGCCGATCTCCTTCCTCTTCCTGCTGCGAGTGCAGACCCGACTGAGGCACTATGGGGCTATCTACAGAACCAGCGTGATACGTGGCGCGTCCACTGCCGTTCGAAACCAGGTTCAACTAGTTTATTAGCAAATAACCAGGGCGGACAATGTGGGCCCCACGACCCGACACTATTACCGCCCCGAGAGACAATTGAACCCCTCCCGCCGATTATATTATCGGGTTGGTAATTTTTTTATTAAAAAAAAATGCAGGTTCCAGAACGCTCCGGACAGCCAGCGGTACGGGCACTCTCGCGGTGACAGTATGGAAACTGGAGGGGTAAATCCGGCAATAGTTCCGTCAATAATGTCCGGCGGGGACCAATAGTGAGGTGGGAGAAAAAAGGATGTCGTTGTCTTTTCCCCGTGAAGGACATGTCGGCCGCCGTCGCCGTCCCCCCAACTTTGACCTAACGCCGCTGCCCTCGCAAGGCGGTAAGATCACGCGCCTCCACCAGTTTTTGACTCTTATACCCCTTATAACATCTTACGTGTTCACAATGCGGGGGTATAATATGTAAATATCACTTTCCCCATGACGTAAGCGCTTACGCCCTCGGCGGGAAGAAAAGTTGGGTAGTTGGGGCGGCACGTTACGGCGAGGGGGGGCCGAACCGGTCTTCCTTTCTCGTGGACCAGCCGGCCCACGATCCGACCGGATTTTAAAGTCGGATAATACTATGAATGAACGGGCTGGCCCGTTGATGTCCCTACTAAACTAACGACTAAAGTGGCGGGCCGGGCCCGGAAGCTGCTCGGCCCCGAATCGTCTCGGAAGAGACCCCATCCCCGCATAATAGGGTCTTTATCGTCGTCTAGGTATAAAGTCATGCCAAGCTGTAGCCCTCGTCATTTGATCATTAATCCCCACGCGTCGACAGGGTGGGGCCAGCCCGGATGAGAAAGCCCGAAAGAGAGAGAGAGATTGGCCTGGTGTTGACCTCGGTGATTTCGACACGTGTCGATAGACGATTGGACTGGTCATGTGACTCCCAAAAAAATGGCGAAAATAATGCTGAGTTTAAAGCAATTTTTAATTCACGGATAATTCGGTCGCGGTCGCCGTAGATACGATCAGATCGCCATGCTGACTCAGCTGCTGTCGGTCGGAGGCACTTATCACACGTGTAGTGGGCATTTAGTTGGGTTTTATAAATTAACAAATTAAATCGAAAATAGCCCACGTGAAGCATATTAAATGTATTTTTTACAAAAACTCCCCAAATAAATCAATATATGGTTTTTATGCAAATAATCTTCATCCTCCACATGGTGCTGCGGTGGAATAATTTCATGTCGGAACATTATTTATTAAAAAAACTCCATTTTATGATTTTTTTATCGTATAATTATAGAAAATAATTTCAACCGATTAATGGGCCTGATGGGCTCATAACCCGGCTGAGAGGCCCAAATCTTCGGGTCTCGGGCTTGTAACGGTTGGTCAAAGCCAAGTCCATTTCCAAGCTGACTCTAGGAAGATTAGTCAATCCAAATACATTGGATTTTATTTATTACTAATTTTGATGAACCAGTCGATTGCCAGAATTTCCTTGAAAAAAAATAGTTACGGTTCTTGGGTTTAATGGCATTGCGAAACTATAGAAGGGGAACTTACAGCAGAAAAGTCAAAGACGATAAGAACAGAAGTGGAAAGTCAACGGGCTGGAGGGGTCCCCACACATCTCCACCCACCCCTCCTCTCTCTCTCCCTCTCACATGTATAACCCCTCGGGAACGCCCTCCTTTTTCTTGAACATCACCTTCTCCTTGGCCTTCTTGAAGTCCACGTGTGTGACCTGGAAGCAAGAAGGGAGATCAGGGAGAATGCCATGAGTTATGACGTGGCAGCTACCCCCATTATCTGGGGGCCCATTTATAGAATCTCGCCGGAGTAGAGATAACCAAAAATGGAAACAATTCAAAGAGATTAACCGGGATCCTACAAATACAAAAAAAAAAAAAAAAAAAAAACTGCATGGAAGTATATTTTTCAGAAACTTCAATTCTTTATCAACACCAAAATAGAGAAAGTGATAAACTCTGAGATGGTTCAAAGTCAACTCAAAGTCAACGGACGAAAGAATCACGCGGCAGCTGCCCCCATTATCTGGGCCAACCAGTATACATTTACAGTCATGGTGGTGTCTCAGGCATTTACAGCATCTTGCCGGAGTAGAGATAACCAAAAATGGAAACAATTCAAAGAGACTGACCGGGATCCTAAAAATACAAAAAAAAAAACCGCATGGAAATATTTTTTTTTAGAAACTTAATACTTTGTCAACACCAAAAAGAAAAAAGAGAGTGATAAACTCTGAGATGCTTACATGTCAACTCAAAGTCAACGGACGACAGAGTCACGTGGATCATATATAATCTGAGACCAAAATTCTGATATATATATATATATTACTACCTTCATATATATATATATATATATATTTCAAAGGCGCCGCAAAAAAGAAGCAATGGAAGCATTACTACCTTCATCCGCCGCTCCCTCAGAGCTAGCAAGCCAGCTTCTGTACATATTGCCTTGATATCTGCCCCAGAAAACTCGTCCTTGGTCATCACAAATTCTTCTAGATTCACATCATCCGATAAAGTCATCCTCGATGTATGTATCTTCCAGGACAAAAAAACATAACTTACATAGCATCAGCAGGTAATATAGGAAAAAAAATGGCAAACCCACATTGCTAAAATAGGAAAAAAAAAGAAGAACAAAGGAAGGAAGGAAGGAAGGAAGCATTCACACGGAGCATTCATACCTGGAAGATGCGTCTCCTGGTTTTGATATCTGGCAGAGGGAATTCGATCTTCCGGTCAATTCTACCTGGGCGGAGCAACGCCGGGTCGAGGCTTTCAATCCGGTTCGTCGCAAGGATAACCTTGACATCGCCCCTCGAGTCGAAGCCATCGAGCTGGTTCAGCAGCTCCAGCATGGTTCTCTGGATCTCGCGCTCGCCTCCTGAATGGGCGTCGTACCTGTGAGGAAAAGAAGCTCGTGGTGCAGCAGCTCAGCATCTCGAGCGATCATTAGAGAATCATAGACCTGGTGATGCCCACATACCTCTTAGTTCCCACAGCATCTATCTCATCGATGAATACTATCGAAGGGGAGAGCTCGTCGGCCACTCTAAAGAGCTCTCTCACCAGTTTGGGACCGTCACCCAGGTACTTCTGGATTAGCTCGCTTCCAACTACGCGCAAGAAGGTTGCCGATGTAGAGTTCGCAACAGCCTGAAACGCGAAGAATATTTATAAAAAAAAAATTACACAAATAAACTGTGTACCTGAAAAATAATAGATGAAAATCCTAAAACGTGTTAAACCCAAAAATGGGCATCCATGCAATGAAGATAAGGATAGACAAGGATAACATATTTAGGGAAGGCAAAAATGATTAGCTGCATAAACATCTATATATATATATATATATATATATATATTATGTGGCCATAAATTGATTGGGACAGGATGGGAGAAGGATGCATTTAATCAGTATTCCATGATTTTCGATGCATATTAATGTTTCGCATTGTTAACTCTTAAAAGTGACAAGGTCAATTATGTATCCACACAAGACGTGTGCTGATACGAATGTAGACAACGGTATTCCATACTATTTGTGTGAACTATATGGTATCTTCATACCCAACATGATTCAGTTTGACCCAAATTGACTCAATCAGGTGGGAATATTCAATCCAGAGCTCTTGAAAATTCTCAAAAAATCAATCTATATCATTGATCAGACACTTTTGGATATTTTTGACAAAAATGGCAAAAAACACGAATGGTTTCAGCACGGCTTTGAAACTCTCCCCAAAGATACTAACGGCCAACCCATCTGATCCCGCGCCTCAGAGAGCAAAGTCATGGTGCACTTGGGACAGGCACGAATACTGAATAAAGTCTGGGATACCACAAAAAATATTTTACTAAAATTCTGCAGAACTACAAGACGTACTTTCTAAAGAAACAGAATATCAACCATGAGAAAAGAAATTTAAGTCGGTACTGACCTTGGCAAGCAATGTTTTCCCAGTACCTGGTTCACCATAAAGTATAACTCCCTTTGGAGGCTTTATACCAATATCTTCGTAGAGTTCAGGATGAGTAAGAGGAAGCTCAACAGCCTCTTTAATCTCCTGAATTTGAGAATCTAATCCACCAATATCTGCATATGATTCCAACGGAGCCTTTTCAACTTTCATCACCGAAACCATTGGATCAACTTCGTCTTGAAGAATTCCAACAACAGAAAGAACCTGTTAAAGTACATAAGCAGAAAAAAGAGGCCAAGTTATTATCTAAGTGCCACCACGCCCATATTTTTCGCAGAAATTACGAAGTGAAAAAGAAAATTATTGGCAAAACGCGCTTGAGGTACAGATGAATCTTCGTACAAAAACGAAGCTGTAAACCAATAGGGAAAAGAAGATAAAACATTTCAATGCAGACTTAATGGATGTCTCTTCATAAGCACATGAAACACCTTCCACAATACATATTACAAAAACTAGAACTCTTCCAACTTGCTGGACGCTAAAAGATGTACAAGTAGACAAAAATTCGTCCCACACTCAATCTGTCCCCTGAATGATCGAAAATAATCCTTTCTTTCAAACATCGACTGAATCCAATATTATCTTTGTCATCAGCTCTGATAGCTAAAACCATGACAGTTAAATCTCATACTGATCATGCTCTATCCCCGTTTCGCATCATCTTTTTAATTAATCATCAGTTGCATTCAATGACTGTAGGATTTCAAAAACAACCAGCAATCAACCATCCCAACGTTGGTTAAAACCTGTCAGAGAAACATAAACATTCATGCCTTCACTATATCTACAGTGTCTCTACAAAACCATCCCATCACATATGATGAGCGTGATGAGCAATGACCACAAATAGACTATCATCTTTCCACCAAGGAAGATTACTTGTTGGCACAAATAATGGGAAAAAATTGTGCAGTGCTTATTTTAAGGGAGATTACCATAATGCAGCTTTAACTGGAAATACAATACGATTACAGGTCAAACATTAATAACTTATCTTGTTTATTCTCTATAAATATACCTCAATTTCTCTATATATTTATTTATACACACCCCGAGGAAAGTATATATCTTCGTCGTCCTCATTCTATACGATGGCAGAATTTGGGTAACCGAACCAAAAAGGTTCATTTGGGAATTTTGGAGACAGAAACATGTTTATGAAGGAACTGAAAACGTAGAAAATACTCACCACGTTAAAACTAATGTCAGATCCAAAAGTTCAGACCTAAAACAGAGGATAATGGCAATATGTGCTGAGATCTGATAATTTTTCAAAGCAACTAAACAGCACACTCAACTGTGCCCTTGGTCAAAAAAACTCGACCCACGAAACAAAAAACCCTAATTGTAGAAAAGCCAGGTATCCGTGCTCGAAACTCCAACTCCAAAATGTCTCCGGAAAACCACAAACAGCTAAAGGATCAAGATCTATTTAATACCTTATTGTGGGTGAGGATGGAGCATCCAGGCTCGAGCTGATCCTTGTCCACGAACGACAGAATGCCAACATAGTACTCCGGCCCAACCGACGACGAAACAATCGCGTGGTTCTCGTCAATCAGCTCCTCGAGATTCCCAACGCTCATCGGAGACCCCCGGAGGTCATCGACCTTAGACCGATCCTCCTCATTCTTATCCTCCTGGGGTTTGAGGCGCTCCTGATTGCTAACAAACTCCTCCTCCATGAGCAGATAATCCTTGATCCGCTCCAGTTTCAAGAGACGGAGCTTACACTTGGTGAGCGGCGTAACCGCCGGGACCCTCGCCGCCGCCTCGGGCCCCTTCTGCTTGCGCTGCTTCCTTCCGACGCGGCTCGGAGGCGCTGCCGGCTCGAACTTCTTATCCTTCTTGTCCCCATCACGCTTCCTGTCCCCAGGAAATCCCTGCTTGTTCATGCCCCCCGGCGTCCCCTGCCCCATGGTGAGGAGGCCTTTGGCTCCGCTTCCGCCCTAGAAACCGCTTGCTTGGAGAAGGGGAGAACAGACCACACAGACCACTGTTAGAAGGCTCTGCCTTACTTATTTCCTCTCTCCTTTTATACTCCAGCTTCACAAATAGTTGAACCAAAAACCCTCAAATGTCTGGTTTGAATATAAAAGGCACAAAACAGTTTTATTTCTAAAATACCACTAACATAATTATAAATATCCTCACCTCCTCGAACTGTATTTCTGAAGTAAATAAGATTTAATTATCCCTATAAATTTAATTAGTATTTTAAACCCCTGTAAATATATATTTTACTTAATTAACCTTATTTTAGGTATATATACAAACATTAGACAGTTTGTATTAATGGCAGAATTTTTTTCCGGAAGAAAGCTTTTACTGATGCTTAGAGGCATTGGCTGTGGGCCTTGGTAAGGCCCATTAGAAACCGGTAGTTGATAGTTGGAAGTGTAATGGGCCTGAAAGCCCACATACCGTTTAAAATATGGACCTGAATTTGAGTCAAAAAAGAAACTGGCGTCAGAAGACCCAAAACAAACAACAGTTACCGCGGCTATATGTCCGCCAACCCACCACCTCTCTCTTCGTTGGGTCTGCAGAGCGCAAAGCCCAGCCCATTTTACATGTTGGGCCTCAAATTCAGCTCTGTTGGCTAGCTTTCTCACCCGTAGAGACTATGAGAGCCCACATAACCAATGGGCCCATGTACATAATCCTTTTTGGGCCTGACCCAATGATAGCATGGATTGGGCCCATTTTCGTGTGAACCCCGTCACGTGTTATATTTACAGTTATGCCTAACCTTTTTCGGATTTTTTAATTTTCGGAAAATAACGAAAATGTTTTGTATTCACCGTTTGAACACTCGACCAGGCAGAAAATATCAGCGGAGTGGTGGTCCCGCCCTCCGTCGGCCCGTAGCCGACGGCGGCGGGGAGAGGTCATCAGACTGGGCGACGGGTTCCATCTGCCACGGCAGGTAGAAAACGGCGGCCTCGTGTTTTGTTCAAAAGGCGGCCGGGAGTCCCCCTTCCAGAATCAGACACGGTCCACAGCGCCCTGTGTTTTGGAGCTCTTCTTCCCCCTTCCCATCTACCAACAAGTCAAAGCGAAAGTGACGGGGAGGGAGAGAGAGAGAAGAAGAGGAGGAGGAGGAGGGGGGGGGGGGATCTCTCTAACTTTCTGCCTGTTTATCTGCCGTCTTTTCAGTAGGATCTCCGCGGCGGCTCTGGGTCGGGCTAGTTTGTGGCGAATTCCTTCCTTCTCTCTTCCTCCGGGCTTGGCTATCTGGTTCGTTGGTTTTCGGGTCAACCGGCGGAGTCGCTGGCTGCCATCACCCTCTATAATTCAGCCATGGTGACCGCGGTGACGCCGGTGAGTACGGTGCGTTGGGGGTTTGCGATCGGCGGCCATTGCCGGGTTCATCACGGTTGGAGAGGAATGGGCTGCAGATTGTCTCGGGGGAAGTCGAGTTTTGTTCTGGGGTTGATGTCGGAGGGTGGTCGCGCCGGCGGGAAGGCCGTCTTCGTGCGGCTGATGGGATCCTTTAGAGATTCGGTAACGAAGGCCCAGAAGCTGCAGATGGAGCACCTTGATGATGGAGTGGAGATTTGGGGTTCGCCAACGGCCTCTTCTCAGCCGGAAGAATTCCCCGAGCATCTGGTGGTGATGGTCAACGGCATAGTTGGCAGGTATTCAACCCCTACATTCGTTCAGTGCTCTCGCGAGATCATCGAGATTATTCGTATCCCTTCTCTTCGGTTTCCCTTTCTCTTTGAAAACAATCATCGTCTCATGGTGACATCTGCGCAAAATCAGGCTCAATTCCAAGGAGCGCCGCGGCATCTTCACCCAGAACCCAAAAAAATTATGCAAAAAAAAAAAAAAAAAAACTGTCTAAGATTATAGCAATGAGACCGCTAAAATTAGACCAAGATGTTCAGTGACAGTCCTGTACTGATGATCACTTTCAAACGAAAACCTCTGGCTTGATGGTGATGCGTTGACCATCGTTGATTAGCCAAATGGGATGTGGAAAAAGTCCTCCACATTTTCACTGATCATCACGGAGTAGACTTTTTCTCTGTGAATAAATTTCCCTTCTACTGCCATTGTTGCTAAAAAAAACAGAGAACTAATTTTTCTCAGGTGCACTAGGATTGGACGCTTGATCAGGGTTAGCATTCAATAAGATCTTGATTTATACCAAGGCCGTATTTATGTAATGATTTGGAGGAGATGCACCAGAAGGATGTGCTAATGGTTTCCTAAGTTCTTAGAAAGATGTTACAAACTACTCCAATCCTTCTGGGTTTTCTGAAACATTCCACCGTCTTGTTGGAGCATCAAAGAAACTAGCGGACTGATCACTAAATAGATACAAATAGGTGCAAATTCTGACATCACCACAGCCCACTTCGTTCTCTCGCTCTGGAGGAGTTGAAGGAGAAATTCGACTACCTTATATATTCCTATCCACCTCGGATTGACTTCGAGAATGGGGGACCCAGGTGTGATGGATGATGAGGGTTAGCATTCAAGAAGATCTGGATTTATACCAAGGCCGTATTTATGTAATGATTTGGAGGAGATGCACCAGAAGGATGCGCTAATGGCTTCCTATGTTCTTAGAAAGATGTTACTAATTACTCCAATCCTTCTGGGTTTTCTGAAACATTCAACCGTCTTGTTGGGGCATCATCCATGAGTTGAATTTGAGAATGGGCGACACAGGTGTGATGGATGATGACTCCAGGTCTTCAGAAACTTGTTTTTTTTTTCTGTTTCCCTGATTTCTTGGCTACGTCCAGCTCCTTCTAGAGCAGACTTTCAGTTTATGCTTTCTCAAAAGGTTCTCGTAAGTTATTGGACTACACTCATCGAACCATGCGCTTCACATTCATGAATTTGATTCACGGTTCCTTTTTTTTTTTTTTTTTGTGGGTCTCAGTGCAGAGGATTGGAAGTATGCTGCAGAGCAGTTTGTCAAGAAACTTCCGGGCAAAGTAACAGTGTATCGTGAGTTTTTCTTTCTCCTCTCCTCTCCCCACTCTGTGGTTTGACTTTCCTTGAACCTGCATATTATCAGAACTAGATCCTGTTATTTCTCTTCCATATCCTGCATTAGCTGTTCCAGATCCCTTCAGTCCCATCTATTTTAAAAAAAACACAGGTCAGCGTAGCAGGGCAGAAATTTCATTCATGCACAACGATCAAAGCAATTATTCAACCCTGACATGGCTTTTGAAGCAGGCAGCCAAAGCAATTATTCAATTCTGACATTTGATGGCGTGGATATGATGGGGGAGAGGTTAGCCAAAGAGGTAACTGCATGAAGCAGATAAATCTTCGTGGTTCTCTTTGAATATGATGCTTTGCTGATTGATCTTGGCGAGAGATTCACAGATATTCTCTTGCGTAGGTGCTTTCAGTTGTAAAGCGGAGACCAGGGGTACAGAGGATCTCCTTTGTCGCTCACTCCTTGGGTGGGCTGATTGCTAGATATGCTGTCGGTAGGCTTTACGAGCCTGGATCTCCAGAAGAATCGTCGAGTGGTGAAGGGAGTTCTTCGGCAGAAGACGAGTATCCAGGAGGTAGAGTGGCCGGATTGGAGCCGGCAAACTTCATAACATTTGCTACGCCACATCTCGGTTCAAGAGGGCACAAACAGGTAAACAAGATTTTTTTTCTGTTTTTTTTAAATGATTTTTTCTTCTTCTAGTAATTCATATGCCAATATTTTGAATGAAAAACCTTTTGGAATCTACGGTCTTGTTTGATTTTTCTGTTTTTTTATTTTATTTCTTTTTACTTCATGCAATTCAGATGTCTATCTCTTTTTTTTAGAACAAGTCTGATGAAGTTAATACTCTTGTGCGGAAATCAATATAAGAACTCAGACGCGTCTCTTGTTTCGTTGACTTTTTCATTCCATGTGAACATGAGCTGGTAAACGAGAGTTTTCTCTTTCTCGCCATCTAGATGTCTATTTTTTCTAGGATAATTCTTAGGAAAATCAAGAGTCCTGTGTGGAGCCGAGAACAAGGACATGACTCTTGTCTCATTTACTTTTTTTTTTTTCATTTATGCGGGCCCAAACAGTTGAATGGGAGCTTTTTGTTGACTTTTTTTTTTTCCCCTTTCATTCAAGTCAATCGCCTGTGCTTTTTAGAAAGAGTCTTATGACATCTAGAGTCTTGTTTCATTGGCTTTTTTCTTCCATTCAACTCAATGTCCATTCTTCTCCATAAATGCTCTCCTGAGATCTAGAGAGCTGACTTTTTCCTTCAAGAGGGGCACGAACAGGGAAGCAAGAGTCTCTTATTGACTTTTTTCCTTTCATGCGATTCCAATGCCCGTTTGTTTAAGAAAGTGCCTTGTGAAGTCAACATGCTTGGATAGAGATAGAATGAGCCCGTTGACCCTTGTTTTGGCATTCCGAGTTCCGACCCTTCTTCTGAGAATAAGCCATCTCTATTGCTATTTTCAGCTTCCCTTTCTCGGTGGTCTTCCTTTCTTGGAGCGAGGTGCTTCCCAGGCTGCCCATCTGATAGTAGGGAGGACCGGAAAGCATCTTTTTCTCACCGATGATGACGGCGGGAAGCCCCCTCTGCTCCTTCGAATGGTTCGTGATGGCGAAGACATCAAATTCAGGTGTGATTTTAAAATAATATGTCATAAATCTTGTTTATATGAAAGTTCCGCCGATGGGGGTTTCCATTTTAGGAAATTTCCATTGCCGGGTTGACTTTTTCTTTAGGGTTCTAATGGGATCTGTTCTTATGTTCCACTGGTCAATTTTTCTTCCTCTCACCAGGTCAGCGCTGACCTCCTTCAAACGCTGTGTCGCCTATGCCAATGCCAACTTTGACCGTATCCTCTTCCAGGGTTTTATGATGTAATTTTCCAAATCAGATCAGATCATCCCCTCCGTATTATGTTTGACTTAATGAATAAACTTAGATATGGTGGGTTGGAGGACGTCATCAATCCGCAGGCAGCATGAGCTCCCCGATGTGAGTTTTTTTTCTTTTTTTAGAAAAAATGTATATATATATATTATTTTTTTCTACTCAGATTAATTGTGGGAAATAAAGATGTTCATGATTCTGCAGCCTCACCTTCTTGCGAGCGATGAGAGGTATCCTCATATCGTCTTTGTGGGTAGGGGAGATGTGACAGCTGGAGACCAGGGAGAACCTTCACCAGCTGGAACGTTTCAAAGGGTTGACCTGGAAGGTTTGTTGGATTGACTTTTGCGAGGAATTTGATGCCATTTAATCTTTATTTCCTCCATTTGGATTAGATGAATCGGCCTTCTTTCTCCCCCTCTCTCATCTCCATCACTTTCTCTCTCTTCTCTCTTATTCTCTCCCTCTCTTTCTTTTTGTGAGTATGTGACGTCAGTTGGAACATGTAGATAATCTTACTACTTCTCGCATTTTTAGTCCTATAATATGGGTAGATTTCCTGCTCCACGTTATGGGTGAATTCACCTCTCTCTCTCTCTCTCTCTCTCTCTCTCTCTCTTAAACTCTCCCTTTGTGTGTGGACTGCTGTATCGCAGAGGAGATGATCAGAGGCCTCTCGCAAGTGCCATGGGAGCGGATCGACGTGAGCTTCAAAGAGAGTACGCAGAGATACATCGCCCACACCACCATCCAGGTCAACGCCGACGCCTCCTGCTCCGTTGACTTTGATCGATTCTCTTCTTCGAGCCCCGTTGATTATCACGTCATTAGGGTATCCTTTTTCCCCACCAGGTCAAGAGCTACTGGATGAACTCCGACGGCGCGGACGTTGTCTCCCACATGATCGACAACTTCCTCGTCTGATCTTTTCCAAGCATGGTATCGACAGGTCGTCCGCCGTCGACCTTCATTCCGTCGATGGCCGAGTGCGACCTCCTCATTGGCTGCTTTCTTCTTCTGCCTCTTCTTCCTCTTCTGCTGTAAATAGTCAGATGTTCTGTGATGTAGCCATGGTGGTGTGTTGAGTTCTTCACCAGCGCGAATATTGCAGCTTTAAAGGAGGATTAAAAAAAGTTGACCTTTTTTCCGACAGAAGCAACAATGCGCCGTCTAATCGAGAGAGAGAGAGAGAGAGAGAGAGAGAGAGAGAGCGTTTTCTTCGCCTGAAAGGTAGTGGGAGAAATGTATCATATGAGCTGCCAGGGCTCCTCCGATGGTGGAGGAGAGGAGGAGATTTCCCAATGGAGGAAAAATACGAAGAAAAAGGTGAAAGCTCCACGGGGAATCACAAAATTCTTCTGCCTGCCCGTGGTCAGATTTTCACAGAGGGAGAGGAGGGAGGGAGATCAGAAGAGGGGAGGACGATGGAGGGGGGGATTAACGTTCGCCCTAGTGATGAACGGGTGCTGGAGAAGCTGCGCCGCTGTGAGCCTCTTTGCGGGCTCCTTCTGCAAACAACACGAGATAAAGTTGCGGAACTCCACGGAGGCGGTCGGCGGCGCCGTCGGGGGATCGGAATAACAGATGGCGCACATAAGCGTAGCCCAATCGCCCTGCTTGCCGGCGGTCTCCGGGAAGGGAAGCCTCCCGAGGTAGAATTCGAGGATGCTCAGGCCGAAGCTCCAGATATCGGCCGCGTAGCCGTCGTACTTGCCGTGATTGGTATCTGTGTTGATCCTTTCGGGGCTCATGTAGGCGATGGTGCCGACGGAGGAATTGCAGGGATCCATCGTCTGGGAGAGGATCCGGGACACTCCGAAGTCGGCGATCTTGACCTCTCTGGAGGCGTTGATCAGGAGATTGGACGGCTTGATGTCGCGGTGGACGATCTTCTGGCGGTGGAGGTAAGCGAGGCCGAGGAGAATCTGCCGGGAGATCTCTGCGAGGAAGGCCTCCGTTGATATCCGGCGACCTTCTAGGGATCCGCCGTCCATATACTCGAGCAGGATCTGGATGTCGCCGGCGTGATCGAACATGCCGTGGCAGCGGACCACGAAGGGATTATCGGCGGTGCGGAGGATCTCGATCTCACGGCAGATCTGGCGGCGAACGTCGTCGTCGTGGTAGCCGTAGACGACCTTCAGCGCGTAGATGCGTCCCGTGGGGCGGTGCCGTACCATCCAGACTGTGCCACCGGTGCCGCTGCCGATGCGGCGGATCCGCTCGAGGTCGGCGAGCTCGGGGGACTGACCCGAGGATGAGGACAACGCCGGCGCCGACGAAGGCCGAGGAAGAGGGAGAGGGACGGCCATGGAAGGCGATCGATTTGGGAGGGGGAGGGACAGCTCCGTTCTCCGGCGAGGACGGAGCGTCGTCAGCGGAGGCGCTTGCCGCTGTCGCTCCTGGTTCTCTTGCGGGCGCTGCTGGCTCTCCTGCTGCCGGCCGCTCGGCCTCGCCGGAGCGGCAGCGGGCCTCATCGATGACCGCCGGCAGCGTTTCTGCAAGACTGGGCGGTGCTGGTAATGGCGGGGTGGTTGACGGTCGGAGAGGACGATGAAGATTGGGGGGCGGGGGGGGGGGGTTACTTCTCCTTCATGGAAGCGGATCGTCCTGTACGGGTCTCGGATCCAAACGACGATGACGTGGCCGCAGCCCCCTCGGTTACTGCTTGCCGTCGTCTGAAACCGTTGAGAACCTTCTCGGGCGCCCCCAACGACAGTTTTGTTTTTTTATCTTAAATACAGACGTAGGAAGGTCTTGGATGGACGGTCCGATCAATGGACCCTGATCTACAGTATCGACGGACAAGAATCTCCATTTGCGTCCGTCTGGGCCGAGTCGGATTGAGCCCGATAGATAATGGATCCAATCCGGAAACCGGCCCATGATAAGTTATTAAAGAAAAAAATGAGCCTGCTTAATTAATTAAATACACGTTTTTTCATTTATTGAGTTAAATATAAATCCTCCCCGCCCACGACCGCCCCCCCGGCCGGCGGATTTATTCACACACCCCAGCTGCTGGAGAAGATTTGAACTCTGGCGGTGGCGGCGGCGGGAGTCGGCTCTTCTGTGTTTAGGGATTTTGCCGCAGGATGCTGGTCAACTCCTCCATCTGCGGCCGCCGGAGTTCTTTCCTCTGCAGTCTCGTCTTGCGACGCCCCTTCTCAATGTCCTCTGCACCGTCATCTCATGGCCTCGAGGTCGATCTCTCCCACCCAACCTACATGATCTGGGGGGCCAACACGGGGGTCGGGAAGACGCTTGTCTCCGCAGGGTTAGCTGCCTCGGTGCTGTGCGAATCTCAATCCTCTGCTCCTCCGGCTCCCTCTCAGTTTCTGTATGTGAAGCCTGTTCAGACCGGATTTCCCGGGGACTCCGACTCCAGGTTCGTCCACCGCAAGGTATCGGAGCTCTTCCTCAATTGGAGGAGTGAGTCGCCCATTGGGTTATACGCGTCGAACCATGTTCTGAAAGTCTCAGGCGCAGCTTCGGTGGAGATGCCCGGTGTGGAGCGGGTGGAAGGAGAGAGAAATGCTGGTCTTAGGGACGTGTGTTTCTACGAGGAGAGAATATTGAGTGGGGTGGATTGTGAAGGGAAGGATTCGGAGTTGCTCTGCAAGACAATGCACGCATGGAAAGAGGCGATCTCGCCTCACCTTGCTGTAGTGAGAGAGAATGCTGGTGTTGAGGACGCAGTTCTGTTACAGTCTCTGAAGGAATGCTTGGCATCTACTTTCAGAGGGGGAGGGTCCGGAAGGAAGGATAATTTTTGGTGTGTTATAGAAACTGCAGGAGGAGTCGCAAGCCCAGGTCCTTCCGGTGTTCTACAGTGCGATCTGTACAGGTTAATGCGGATTCTGTGGAAAGCTGTCTTCCATTGAAGATTAACATAATTTCTAGCAGGATAAATATTTAGTCTTCTTCTTTCTTGTTTCCCAGTAGTATTGCTAGTAAAAAAAGATCAAATGATTCTTTGATTGCATACTCATTTAAATTACATGATTGATCACTTTAATTCAATGAAAGTGTATATTTGTGAAGCGGAAAACAAGTATCAACTCAAAGATTAAGCTCAGATGCTCATCGATCATAACTCCATTCCTTCTCCCTTTCTATAAATTTGATGAATCATATTTATGTTCTTATCAGTTATCTCTGGTAGGCTTCCTTATCTGATGGTTGACTGTCAACCCATAAAAGTTGATTCCTATTCTTGCTGTCTCGCAGGCCTTTCAGATTGCCCGGCATTCTTGTCGGTGATGGCCGTCTTGGTGGCATATCCTGCACTATATCGTCATATGAGACCTTAAAATTCAGAGGATATGACATAAGTGCTATCATTTTAGAGGATCACGGCCTATCAAATGAAACAGCATTGCTATCTTACTTGAGAAACAAGTAAGCTGCCTGATTTTCATCTGTTCACGGCTTTATAGTTGATTGTAATCTTATCATTAGTTTCAGATCATTTATGTAGTAGCTTTCTAATAACCTTGCTCCATAACTTGTTGACACTACGCAGTTTTATTGAAAGTCTCATTTATATTCAGGGTCGAGAGTGAGTTAGAATGATGTTGTATTTTTAAACCCCTTTTTTTTGCAAACACTTCTGTTTGAATGACAATAACGTGTTCGTGTTCTTTTCATGCCATGGCATTGAAAGTTAAATGGCTATGCTAATTATTCCATGGATTATCAATGTTAGTTGACTAAAAGTGGATTAGTATACTTTCACCTATGACATTATATCGAAAAACCCAAATGCAGCGTCAAATTTTATTTATTTATTTAATTCTATGGCGGATGAGCTTTCTGCAGGTTTCTGGGGTGGATAGCGTATGACACATGGCACTATGTCAATATTAATGACGGTGCAGACTGAGAATTCGGAAATTTTATTCAATGAATTGTGGTAAAAAAAGTTTAGGGCCCGTAAAGGATGCCCAAATTTTCGGTTGGAGGTGTAAAGTATGAGTAAATATGGTGATGTATTAATTGTATTTCAAAAGTATAATATTCTTTCTTTTCCGTTTGTACTCTTCGCGATCTGCCATATTTTTACTTAGAATACTATCCCAAAACCAAAGGTTACTCGTCTTCCTTTGTGATGTATGCAGGCACCCCTCCCTATCCCTTAGGGAATTGTATTATGCAATACTGATGCCTAGATTGCCTCTCTTCTCTTCCTTACCGCTGGCTTTTCTGTGTTAACCCTTAAAATGATCATATCTTTTCCTAATAAAGCTGGTTCATTGTTTTTCGGTTCCTGTTCTGTGTCCAAGATTCGCCACCCTGTGGAAGAACGGTTTTTGTTTGTGCAGTTACCATGCCTAATGATTTGGAAGGATTTTTACATTTGACTCTTTCATCCAGGGTGCCTGTGCTGGTGATGCCACCTTTTCCCCGCGATCCATCAGATGATCTGATACGATGGTTTTCTGAGTGTAGAAATGTATTTATCTACCTTCAGAAATTGATGCATACGGCTTACTTGAAAAGAATAGGCAGATTACATGATATAGGAGCAAAGGCTGGAGAAGTTTTATGGTGGCCATTCACTCAGCACAAACTTGTTCCCACGGAGACTGTTACTGTAATAGATTCTCGCCTGGGTGAGAATTTTTCTGTACATAAGGTGCGTGTATTTTCAGCATATTTTTCTGAAAAACTCTCCTTGGTTCCTGGAAGGTCTTGAATTGGCAGCAATAAATAATTTTACGGCTATAAGGGATGATAATGTATAAAACGTTCTCTTTCTTCCACATGTATTTTGTTAAATTTCATATCACATAGGGTCAATTTTTTCTGTTCATAATACTATTTTTTGAAGCAAGCTGTCAGCTCTAATAAGTTAGAAAGTTTAGTAGCGAGAAAGAAAGTAATATTTAATGTCTGTCGTATATTTATACTTGTACACACGTGTTTGCATTAGTTTAAATTCATTGAATTATTTCCTTGTATGATCTTGATATTTATGTTGCATCTAACTATTTTTTATTATTATTATGTGGGTGTCGTGACTAGGTGATTGACAATTGCGATTTTATTATTCCCCAATTTGATGCATGTGCTAGTTGGTGGACTCAAGGCCCAGATGCTACTTTACAGGTCATCCTTATAAAACTCTCTTTAATGATTTTACATTGTTTATTGCAAAGTTATTGGTCTATTCTATGACTAACATTAATCATGTGTTTGTAATGGTTTTTCTTGGATCCTTTTCATCTACTTCCTAGGGGGATCGTTTTTTAAAATCTTTTGACATGCATTTTACCAAAAATATGATTTTTAGTAGATACGGAAAAATCAATGTTCTTGATGTTCTTCCAAGTCTATGCATTTTTGGTTCGGCATTGGGTTTCTAGACTATGCCATAAGGCCATGGATCAGTTGTTGGGTTTCAGTTTTTCTGAATATGAACACTGATACCGTCACCTTAACTTGTGAAATTTGGTTATGTATGCCTACATGGACTATTGTCGGATAGACTTTCACCACGGAAACCTACAGTTTCAACATTAGGCTGGGTCATATGCAATCATAGTTTAACGGTAAATAGGGTGAAGCTGATTTCCTCCTTGTGCGAATCAGTTTTAAGATCATATTTGACGATCACACGCAAATTTTGTTTTATTATATTCTTCATTATTCTGTGGCTGGGGAAGTGCTATAATTTTTTCTTCTTATGCTTTTGTCAATTTCAGATTGAACTTGCAAGAGATATGGGTTATGCTACTTCGAGATTTGGACATGTGATGTTCCCTGAGAACGCTTATGAACCAGCATTACATTGTGCAGAGCTTATGCTTGGAGGTGTAGGAAAAGGTCAGACATTCTGTTTGCTAATCATTTTTGTTACAATAAATTGTGCGGTATTACATTCTTCCTATACATTGTGCAGTATTACATTGTGGAGAGCTTATGCACTGATTTCTCAATTTCATGTTATGTTACAATAAACCAAGAATCGGGGTGATGGGGTTCCCTTGATGTAATATAAGATACTGAGCAAGGTTATATGGACATTAAGGTTTGGTTCGTAACATCAGATTTTCTATTATATGTTTCATTAATTTACAGTTGCAATCGTGTGATAGATTTGAAACCTTAAAAAGTAACAATCTAAACATTTCGAGGTTCATCTGTAGCCAAGTACATGCAACTTCGTTCTCTGCTCCCTTTTTCTTGTTTAGTAGTCATATTTCGTGAGCTCAAGTTTTAGAATGTTTGTCGTGTTGGACTAAAAGGTCTTGTTGTTGTTTGGACACTGTTCTCGCAGGTTGGGCTTCTCGTGCTTACTTTTCTGATAATGGATCCACTGCCATTGAAATCGCAATTAAGATGGCATTTCGCAAATTCTCATTAGACCATGGTATTCATATGGAAACTGCTTATGATAGTATGGGGAAAAAAATGGATTTCAGGGTACAGTGTTTTATGTTGAGTACAATTATACCTGATTTCATGTTTTTTTTTTAGCTGATGGAAAGAGGAGTAATATTTGAGTGCCTTTGATCCGGATAACAGCCAAAAGAAGAAAAGCTTAGATATCTGATTTTAATGCAAGTTAGTTCTTCATTGTGCTTCCATGCCTCGGGTGGTCAAGAGAACCAGCGAAATAGTTGGGCGTGGCAATTGATGAAACAATAGTGCATGTTCTTCTCAAGCCCTTGCAACCAAGGCTAGATCCCTAGCTCATTTAATGATTAATAATTTATTATGTATTGAGAAATAAGTTCTCTTATGACATGTACCGCTTAAAAGTTTAAAAAATTGTTGTCGCTTTCAATATCATAAGAGCAATGTTGCAAGCATGTACCGTGACAGAAAATTTATCGCCTCACCACCCCCCCACCCCCCCCGCCGTAAATCAAAATTGAGTGCGTTATAGAATTTTACAAGAACTCTGTAGGAATAATTATAAGTTTTTTCTCATCCAAGATATTTAATTCTACATGTCACCACAAGCTAAGTCCCAGAAGATTGATGAATAAGTAAATCTGTTATCCATTTGTGAATTAGATATTTTACGGAACGGGAAGTTTTGAGTATCATGGTTGATTAACCATATATCCGTTTTAACCTAACTCAGGTTCTGGCTTTGAGTGGATCGTATCACGGTGACACCTTGGGTGCCATGGAAGCCCAGGCTCCATCCATATATACAAGTTTTTTGCAGCAGCCATGGTTAGTTCATTCTGCAGATAGTCTGTAGATTTTTCTGATTTTGCAGAATGGTCGGATAAAAATATCTTCTTTGAGTATATTTAGTACCTGTGTCCAAGTTACTAAGATTTATCCATTTCTAGAGCTTTTTTTTTTTTTTTTGCGTTATAAAAACTTGCATTTATGCTGAGAGGTCCTCTGCATTGAAAAATGATGATGCGTGGTGATATGACTCCTGCTGTAAGGCTCATCATTGGCTTACTGACGATCTTCGTTGCTGTATTCTCCATGATTCTTGCTGTCATAATTTTGTACTTCCCTCTGATGGCCTGTTTGCTCCATGGATTTAGCACAAACACTTGCAATTTTATGGGCAAGAACTGGGGTTTTCACGCAGTGAGTCTTTAGATGATGGGTTTGAAGGTGCCGCCAAGGCAATCCAGATGCCCTGTGCATCCAAGAAACTTAGGCAGACAGCCCAATTAAGGCACTTGCGTGGGTAGCTCATTTTTTTGATTTCTAGGAAACTTTGACCAGGCAGAAACACATTACATGATGTAATGTTACTCATAAATATGATCGATGAGTGATGGCAGACTTCATTCCATGCCTTAATGTGTCATATAATATAGCGGATTGCTGTTGTCCGTCATCAAGCTGTTTAATATGACCACATAATGGTAATTTTCCTTTGTCAGGTATCCCTGAACTCTGATGCGAACCACCTAATGCATGATCAAGTGTTTGTTTCCTGCATCAGGAGGTTCATCTACTTTCTCGGAATTTTCGTTCGAGTTGTCTTTCATTTTCTGGCTGCCCTTCTACTTCGTGTAACCCTCCTCCATATCCACATGTGGATCATTACATAGGCAGCAAATTCTTGAGCCCAACAATAAAAAAATATTTTTCTAATATCTTCAACACAGAAAACTATTTAAAGCAGAACATTTAACATCATATTTTAATACTAAAGACTCTGGCAAGCCTATTTGCATAAGATTCACATTCTCTTATCCATCATGATATCGTTCCCTTCAGTGCTTCTCCCCCCTGGGAACGTGGGTCAATTAGGGTTATGGTCTATTCTTGTCATACAGTGCAATACACACAGTTGAGAAATTTTTGTATCATATTTTGACCCAAGCACCTTCCTTCCGATAGACAAATAAATAAATTATCTTACTTCAGGTATTCTGGGCGAGGCCTCTTTCTGGATCCTCCTACGGCGTATCTTAGTAATGGACGCTGGAGCATTTCCCTGCCCACAGCTTTACAATTTCGAATGGAGAAGACGGATGATATGAGTATGAGAAGTGGACCCCCTTAGAAGCCCCAATTTTCTTTGCTTTCGCGCTTTAACCATGTGGAAACTTTTCTTCTGCTCTTCAGGTTTCGATTCGTTTGATGACTTATTCTCTTGGAGCCGGGAATCTTCAGTTCTCGCAGAAGGATATTCTGCTTATATCACAGAGCAGCTATCACAGCTTTCTGGAGGCAGTGAATCGACCCATATTGGTGCACTGATTATGGAGCCAGGAAAGTCTCTATTTCCTTCCATAGAATCTTTCTCGAATTCCTATTCATATTTATAGAAAGTAACTTACTCGAATCTACATAACCAATGGTTCATGTTGTTGACCTGCATCTTACAGCTGGCATGTTGACTAAAACTTATGCCGGATAAACTGACAAGAACACTCCCCATGAAAAGGAAATCTTTCAGTAAATATGTTGTATCCACAGAGATCAAAGAATTCCTATTGATGTTTGTAGAAATTAACTTATTTCCATGATGGTTCATATTGTTGACCTGCAGCTAACAGTAGGCATGTTTGACTAAAGCTATGGCGGATAAACTGGCAAGAACACTCCCCGTGAAAAAGGAGATCTTTCAGTAAAGTTGTTGTATCCACAGAGATCAGAGACGTTGCAGGCATTTCTCTTGGTACATTGCCTCTTGTTCTAAATATCTCTGGTCGCTACTCTACAGTTATCCATGGAGCTGGTGGGATGCATCTGATTGATCCGGCTTTCCAGCGCGTCCTCGTGAGGAAGTGTCGGGCACGAAAGATCCCCGTGATTTTCGACGAAGTGTTCACTGGTTTCTGGCGTCTCGGAAGAGAGGTGCGCACTCCATCTCCTCACCCCTGATCATAATTTCCTTTTATGCCATCCCCGCTTAGCTGGCTGCTTGGACGCCTGCCACCTGTTGCCTTTACCCCCATTTAATCTGTATATATTCCTTTTCTGAGCATTACTCCCTCCCATGCAGTCTGCAGCTGAGCTGCTGGGTTGCATGCCAGACATCGCCTGCTATGCCAAGCTTTTAACAGGAGGGGTTGTGCCCTTGGCTGCTACGCTGGCCACAGAGGCCATTTTTGAGGCTTTCTCTGGAGATTCCAAGGTGAGGAGTGAAGCTTACGTTTCATGGGTAAGAGAGCCGAGCATGGGGGGAAGCTGATAATGGCAGGAATATTCTCTCTCTTCCTTTTTTTTCTGGAGCTACAGGCCGAGGCGCTCCTGCATGGGCACTCCTACTCTGCTCACCCGATGGGCTGCTCAGCTGCCACAAAGGCCATACAATGGTTCAAAGACCCTTCTACGAATCCTAACCTGGAGGGCGGAGGGGAGAGTCTAAAGGAGGTACGCCAACCGATGGGTTACTTTCTCTCTCTACTGTGATCTATGCTCAGTGGGCGATCAGAATTTTGAGATGATGTTGCCGTCTGATCCGTTGACTGTACGTTTGATGTGGAGATGTTGTAGCTGTGGGACGGGGAGCTGGTGCGGCAAGTATCGTCCCATTTTGCTGTTCGGAGAGTTGTCGCGTTGGGAACCCTCTGCGCTATCGAGCTCCGAGCTGAAGGGTCTGATGCGAGGTATGATGGCTTGACCCTCCTGTCCAGTTACACTGAAAAACTTTTTCATTTCCCGGGCTAGCACCTTTCTATTTTGGCCGGATTAGTTGGCCTTGCTGGCGTCGATACCAGATGGTTTCATCCAAGACTCTCTCTCTCTCTCTCTCTCTCTCTCTCTCTCTCTCTCTTTCTGCGTGTGTGTGTGTGCGTCTCTCGCTCTCCCTTCCTCTCTCTCTTTCTCTCTGTCTCTGTGTGTCTCTCTCTCGCTCTGTCTCTCTCTCTCTCTCTTCGTCTGACTAGCCGTTCTCTCTCCATCCAGCTACGCGTCTCTATACGCAAGCTCGCTTGTTCGTAGCCTCCGTGGAGACGGCGTCTACATGAGGCCTCTGGGTAACGTCATCTACCTCATGTGCGGCCCCTGCACGCACCCCCACGTCTGCCGCACACAGCTCCACAAGGTTTATCAGGCCATCGACCGCTTCGCCCAATCCCAGCCCTCCAAGCTATCATCTACGGCCCTCTAAGGCCAATCGCATAGCGCCCCCCCCCCCTTAGATTCCATTTGGCCAGATACCTCGTATTGTCATAAGTTCTTAACATAGTTATTATATAGTTAAGAATATCGATGATGATAATGGGCGCAGCCAATGAGGGGCTGCCACCTGGATCGTAGCCTCTCTCCCTAAAAGTGGGCCGATTTTGCGGAGTGATTAATGACCCATTTACGAGTTAGGGCGGCCCAATCGTAGCCGACATTTACCCCGTGCTAAGTAATAATTAAAAATTCATAAATGGGCCTTTTTTTAGAAGAACACTGAGGCCCATTTACGACCGTCATTTGACCATCCAAGCAAAGACCTTTCTAAAGGCAGCTGTTTAATCCGGAAAGGGATCGCTCTAGGGGCAACGGTTGACCCACCCGCAATGCCGACGTGGCGCCGCCTCTAATGTCACGTTGAGTAAACAGTCAAAGTGTCGTCCGGACAACGGGTAAAACAGTTAGAAGACCTCTCGTTTTGTTCACACTGTAGAGAGAGAGAGAGAGAGAGAGAGAGAGAGAGAGAGTAAAAATATCTGCAGACGTTTTCCTCATTTTATATGCCTTTCAGCCATTAGCCGTCAGAAGGACGGGGTGGGGAATTGGGGGTGGTGGGGCAGGGTAGAAAGGGGGAGATGGAGTTCAGCATTCTTCCGGCTACCACTTTGGACAGTTTGCGACAAGTTGCCTTTTGGAAGCGGACACCAGCGAGGAAGGGAGGTAGGAAGACGCATCACGACTCCTCTCTCTCTCTCTCTCTCTCTCTCCATATCTCTGCCTCATTTCGCAGAACCTGCCGCCGCCCGGGGCGGACTTATTCCCCTTGTTTTCGTCGTCCGTTTCCAGTTCTATACACGAGGGCTGCCGTTGGCAGTGGAGGTTTTAGGGTTTGTTGCGGGGAGGAGGGGTGTCGGGCATCTGGGGCTGATTTGTTCGCGGATCAGGAGATTTCGTGTTTTTAGATTTCCACGGGGTTTTCCTATGCAGTGGCCGAGCGTGTACCAGGAGAGATCGGGGACGATGACGAGGGAGAAGCGCGGGCTAGAACCGATCAGTGGGGATGGCATGGCTCAGGAGCCGAAGCGGCAGAAGGTTCCCGGCCTTGCCAGGTTTCTCTCCGCTTTTTATACTTTTTATACTTTTTAGACCATTTTCCTCTCTCTCTCTTAGTTGTTTTATTTTTGTTTGACCGTCAATTCTGTAAGATATTTTTTTCCTACTGTCCTTCTCAAAACTCGTGGTTTCCTAATTCTGTTCATCACAGATCGACTAAGATCGCGAAAGCTGACATTGAGAGCCGTTTAGGGCTTGACAGTAATTGTGCTCTCTTTACTCAGTTTCCGGCCGTGCAGCTTCCGGCGTTGAGTGAGAGCAGAGCCACTGGGACCGGATGGAGATAGGAGGGCCTAGGTTTTCATGATAATTACACTCCACACCAATCAATAGTGCTTCTTATATGTGAAATGGCCCCGTTGGTTATCTGAGAAGTTGATCATTGCTCCTGGGAGCCTTAGTAAATGGAACCTCTCCAATCGGACAGGAATGTTGTATTTGTTAGTTTGTCATTTGGTAGGGGGGAAGCTGTTGCATACCTTGTGATTATGGCGCGGATACAGTTTTATCCCTGTTTGCAATTGCATGCAGTCAACTTTAATGATGTATCTCCATTGACACAGGCGTCTTAAGCCAAGCGAATGTGCTGTGTAAAAGCTTCGGGATGAATTAGATGGGCTATAATCCGAGGTCACGGATAATTTGGTGTAATTTTTTTTGGGAATCAGTTCTGTATTTCTGAATAAAGACTTGGGGTTTCTTATCATAGGATTATTCTTAATAGGATCCTCATCAGTGGGAATGATTTTGTGCCCTTATGCCTTATATTTCAACATTTTTCCGATCTGATTTGTGTTATATCGTCTAGACTTTACTTGACCTCCCTCCCTCCCTCCCTCTCTCTCTCTCTCTCTCTCCCTCTTTGTCGTGGGTTTTGGCTGAATTTCCACTAGAATACAGTTAGGCTTTACGTTTGCATTTCTTAATCTTGTTTTGAATCTGCAGAAATCGTCAGGTCAAGAAAGCCAGCGGTAGTGTGTGTCATTATGCTGGTTTTTTTTTTTTACCAGCATTGGGCTCTTTTGTTTTCCGTGGTGCTACAAGGTTTACTTTCCCCAGATGGGCAGTTTTAATTGCTACTAGTCCTTTACAGTAACAAGGTCCTGCATTTATATACTTTTATGAATACAATTATGAGTATATTTTTATGAATAAAAAGGAATTTCATTTTCAATGTCAAAAGTGTTTTTTTTTGGGGGGGGGTTTTGGTTGCTTTCTTCGTTCTTATGAGTCTGTTCATTACTTTTTGTTTACCTACTTCACTTGCCAATATTGAGTTATTTGCCCTTTTCAGTGTCATTGTGGAAGCTCTCAAGGTGGATAGCCTACAAAAGCTCTGCTCATCATTGGAGCCTGTTCTCCGCCGAGTGGTAAGCCATTGCTGACTTTGAACAGATTACGATTACGCCATTAAGCCATCTTTACAGTTTCTAGCGATATGGTTTTGACTCTCGCTCTCTCTCTCTCTCTCTCTCTCTCTCTGCCCCCCTCCCCCTCCTTTGAAGTACTAACTACAAGGTTAAATCTATGCTTCTGGTGATTTTATCTTTTTCTGGGGCTGACTTAACTGGTAGAATGCCGGCACCAATTTTCTGCTAGTTTCACGTTGCAACTTATTTTGTTATAACGCTCATCTTAATTAGCTCCTCGTTCTTAAACAGGTTAGCGAAGAAGTTGAGCGTGCTATCGCAAAGTTGGGTCCTGCTAGACTGAATGGAAGGTGAGATTTTGATGGCCTCATTTAGAATTTTGAGAACCAACGCCAGGAAGGACATGGAACAAGTTTGTGCTTTCTTCGTCATCAAGAACACATGTCTGATATTCTCATTGGCATCGTTTTTTCGCCCAAATCTCATCATTTGATACTTTGGTTTGTCTTCACTTCCATATCAAATTAATAATTTTTATCTGCATGGGAAGGTTTCATTCTGGTTTTGTATCCCTTTGACGTCTCCAGAGGCAGAATGAGCTTTCTACTGCTGACTCGATTTTTCAATCTGAGAGCTGTATCATGCTTCAGCCTCTTCATGTCCCTCTCTTCTAACACATGGAAGATCCAGGTCTTCCCCCAAGAGGATTGAAGGGCCTGGCGGAAGAAACCTGCAGCTGCATTTCAAGTCAAACCTGTCTCTGCCCCTGTTCACTGGGGGGAAGGTGGAAGGAGAGCAGGGCGCCGCAATCCATGTCGTCCTTGTTGACGCAGACACAGGCCTTGCCATCACGACGGGGCCGGAGTCCTTGGTGAAGTTGGATGTTGTGGTGCTTGAGGGGGACTTCAACAGAGAAGAGGACGAGGACTGGACAGAAGAAGACTTTGAGAACCACATCGTCAAAGAGCGAGAAGGGAAGGGGCCGCTCCTGACTGGAGACCTCCAGGTCTCCCTCAAAGGCGGCGTGGGGACCCTCGGAGACCTCACCTTCACCGACAATTCCAGTTGGATACGCAGCAGGAAATTCAGGCTGGGCCTGAAGCTCTCTCCGGGCTCCTGCGAGGCCGTTCGCATCCGTGAGGCAAGAACTGATGCATTTGCCGTCAAGGATCACAGAGGAGAATGTAAGTCGTCATGATCGCCATTCCATTCAAGTGATCACACCATCTTCAAGTGATCATTCCAGTCAAGCTTTCTCCTCATTGCAGTGTACAAGAAGCACTACCCACCTGCGCTGCAAGACGAGGTCTGGAGATTGGAGAAAGTCGGGAAAGATGGGTCCTTCCACAAGAGGCTGAACAGGAACAACATCCTCACGGTGGAGGATTTCCTCCGCTACGTTGTCAGAGATCCTCAGAAGCTGCGCAATGTAATGCTGCCATTTCTGAGCCATCCTCTCCTTCGCACGGTCTGCTGCTATCTCTGCTTCGCCTTATAATCCGTGGGCTGGCTGCAGATCCTTGGGAGCGGCATGTCCAATAAGATGTGGGAAAGCCTCGTGGAGCATGCCAAGACCTGCGTCTTGAGCGGGAAGCTCTACGTCTACTACTCCGACGACACGAGGACCGTTGGCGCCACATTCAACAACATATATGAGTTCTGTGGGCTCATCGCCGGCGGGCAGTACTACTCCGCAGACAGCCTCTCCGACACTCAAAAGGTCGGTCCCATGAACTGAAAAATCAGCCATTTATTTCTGCTAGATGACGTGATTACAGACTTTATTCATTCTTTATGAGAAGCGTGCCCTGAAGATCTCAGCCCAGAGATTCATTCTCACACAAAAATAGAAAAAAAAACGCATGAACATCTTATCGCTGCTCGATTTCCCTTGTGCTCTTTAGGTTTTCGCCGACGGGCTTATGAAGAAGGTGTATGATAATTGGGTAGACGTGGTGGAGTATGACGGGAAGGCTCTTCTAAGCGCCGAGCACAACAGCAGGGGGAGCTCCTTCCAGGCTGCTCTACCTCCTCCGGCGGATTACTCGGCTTACGACCAGCAGGCTCCTCTGCCCGGCTTCCAAGTTCTTGCTTCTGCTGGGCACGCTCCCCTTGAGGGAGGACTGGCTGTTGGAGGTAGCTGTTTCTTCAACCTCTGCCATTTCTTTTTATCCGAATAATTAAAATACATGGATAAAAGTGTGTTGATGGGGTTTGGTCAACGATTGGCTGTCGCAGGTAGCTTTTTCTACGCTTGTTGCATTTTTAAAATTTTTTTTGATGAATAATTACTTGGTTCAATGGAAATATTTATGGGTTTCTGGCAACTAAATAGATGAAATTGTGTCAATGGGGGGTTTGACCATGGCTGGCTGTCGGAAGTAGCCATTTCTTCAACCCTCCTGATTTATTTATTGTAATGAATAATTGCTTGAATCGACATAAATATTTAAGATTTTTATCCGTAGACTTGGATAAAAGTATGTCGGTAGGGTTTGATCGAGGACTGGCTGTTGGGGGTAGAAATATTTATGATTTTTAGACAATCAAATCTATAAAAGTTTGTCTATAAGGTTTGACCTGGAAGCATGACGCCTCTCTCTCTCTCTCTCTCTCTCTCTCTCTCTATTCCATCAGGTCAGGGTTAGGGCTTCTTGTCGGTTTTGTCCGCTGATTTGATGGTGTCTTACCTGTTCGAGCATCTTGATTTGTCATCTTGACAGAAGATCTTGGTTTCTGTCAGGAACAGCTTCCAGCACTTACAGCGTTGGCAGAATGGGAAGATATCCATCTCACCTGAGGCAGCCCCTCTCTGGCCCCGCCATTGACCCCGCCGCTGACCGAGTCCACCTGCCGCCGACGACCTACACGGGGGCCGGATTGGGGCCGGATCTCGGCTCCTTTGATGACTGGTCCTCGAGTCATCTGTTCTCCGAGGAGGAGATCCGAATGAGGAGCCATGAGATGCTGGAGAACGAGGACATGCAGCACCTCCTCCGGACCTTCACCATGGGCGGCGGCGCCTCGGTCAACTCCCTCGACGACTACGGGTACGCGTGCCCTCCCTACAGGCCCTCGTTGACCCCGGGCTTTGACCTCGGGGAGGGTCAGAGCCGGCCGCCAGGGAAGGCGATGGTCGGATGGCTCAAGATCAAGGCGGCCATGAGGTGGGGGATCTTCATCAGGAAGAAGGCGGCTGAGAGGAGAGCTCAGCTCGTTGACCTGGACGACTGATGCCAGCCCGAGGTGGCCTTCGATGTAGGACATTGTTTGTACAGTTGACTACTTGACTCGTTTTATGAAAAGTTGTGTCGATTCCCAGCATCCCCCTCTGTCCTGCCCCCCGCTGTTCCAATCCACGTGGCATTCTCTGGATGGGCAACGTTCTTAATCACCACAGGAGCGAATCACGTTAAACTGTGGCTAAATATGTTAGTGGGCTGTCGGAATCCGGCCCAGTCAAGTTACGGCCCCAAGTTTGTTGGGCTTTCTGGCCCAACTAGAATGCCCGAGGCGGTCTTCCAAGTAGGCACTGACAATGTTTTGTACAGTTGATTTGGTGATTGGCTCTCCCTCCCGTCCACGGGCAGTCTCTGGATGGGTATGGTGAGCCCCTTAGCCCAAAATGTGCTGGGCTTATATGGCCCACCTAGAAAGCCCAAATAGCCACTGTAGCCCCGCCTCGGGGTCTGCTTAATGGACTCTATGTTATTGGGCCTAATCCATTATATAATAATAATGATTCATGTTGGGCCCAAAAATCCGTTAACTCTCTTATCATTAGGGGCCGACAGTTTTTGGGCCGGAATCGGCCCGTTAGGTTTAGTCGACAAGTCAGAAAGGAGGGGGGGGGGCGGGGCAGGAGGAAGGCAGAAAAAGGGAGAGAGAGAAGCGGAGGCTGTGGGGCTGTGGATTCGAGGTTCTGCTCGTCCATCTCTGCCGATCCTGAGAGCCGTGCACGAAGAGGGAACAGTAAGCAGTCAGAATGGGCGGGGGAAACGGGCAGAAGGCCAAGATGGCAAGAGAGAGGAACATGGAGAAGCAGAAAGGGGCAAAAGGTGGGTGCAACCCGCACAGATCTCTCGTTGCTTTCTTGAATTTCGGTTTCATCTACCTGTGTTTTTTCTTCTTCCCGTCTTCGAATCGCTATGAATTTGGATGAGATCTGAAGATCCGTCTTTGTTGGTGTGACCGTGCAGGTAGCCAGCTCGAGACGAACAAGAAGGCCATGACCATCCAGGTTTGATTCCCCGTCCACCTATCTTCTCATTCATTTTATCGCAAATTCTTATGATACGTGGTCCTGTTGTTTGCTTTTTAATAGAGCCCTAGAACGATTGAAAGAAATTAACGGAAACGACATAGATTTTCCCATTTACCTCCGATCTGCAACGAATTTTGCCACCGTAATGTGTCGGGGGTGACTTTAGAAAAAAGGCAGAGGACTCTTATGCTTGTTTGGAGGAAAGAGAAGTCTCGTCTTTCTGGGACCCCGCTGAAGCGTCTGAGAATGTGTTGGTAGTAGATCTACCATAAATCCGGTGAATAAGTTTCCAGAAACTCAACCTCTACGTATGATAGATGCTGATTCCCCAGGAAATTCTTATCCAAATAGTTTCTACAATGCAAAATTTTCAATTAATAATTTTGGAAAATATATGTTTCTGAGGGAAGTCAGATCTTGTCCGATCGCAATGATCTAATCCTATATGCGCTGAAATCGCTCGGAGAGCATGGTCAAAAGGCTTTCAGTGATCTCTCGATAACGTAGATTATAATTCTTCGTTGTTGGTCAGAGCGATTCAAAGCTTGTTCACCTATTTATTCGATTGTAGAGCTGCGAAGACTGTCATGAGCAGATCTCATCCATTCCTCATCATGTTTGTATTGTGTGATACTGACAATCGTTCTGGGAGGAGTGCCGGCCCATCGCTTCCTTCTCTAGAAAGATTTCCAGGGACTAAAATACTGCAAATATATGGCAGAAGCCAGTGAATTCAGTCCTGCACACAGGTAAAACCATTTAATCAGAACCCTTTGAGCCCTATCGGGAAATTTCCTGCTAGCAAGTGGGAATTATTGCGCCCATTTCATGTATGAAATCTTCTGTAGGACCCAAACTCCTGTCGTGTTATTTGCTCAATGTACATTTTGTTCAAGCTAAATCCCTAACAAAGGATTAGGGTTGGTTTGAGCCAATCAGGAAGTTTCCCACTTCAAAGTGAGACTTATTGCCTCCATTTCGTGTATCAACTTTGTTGGAGTAGCCTAACCACATCATGTTATTAACTTCATGCGAAGCTTGTTTAGGTTAAATCTCCTCTAAAACATTAGCCTTGCATCTGCTGGACTCCTTGAGTAACATGATTCTGTGCTGTTTCTAAGAAGGAACGATGCATTATTTCAGATGCTTACTGAAAAGAATATCATTTTCATGTGCACGAATTGATGATACTCCAAGCTTTTTTTCTATCGGTTTACTGTCGAGAAGGCTAGAAAAGGTCAAGAAATGTGAAGTTAGGTTGATTCTCCTCAGATTAAAAAGCGGGTATATCAGGCGGATTACCACGAAAAGGGAATTGTCCCATGGTGGGAACTAGGAACTGCCCTTTTTGGTGCAGGACGATGCCACCTGACGTTCATTCTTGTTCACTAGGAATTATTTCAGAAGCATGGCCTAAGGTCATACCTCGTACATCTTTCTGCTTCCAGGTGGTGATTCTCTGTGGTTTTTGAAGAGAGATTGTACATATTGCCGCATTCGGCATATCTTTAAGAGAGGGAAAAAAGAAGAACGTTAGGTCAACTCTAACGGAAGAATACGATTATTCTTACTTTATAAGACGATTAAAAATGGCTGGATATAGAGAGGGTTCTAACCAGAACGTTTTCCCAGAGGGTTTGCTTGTGGCTATATCAGCTGATTTGTCTCTGAATATAGTTGACTTGTCCTGTATTTATGGATGCAAAGTCAACTGAACAATATTAATTTGTGTGATTGTTGATCAAAACGTATCTGCCGAAAACTTCTGTCAAACGAGTTCGTGAAACCAAACGAATGATCATGCGATGCTTGCATCTACATGCTAGTAGGATATCAGCTAGATAACTCTGCATATATGGCCCAATGATTTTTTACCTTGCACAAAACTGGACCTGAATCCATCCATTTCTCGCGCAAAAAAAAAAAAAAAGTTTTCTTCCTATTTTTATTAACTCCTTTTTTAAGTAATTTCTCAATTTTTTTATGTCATCATCTGCATGTCTGGAGAGGGCTGAATGACGTTAGTTTCTGAAGCAAATCAGAACCCACATGAAGAAAATTATTAAAAAAACATTTTCTTTCTTTATTTTTTGTGACCACCCCCTCAGAACAAAAAAAAAAAAAAAAAGGAGAACTCCCATTGTGTCTAGATGACGCTGTTCCAGTCTCTTTTCTTTTTTTTCTTTCTTTTATTCATCTATTTTCGAGAATTTATTTATTTATTTATTTATTTATTTATTTATTTATTTATTTATTTGGTTATATTTCTTTCAGTGCAAGGTATGCATGCAGACATTCATCTGCACCACTTCGGAGGTGAAATGCAGGGAGCATGCGGAGGCAAAGCACCCGAAGAACGACGTTTATCTGTGCTTTCCCCATCTCAAGAAATAGTAGTTTTAGTCGTCGGTGGAAGGAGCGGCGCCGTCATCCGGCACCTTTTATCCGAAAGAATATATAGATGCCACTCGTCTTCACGAAGAACAGCTAGCTTCGAGACCCCGCCCCCGTTGACCTGTTGACTGCTCTCCCATCCGTGCCGTCGACCGTGGAAAATACAGAGTCAGTGTGGATACGATGTGTGGTGTTTCCCTCTCTCCCTCTCTCTCTCTCTCTCTCTCTCGCTTCTCGTCTCGTTCTTCGTTCGGGCTCGTGGAATGGGATTATGGTAGGAACCTGGGTTCCGTTGACCCTTCTCGTGCGAACTCTCTAACTACTCAATAGGACTCTACAAGACTCGTGAACAGTGACGAAGAAGAGGATGAGACGTTGACTCTAGAGAGAGAGAGAGAGAGAGAGAGAGAGAGGGAAGAGGATATTCCTCCACAAGACCGTTACTCACGATCTGGTGTAACGTGTCCCACTTTTTCCGGAGAAGACGCCCGAGTTACAGAAGGTGAAGTCCACCCTTACGTGGAGTTGACCGTTTCTTTCGGGGCACGTGGAGGACAGACAAGGGTCTATCAGATTACCGAGCCCGGATTACGCAGATGCCCAGTTGGCAGTTTACATGATGACGAGGTATCCATGTGGATGCCACGTGGTATGGAATCCAGATAGCCCGCTAGTCTGTGCTCCTGACAGGTGGAGGGCATGAGGGGAAGCCCTTTTTCCCTAATAAGAACATGAGCTTTGTTTAGAGAACCCAGTTGACTTTTTCTTCTACTAGCCTCTTCCATTGTTTGTTAGGTCCCTTCGGGGACATCCGATAAAATTGGAACGATACAGAGAAGATTAGCATGGCCCCTGCGCAAGGATGACACGCACAAATCGAGAAATGGTCCATTGTTTGTTGGATCGTTGGATTCGGATTACCAACTGCCAGCTGGCTGGCGGGTGGGCATCTCCGCGGTCAGCGTTGAAAACGTGCACGTTGGCGTAATCACCCGCGAAGAGATCCTCCCCTCGCCACGTTTCTGAGCTGGATTTTTTTCATCTATTGGAATTATCCATTAATATCATACTGAATAGGTCCATCTGACGTGACTACCGAGTGAGTTCAGCCCTTTCATTTGCCTGGTGGGCTGTCGCGGAACTGCCAGCTGGCAGATGGCGCGCATTCCTATGTCGATGGAAACCAACCATTTAGGGCATATCCACGTAGAAGCCCTCGCCCACTCCTCACCTCCCCCCACGTAGAGGCTGAGACTGCTCGAGGTTTCTGAGCTGGATTTTTCGTCAGAATTTGGCAAAAAATCCAGGTCTAGATAAAATAAAATAATTAAAATTCTGAGCTGAATATTTTTGTCGGAATTTCGCAAAAAAAAAACAGGCCCAGAATATTCAGCGATCTGGGTCCAGAATTCCGAATGGGATGTGGCACTCTGACGTGGCTACGGAGAAATAAAATAATTAAATTTGTTTATTTTATTTCCCAGGTTGGTGAGCAGACGGGGGGTCGAATGGGGAGAAGGTGGGCCCAGAAAAACAGGCGGGAAAAAGGAAGCTCCCTCACTCTTAGAATATCTTACAACGCCCCTCACATCCTCTGTATCTTCAGTCGTCGGCGCCGGCGCCGGCGGCGGCGACGGCCGCGTGACTCAGTGGCGGTAGGTGGCGGCGAACCCGTCGGCGAGCATCGCCCTGAGGTCCTTCCTCAGGATCTTCCCTGAGGGCGCTTTGGGGATGGTCTTCACGAAGAAGACCTTGTGAATCCGCTTGTAGAAGACCACCTGCTTGGAGATGTACTGCTTCACCTCCTCCTCGGAGATGGACGACCCGTCAAACCTCACCACGAAAGCCACTGGAATCTCTCCCGCCGCTTCGTCCTTCATTCTGCGAGATCAAACCAGAGGAAGATGATTAGTGAGATGACCGCCGGATTAATCAAAGCGGCGGCGGCGGCGGCGGCGGTGGAGGAGGAGGATGAGGAGGAGGAGGAGCATTGGGGGAGGACTTACGGGACGACGGCGGCGTCGGCGACTTCCTGGTGGGCGACGAGCATGGCCTCGAGTTCTGCGGGGGCCACCTGGAAGCCCTTGTACTTGATGAGCTCCTTGAGCCTGTCAACGATGAAGATCTCGTCGTCGTCGTCGACCAGCCCCACGTCGCCGGTGTGCAGCCATCCCTCCTCGTCGACGGTCCTCGCTGTCGCCTCCGGATCGTTAAGATATCCTGCACCACCAACCCCATTGACGATCAGAAACAAGTCCGAGATAAACGACGATAGAGAAAGAAAGAAGGAGAGAAATCTGACACCCATTATCGGAACTTATCAGGTTTCGGTGGGCTTTTACCTTTCATGATCTGGGCGCCTCTGATGCAGATCTCGCCGGCGCTGTGCCTCGGCAGGGAGTCGCCGGAATCCGGGTCGACGATCTTGAGCTCGGCGTTGCGGACGACGGTGCCGCAGGCGCCTGACTTCACTGTGTAGGGTTCCTTAGCGAAGGCCAGGCACATGGAGAGCACAGGGCCAGCCTCCGTCATCCCGTAGCCCTGACCAATCGTCGCGGTGGGGATCTTCGCTTTCAGAGCGTCCTCAAGCTCCTTCCCCATTGGCGCCGCCCCGGACATGATGGTGCGAATGGAAGAGAGGTCGTAGCAGTCGATCATGGGGCTCTTAACGAGCGCCAGTACGATGGGTGGCACGAAGGGGGCGATGGTGACGCGGTGGCGCTGCACCAGGTCCATCATCGCCACCACCTCGAACTTGGGCATGATCAGGATCGCCGACCCGGCTCGGAGCCCGCAGAGGAGAACCGAGTTGAGAGAGTAGATGTGGAAGAGCGGCAACACGCAGAGGACCACGTCCTCGGAGCGGAACCAGAGATTAGGGTTTTCTCCGTCCACCTGCTGGGCCACGCTGGTGACCAGGCCCCGGTGGGTGAGCATCACCCCTTTGGGGAGCCCCGTGGTGCCGGAGGAGAAGGGCAGCGCCACCACGTCGTCCGGTTGGGGATCGACCGGCGGCACCGCCGTCTCGTCAGCGGAGGTGAGCTCGGAGAAGAGGATGCATCCCTCCGGCGCCGGCGAGTCGGTGCAGACGATTTTCACTCCTTCCAGCCCCTTGAACTTCTCCACGTAGCAGGACTGAGTCACGACGAGCCTGGCGCCGGCGGCGATCGCCTGCTTGTGGATCTCGGCGGGGGTGTAGAACGGGTTGGCCGTGGTGGTGGCGGCTCCCCGGAAGGAGGCCCCGAGGAAGGAGAAGACGAATTCCGGCGAGTTGGGGAGGAGCACCATGATCACGTCGCCCTGGCGGATACCCAGGTTATGGAGGCCGGCGGCGACGCGTCGGGCGGTGAGCGCCACCTCCGCGTAGGTGTAGATTCTTCCGGTGGGGCCGTAGATTATACAGGGCCTGTCAGCGACGGCGGCGATGTTCTGAAAGCAGTAGGAGTGGAGAGGGAGGTGATTGGGGATTTCTATATCGGGGAGCTTGGAGCGGAAGATGATCTCCTTCTCCACTGGCGCCGCCATGGAACCCATCTAGCCGGAACCGGCGAGGTTAGGTCACGGGCCGCTTATTTTGTTCACGGAGAGGTGAAGGTGAAGGAAGAAGATGCCGGAGCTACTCTTCGGGAGGCGTCTTCTTCTTCCACCTTCCTGAGAGTTCGGTGGGGGGAGGGTGGGCTTAATGTAGTGGTGGCAGGAGGAGGAAGACGATGGGCCGATTGTAATTTTAGTGAAGTACAGGGTTGAGTAATGGTCTCCGGAGTTGGTGAGAGACTTCGGAGGCGCACTAAGATAGTGCCCCACCTCCATATGGAAGGAGACCAGGCGTGGGCGGGGCAGCTTCCCTCATCGGCGGCGTAGATACAACAAGGCGGCGCCGGCGCCGCCTTGTTGTATCTGCCACCTACTGAGCCGATGGCGGCAGCTGGTCGAAGTTAGCCGGCGCACGCCGAAGCCGGCTGGCCAAGTCGCAGTCTCACCAACCCCCAGACGGAGTCGCTAGACTCGGTATGTGGCCCCACTGCCCGCCCAATGATTTTGTACCGTCCGATCTGACGGCACCCCCGATCTGATCTGGTCAGCATGCCCCCACGGGTGGTTGTTTACTGACGTGTGCTTGCGTAAGACCACGGTCCACTGGATTATCCGGTGACAAACGTGTGTCAACCCTCTCTCTCTCTCTCTCTCTCTCTCTCTATCTATGCGATTACTACCATAATTAGCGTCGGCTCAGACAAGTTAGGAAGGACCCTGCGGGATTCTCGACGCGCCGACACTCGAACACCAACCACATGCTGATTCAGCGGACGGGTCCCGTCAAAGGGAAACCTAATCCTTCGGGCAACCACTCTCCGCCACCCTTGTGGTCAGAGGACCGCCTTCTTGAAGTCCAACTTTTCTCAGTTCAGATAGATAAGTCAAAGTAATGTCCACCCCGTGATGGGCAGCCTGATCCGAATACCTTAAAGTTGATTTTTTTAATTTGTGGCCGGAGTCGGTAGATAAGAACGTGGTTCCGGCCCAATCCGACGGTATTTGATTCAGATCAGGATGGCCCAAACGGCCCATGGGCCTAGCTACGTCAACGACCTGGGTTCAGGGGATTCGGCCCATTAATCTGCGTAAGGGCAATGGAAATCCCCCGGGTGTCTTATTGGGCCCAGCAGGTGGGACTCGTTTTATCTGAATATGGTTCTATTTTTTTTTGTCAAATTATGTTTTTCTCTCGATAGGCCTGCTGTGGGCGCTGCGAAGAGAGAGAGAGAGAGAGAGAGAGAGAGAGAGAGAGAGGGAGGGAGAGAGTTCGTGTGGAGCCCACATGACTGGTCAACCCCAGAGCCAGGATGGATCTATCGTACGAGTCACATGCACAGCGATACGTGCGCAGTCCCCTTATTATTTTGTTCATTAATATCGGGAAAAATAAAAATATACCCACAATTTACACACTTCGTCCCCATCAACTCACGAAATCAACAATTCGTTTTTTTTCGAGAAAATAGAATAAATAATGGAACAAAAGATCCTCCTCTAAAACTTGGAGACCCTCTGCGTCGACGAACAAAATCTAAACCACCGGCGGCAGCGGCGGCGGTGGCGGCGGTGGCGTCATTCCGGTGAGATCCCCTTCGAAGCTGTTTGACATGCAGTACCGGAGCTCGAGCGAGATCTGCCGTTCCACCTCCAGGTGACGCCGGAAGATGGCGATGAAGTTCTCCGTTCGGTCGTCCACGTCATCAGCCCGCGGCGGCGAGCCGCTGGTCGTCCTCAACGCCTCGTCCATGGCGGCACCGGAGTTCCTGGAGATCTCCGACCAGACGCTACTCATCGTCCGGCCGAGGATTCTCGGCGTGGAAGCGTCGGAGGGGCACTGCGGAGAGGCTGCGTCGTAGAACTCCTCGCTGTCGATGATGGAAACGACGTCTAAAAGACCGTATGGCTCCTTGAAGCTCAGCCGCCGTTGCTGCCGGCTAGCGACGGCGCCACCGCTGTAGAGCCATCGGGTGAGGTTGGTCGAGAGCAAGAATTTCACCTTCTCTACGGCTCCCTTCAGGCGCCTCAGCGGCATGGGTATCCCAGCACCCATCTTTCCTTTTCCTGGAGAAAGCCATAATGAGTTTTTATGCAAGTAGAGAGAGAGAGAGAGAGAGAGGGAGGGAGGAAGCAGAACAGAAGGGTCTGGGTTACCCACAGGAACAAGCTACTCGGTTTGAAGAAGACGTGGGCAACAGAAGAAGCGTATTAGACTAGATAACAGAGTCGTGCCGAGTAGCTGCCCACGAAAGGCTCTTGACCGTACGATGGACGAGAGATGATCCCTTGATGCGAGCTCGTTGACCGTCTTGGTCCCATGCGGTAGAGGCGACCGAGTTCTCCATTAGCCAGATGCCGGAAGGATAATACCCGTCAACCGACAAAACGACAAAAAATTCTGGGGGGAGGGGAGAAAAGAGTCAAGTCAACGACGTGTTGATGGAGCCGGTGTCGCCTCTTGGCGTTGACATTTCCGACGTGGATCATGGGAAGGGACCTTGTAAACTTTTTTTGATCGGATCAGAAAAAGAAAGCAAAGTGATGATGCGGTCGTGACTGCCACGCGGGCATGGAGGTGGTACTGACAGGTGGCAACCAGTGTTACTGACGTGGAAGTCAATCTGATCATGAATGACAGGTCACGACGGACGTTCGTGATTGCCCGGCAGAACTCCGGGCTAGCAGTGCTCCGACCCACCGACACAGTACCAATATAGTCTAAATGATTTTAAAAAGTATATATTTTAAAATATTTTTATTATGTTGGCTTTTTGAGAGAAATAGGAATCCACGTTAAAGGGTCCGCCGTCTTCTGATCACGATCAGAACCGTTTAACGGGTGATACCTACATCTGGCGGTCTGATCGCTGCGGTTCTGGCTCTGCCGCCCGTGTTTGTTTGCAACGGTGTGCGCGCAACGCTTGGCATCTCGTGTCCAGCTCATCGATCCGGGTAAGGGGCCTTAACCAATCAGATGGCAGAAAAATAAATCTAACGGACAGTATTGATCTCAGGGCTACACGCGGATCTGAGAGCATCTAACGGCTGTAAAAGGAGATCTTCTTCTTTATATTACGGACGACGGGCTCTTCCCGCTAAGGAGACTGAATGTTCTGCGAGAAGAGTTAATCTCTGAAGCCATTGTTCTCTGTTTCGTGGAGCAGGCGGCGCTGCCATGTCTGGCCGTGGAAAGGGAGGAAAGGGGCTGGGGAAGGGCGGCGCCAAGCGTCACCGCAAGGTGCTCAGAGATAACATCCAGGGGATCACCAAGCCGGCGATCCGCCGCCTGGCTCGGCGCGGCGGAGTTAAGCGCATCAGCGGCCTGATCTACGAGGAGACGAGGGGCGTCCTCAAGATTTTCCTTGAGAACGTCATCCGCGACGCGGTCACCTACACCGAGCACGCTCGCCGGAAGACCGTCACCGCCATGGACGTCGTCTACGCCCTCAAGCGCCAGGGCCGCACGCTCTACGGCTTCGGGGGGTGAAGGCCGATCGAGGATCCGTATTTCTTGTGGTCGTCTGTGCAGATGCGTATGTCCCTAGGTTTTCGTTTTTTCTGCGAATTTGTAGTGAACTTTTACTTGGAGGAATCATCGGTTCATTCCTCATCGATCGACTAGAGATAGAGAAGGTCGATTTGGAGGAGCTCGTTCTCTTCTTCTGGTGGTGGTAGATTGTTAGAATACGGGTGATGCAGGATGTTAGCCGATGATGTTCTTCAACTATCGACCAATCCCGGTGGGACCGACGCCATCTGTCCGTGTTCAAATTATTTTCGCGTTTAGATAAGGGGAAATGGCCCATCCATCTCTCTCCCTTTCTCTCTCTTAATCTGTGGAAGCAATCATAAATCAAGCAGATCTTCACGGTGCCGCTAAGCTGAATTTTCAGCAATTTTTACAGAATAATTCCCCGAGCGATAATATTCGAATTAGACCTGACGATCGATGGTATGAGCGATGTTAGAGGAATTATTTTCGAAGTAAATGTGATTAGTAATGGAGATCATGTAATTATGATTCTTAATCTGCCTAACATTTCGATCGGTTGTTCTTGGACATTATCTCTAATGGCGGAGAAGTTGACCGTATTTTGCTCCCGCATTCTCGGGTGAGATTCACGTTTAAGAGTTTCATGGAGTCGGCAGTAAAGGAGATTGACACTGTCGTGTTTTTCTTAGACGGCAGTCCGAAGGTTGACGTCTGGTCGTTGACCAACGGCTTCCATAAGATCGTTTAAAGGAAGGATCGGATAGTCGTTTCGTCGCGTTAGCTCAGAGCTTAGTCGGTCCTAGGAGAACGGAGCAAAGCGTGGGAAGGGAGGATGAGAGCGATGACTCACACGTGCGTAGAAACTTGACGGCGGCGGCACGTGTCTGCGGTGGTCTCCTGAGGTTTGGTGCTCTGCGCTTCTGCTGCTCCCCGGGTACGGCTCTCGTTAAACCCTTTCTTATATCGCCACCACATCACGCTAATCTTATTTTCTGTCGTTTTGTTAGAGATTAGGATTACTAAATTATGCTTTAGGATCCCCGTACCGAGAAGGCTTCTCGCTCTTCACCTCCGCTACGTGGCCGAGGAGGCCGCACCAGTTGGCTGCTGCAGGGTCTCCACTTGTCATCTTCTCTGTTGGCGCTAACTTTCTCATACAGGCTCCCACAGACTCCTTCCTCTCTCTCTCTCTCTCTCTCTCTCTCTCTCTCTTTCTCTCCCTCTCTTTCTCTCCCTCTCTCTCTCTCTGGTTAGAAGAAGTAATGGAGTTTCTCACTTTCCCGGCGACGGGTCCCAATGCTTTGACGGAAAACTGCAGCCCTACCCCGTCGGAGCACCGCCAAGGTAAACGCCGCCTCTGACACCCGGAGCTTTCCTCTGTAGATAGATAGATGCTCCCGGTTTTTCAGTATAATCGCGCGGCCTTGCTTTCTACGCATGCCGGCTTCTGGGGGCTGCTCAGCCGCTACACCGGCGGAGAGGGCGAAGGACGGAGAGGGGGCTCCGGCCGCCGGCTCCGGCGGTGACCAGATCGCGGCCGTCTCCGACATGAACAGGGGTGAGGCGATCCTGCGGGTGTCCCCCGTTGAGGCTTACGGCGGCGAGGTGCCGGCGGCGGCACGGTCGAGGAAGACAGTGGAGAGCAGCTTCGGACAGAGGACTTCCATCTACCGTGGGGTCACCAGGTAAAAAATGGATTTTCAAAAGGATATCATCTAATTTTGCTTCCTTAATATATTTTAAATATAGAAAAAAGTATACTCTCTCTCTCTCTCTCTCTCTCTCTCTCTCTCTCTCTCTCTAGGTATCTTTCTCAACATTATAGAAAAAACCACAACCGCCCTGCATTTGGCCTGAGAAACATCGTAAAAAGATAGTAAAGGTAAAGGATAAAATGTCAGGCACAGGTGGACGGGGCGATACGAGGCCCACCTCTGGGACAACAGCAGCCGGAGAGAAGGTCAGCCTCGCAGGGGAAAGCAAGGTTCTCTCTCTCACTCTCTCTCTCTCTCTCTCTCCCCCTCCCCTCTCTCCTACTATCTCCACTGAGTTATTTCTAACACGTGGGTGGGAATTGTTTCATGGCCTCCGACGGCGGCTGGGGATCCCTGTTTCTGATCTTAGTATATCTGGGTAAGTCAACGGGACCCCTTCTTCCTGGTTCCTACTTCGGGGTGTCTAAATCTTACTAATGCTAATAAATCGTAAATTATTTCTCAGGTGGGTATGACAAGGAGGAGAAGGCGGCGAGGGCATACGACCTGGCGGCGCTCAAGTACTGGGGCCCCACCGCCGCCGCCACCAACTTCCCGGTACGCCCTTTAATGCCCCCAAAGTTTGGTTTATATTATCGAGTATTCTATCTTTGAATAAGCACGCGGGAACCCACACGTGTGAAATAGCCATATCATGCACGAAATGAGCTACACTCACACGTGCCGTGCTCCCCCAGGCTTCCACCTACCGGGGGGACCTCGAAGAGATGAAGAGCATGACCAGGGAGGAGTCTGTCGCTTACATACGGAGGTACACCGATTCCACGTGCACCCCGTCGTTTACGTGCATGGCCCATGCACGTCTGCTCCTATTCTTCCCACGTTCGTTGACCGCCCTGTATTCTTCCGCCCACGTGCGATTTCAGGGGCAGCGCTGGCTTCTCCAGGGGCGTCTCGGGTTATAGAGGCGTCACCAGGTAGTCCTTCGTACGTGCGACACGTGCGACAGACAACTCAACGCATTTCCCTTTCTCTAGCTAGGTTTTCCTTTTCACACGTGTGGTTTACAGGCATCATCACCAGGGGCGATGGCAGGCTCGGATTGGGAGGGTAGCCGGCAACAAAGACGTCTACTTGGGCACCTTCCGTGAGCAGATCAATCATCTTATGCTATAATCAGTAAATAAATAAATCTATATTTATACGTTGACTCTTCTCGCCTGTGATAGGCACCCAAGAGGAGGCAGCGGAGGCATACGACATAGCGGCGATCAAGTTCAGGGGCAGCGGCGCGGTGACGAACTTCCACCTGAGCCGCTACGACGTGAAGAGGATCCTCAACAGCGAGCTTCCCGTCGGCGGAATATCAGGCGGCGGGTTCAAGATTTTCAGCTCGGCCGCCGTCGAGCCCGCCGGCGACAATCTCGGGCGACTGTCGAGCTCCTCTCCGGCGGCCTCCGGCGGCGGCGCCGCCGCCATCCACGGCCAGGGAAGAGGAAGTTATGGGTGGAGTGGTGGGTCATCGGGGAACGGGTACTACGTCGCGTATCCCGCCGCCGCTGCGCCGCCGGCGAGCATCGTCGGAGCCGCCGGATATGGTGGCGGAGCATGGACGACGCCAGTTCCTTCCCCCGTTCCTCCTCCCATGGAGGCTCAGTCGCTGGGTCCAATGACGACGACGGTGGCACTTTTTCAGGCACCTTTCTCCTGGAATGGAATAGCCTGAATCACAGGGATAGAGGGAGAAAGGGAAGTAGATAGATATATATGTAGAGAGAGAGAGAGAGAGAGAGAGAGAGAGAAGCGGTGTTAATAAAGTCACCATCTTTCGCAATGAAGTGGGCCAAATCTCCTCGGTCTGAGCAGGACTCCTCCGTATTTCAGTCTCGGGCTATGGGCCACCGAGTCTTCTAAGTGGGCCAATGCCCATTATCCTCCTAAAAATAGGCAGATGACAGGCCCAATATGTATACTGGGCCTGGGGGTTATTTACATTGGCACGTACCTGTCCCGACAAAGAATTGCCTACGTGGCATCCCTATCTCTTCTCTCTCTAGGAGCTCTCTCTGATCCATGGGGCCCAGTGAGGGAGATTTATGTTGACTTTTTCTGAGGGTCGGAAAATTTGGAGATTTTGGGAAAATTTCCGAAATCAAAATCGGGCAATCGCTGCCAAAGGCCACCGAGGCCGATTCGTCCTCGGCGGACACGCCCGGCTTGTCCTCAGTCCGCGGGCCAGCTCTCGCTCCCCGAGGCCATCCGTTTCCGTTAGGTGTGGGGCCCCGACGCCCGATTTAATTAAATAGTAATTTCGGATTAAAGTTAAAAATTCCGGGCCCCGGTCATGGGAACCCACGCCAGGTTGAGGAGGAGGAGATACCATAAATAATAAATAAAAAATAAAATATCAAACACATAAATATGCAATAGATAAAATATTATATAATAATAATACATAAAGGTGTGATCCCTGCCGTCAAATCGCCACCCGAAGAGGGCAGAAAGCGACGTCCAATGGTTAAAAGGATGGCATGCAGCCTCCGCCACTCTCCTGCCCCTTCCCTTCCACCTCGTCTGCCCTCCCTCTCTCTCTCTCTCTCTCTCTCTCTCTCTCTTCCTCTCTTCCGCGAACACACAGCCCCGTGGGCTTAGAGGGTACCACGGGTCGGGGGTGGACTGTGCGCAGCAGGTTCCCCTTCCTTTGCTTTGGGTATTTTGTATCGTCCTCTGCATCCGATCCTTCTGCGAGAGAAATAAACTGTTTGGGGGAGGAGTTGAGATGATTTTCCGGTGAATTTATGGCTCGTGCTTGCAGGGCCTGGGCTCCTCTTCTCGCCCCCCGGGTTCTGAGGGATGTACGGCAGCGGAGAACGGCGAGAGGGCGCCGGAAATGCGGTGGGGAAGAGGACGAGATCCCCCGTCGTCGATCCTTCCTCTGCCGGTGGGTTTCTCGCTCCTCCACCGCCGTCCTTTCCCCTCTCCTCCGCCATTAAATCTCACGGGTTTTCTCTTCCCTGCCTGCCAATCAGTTCCCGATCTGTGCGTCTGACCGAATAAATACGGAAATTGCGCCCCGGCGCGATAGAAACTGGGATCTTTCGTTCGTTCCTTGGTGGGTTCTTCGATTCGTATCCCCAGGATGTCAATCTCGACGGGTTTGCTCGTCGAATGCCCGTCACTGTTCACGCTGGGAAGCAATTCGTGTCATCATCTTCGTGCTGAAAGGATCACATGGTTTTCTGATTCCTCTTCCTGGGTCGCCTCGATCTGGCTGCTCCCAGACTCCAGGAACTTCTTATGGTCGGATCAATCACGGTTCATACGATTTCCTTCTCATTTTCCTCTTCTTCTGGATGTCTATTCCCTCTCGCCCCTCTCTCTTTCTCTCTGGTACGGGTAAAGAAATCTGTAGCGTGGCCGGTTTCTCCATGGTTCTTGGCCGCTGGTCGCCGATCGATCTTGCCCAATTCTCTTTCTCTCTTTCTAGACTTGTGTTATCGCGTGTGGCCAAATCGGCGACGGCCTCTCACATCAATCCCCGCTCGTCCCTGTCGCAGGAGCAGCAGCCGACCGCTCCAACGTCTCCAAGATGAGCAGGGAGGAGAAGCGGGTCCTCGTCCACGACCTGGCGAGGTCAAAGCTCGGCTCCCCGGAGCTGCTCCAGTCCTGGTCCCGCCGGGAAATCCTGGAGCTCCTCTGCCTTGAGATGGGGAAGGAGAGGAAGTACACCGGCCTCACAAAGCACAGGCTGATCGAGCACCTCCTGAGAATAGTAAGTCAGAAGGAACCGGCCGAGAATGAGCCCGTACCAGCTCCGTCGTCCTCTCCGGCGCCGGCGCCGGCGCCGCCGTCTAAACGGCAGAGGAAGAACGGCCGCCCCTCTCGCCTGCGGGTCGAGACGGGCGGCGGCGAAGTCGATGGGGAGCACCGATTCTGCCGGAATTTGGCCTGCCAGGCGGCGATGGGCGTGGGAGAGGCCTTCTGCAAGAGGTGCTCCTGCTGCATTTGCCACAAGTATGATGAGAACAAGGACCCGAGCCTGTGGCTGGTCTGCGGCGGCTCTGAGGATCTCTCCAGGGAGGGCTCCTGCGCCATGTCTTGCCACTTGGAGTGCGCCCTGAGGCACAAGAAGTCGGGTATGGCCGACAGTGGGCCCGCCCCCAAGCTCGATGGGGCCTTCTACTGCGTGTCCTGCGGGAAAGTCAACGACTTGCTCGGGTAATCCCTTCCTTCCTTCCTCCGCATTGTCTGCACATATAGTTTCGATCTGATCTTGCTTCCTGTTCTTGAGAGAAAACCCAAGATTATTGTTTTATTTGTTTTCTTGAGTATTCGGCTCTTGATTATTCCTATAATCGCTCTCTGGGTTTTTGATGATCTCCTCATTTATCGGAGGTGATGCTTGGATATATGGGAGTGCCTGGGTTGACTCTCTGTGCTCGTCGGAGATTCTGCTGGTCAAAAGGGATTAATGGGGACATCCAATTGCCCTTTTTGGATTCATGGGCTTTCTCAGAAATTTTCATCTGAATGTCAACGCCAACACCTCCTTCTCCCCCTTTTTTCTCGTATTTTTCTTCTTCTTCTTCTTCAACGCCAAACCCAGCTGCTTAAGTATGTTTCTAGCTCAGAAAATATGCATCTTTAAAGGGATTTTTCCAGCATTAGATGCGTTGACCCTCGAATGTCCTCAAGCTGCATGCCATAATTGGAAAGTGTCTGTGATTCTGGTCCACACGATCCACGCATGTGGAACAGATTTTTCCAAAATCGAATTCTCTGTGGGACGTTGTTAGTGTGTTTTTTTTTTCAAATGTTCTTCGGGATGATTCGGACCGCTTTTTTTTTTTTGTTATCAATTTGTTTACTGCGTTCTCTGGGCAGATTTTTATTCCGTTTTAATCGATTTTCTCTCTCCTCGCTCTTCCGGTGTCCGCATACTTCGAGGGTAATTTTGTCGTAGTGGGCTTTGAAAACTATGCTCAATTCGCTTTATTTTTCATGATTTTATCCTCCCTTTTCTCAGATTTTATACCCAGTTCCACGATTATTTATACATATGCCCAGTTTCACTCATAACACTGTAGAGAGAGAGAGAGAGAGAGAGAGAGGGGGGGGGGGTTGACTTGTTATTTCTTTCACTAGGTGTTGGAGGAAGCAGCTTGTTTCTCTCAAAATTTCTACCCAGTTCCATGATTTCATGTAGAGATTGATAGATAGAGAGAGAGAGAGAGAGAGAGAGAGAGAGGGAGAGAGAGGGGTTGACTGTTTGTTTCTCTCACTAGGTGCTGGAAGAAGCAACTTGCCGTGGCGAGGGACGCGAGAAGGGTGGACATCCTCTGCTACAGGGTCTCCCTGGCCCACAAGTTCCTCCGTGGGACGGAGAGGTTCCAGAGCCTCCACTCCTTCGTCGACGCCGCCATGAAGAAGCTCGAGCAGGAGGTCGGAGCTCTCGACGGCCTCCCCGTCAGGATGGCCCGCGGCATCGTCAACCGACTCTCCTCCGGCGCCGAGGTTCAGAGGCTCTGCGCCGACGCCATCTCTCTCCTCGGCTCCATTCTCCCTCGACCTCCGCCACCGCCGCCGCCGCAACGGTCGCCTCCGCTGGCGAGCCAGGTTGAGGTTCTCTTTCTTCAGGCGGCGGCAACCACCGCCGGCGAGGAGGGCGGCTCGCCTGAGTCGGAAACCCGGAGCCCGAAGAGCAGCGATCCTCTGGTTCTCTCCGAAGGCGACGAGTCCGACAACACGGCGCCGTACGGGGACCCCGGAAAGCTCTCCGAGAACGGCGGCGATGGCCTCGCCGGCGGCGGAGGGGAGGAGGAGGAGGAGGAGCCGAGCTCTACGATCCAGACGGACTCCCACAAGGACTCCTCCAACTCCACGGACCTAAACCAGCCGGCAGGGGGGAAGGAAGCGGCGGCGGCGGCGGCGGTGCTCCCGATGACGCCGTCGAAGGTGGAGAGCTCCAAGGACGCCGGCGGCGGAGTGGAAGAGCTGCTGCGGGGAAAGAAGGTGGTCGGGGCGAGGAGGGAGGAGCTCCGGGGGAAGGTGATGGAGGAGGAGAAGGAGGGGAGCTACGAGTACTGCGTGAAGGTGATAAGGTGGCTGGAGTGTGATGGGCACATAGAGAGCAGCTTCAGGGTGAAGTTTCTTACCTGGTTCAGCCTCCGAGCGACGGCGGCGGAGCGGCGCGTGGTGAGGGTCTTCGTGGACGCCATGGCGGACGATCCTTCGAGCCTCGCCGGTCAGCTCGTGGACACCTTCTCGGAGGCCATCTGCAGGAAACCCCCTCCCCTTCCCCTCTCCGGCTTCTGCACCAGGCTCTGGCACTGATCTCTCTCTCTCTCTCTCTCTCTCTCTCGCTGCCATTAGCAGATTCAACGCCTCCCATTCATTGATCGGTTAATGGGTTTGCTTTGAATGAACAATTGATCTCTTTCGGATTCTCATGTGGATCAGCCGAAGCTTCTCTCTCTCTCTCTCTCTCTCTCTCTATATATATATATATATATATTCCATCTGGTGAATTCAAGTGCAGCAAGCAGCCATGGATTCCATTTCGGAGTCTTCTTCACTTCGAGATCTGCAGATCTCCAGGTACGACGATAAGATCAAAGGTAGAAGAAGGGTGTTCTTCGTTGATTCATTCTTGAGATAATCGTCGTGGCAGACGAAGTGGATGGACAGGAAGGATTAGGGTTTACAGGGGCTTCTGGACGATGAAGGAGATGCACTGGCACTGGCGCTTGTTGTCGAAGGCCAGGAGCCGGACGAAGGCGCTGGGATACGCCGCCTTGCACAGACGGATCTCCTCGAGGACCTGTGAAGAGTCCGCGCAGCCGAACATGGGGAGCTTCCACAGCGTCCAGTACCTCCCGTCGTAGTAGCCGGGGATCTGGCTGTTGGTTCTGTACACGTGCCCCACCTTCAAGAACACCACCAGATTCGATTGAGAAACCTAGAAATTTCCCTCCGATCCAAAGAACTCTGGGCGGAGATCTGAACGGGGTAGGCGATTCAGATCGAATGGATAGTCTCCTGAACGGATGAATCTCCCTTCACATCCTGCGAAAATTGGCGGGAAATCCAAGATCGAAGAGGACGAAGCGGATAAATTCGACGATCGAGATCGAACTGCCGACGTAGAACATATATATTACCTCGTCGAATTCCAGGCAGGGGATCCAGCCCTTGGAGATCATGTACTCGATCTCCTTCGCTATCGATTCGTCCGACAGAGGCGGCAGATAGGACAGCGTCTCAAATTTCTTGTTGTTCAAGGGGCTCCAGACCTGAGACGAGACGGAGATATTAATGGCGAAAAGAAATAGTGTGTGTGTGTGTGTGTTGTATGTGTGTGTGTGTGAGAGAGAGAGAGAGAGAGGTCGGAGATGAGGAGAAGACCGGAGGATCGGATCGGAGTACCTGCATGCAGTGAGTCCTCGAGCCATTGGAGACGCCGCTCCGCCGCAAGCTCACCGAGCGCTTCGCCGGGAGAAGCCTCATCGGAGCAGCGGGGATCAGGACGCCGCCGCCGACGCCGGAACAGACGATCGCCGCCGCCATCGCCGACATACTTCTCTGTTACTGGAGAGGGAAGTGCCGAACAGCAGGGGGAAGAAGAGGAAGAAGAAGAAGAAGGGAAGGAGATGGAGGAAGGGGGACGGTGTAGGAGGAGACACCTCGGCCATGGCTTTTTATAATGTGGCCGTCGCCTCGGTTCCGCCGGCGGCGCCGGCGGCGCCATTAACTTAATGAGAAGCCGTTCGCATGTGAGCTCAGCGCCCGTTCGTCTCTTCCTCCCCTTGTCGTCTTCGCCCGAACCTACCCGAAGATGCTCGCCGGTGCCGGAAGAACACGTCCGTTGGAGCTCCGCCACGCCAACACGCCACGATGTTGCAGACAGACAATGGTGACCGAGGACACCATTAAAGATCTCTCTCTCTCTCTCTCTGTTTTCCTGAATGCGGCAACAGTTTATCCTGGATGAGTCAGAGGGACAAGATAACTACGCTGAGCCCATCAATCAGGCCGAAGAACTGTGGGACTCAGTTGAAGATTCTGGAATGGAATAGCCTCCCAGTGGACGCTCTGTCTCTCTCCCTCTCTCTGTATTTTTACTGAAGATGGCAACTGGTTATCCTTGAATACAGCTAGGGGCGCAAGATAACTATGCTGAGCCCACCAATCAGGCCGAACAACCGCGGGACCCAGTTGACGATTCTGAATGGATGAACTTCCCAAGTTAGGATGGGAACTCCAACCCGGCCAGATAGAAGTGCCCGGTTCGGTATTTTATAAAATTAAATTAAATATAGATATATGTATATACCTCATTTTATATAGATAAATAAGATATATAGATATAGCATGGATTTAGAATCCGGTAGAAACAAAATAAGATATTATAAATGGATATATTTTAAAGAATCAAGTAATTTTCTTCTTAAAAATTCGTAAAAAAAGGGAATTAAATTGAAAAACCGGACTGACATACACTCCATATAAACATACTATCATAAATAAATATTTAATGAAATACTTTTAAAAGCGAACATTTTCTTAAAAAAATATGTTTAATTCCTTTCTTTTTAAAAAAAAAAAGAGTAAACAGAAATCAGAATCATATCAAACTAGCCGTGCTGTCACACAGTCACTAGAGTCCAGCTGACAGGGCAGCTAGCTTAGTGGCTTGCTTTCTGGGCGTTGACTTCTGATAAAGAAGACCCACCAGGGAGACTAACTTGCTCCCCTCACTGGCAAGCAAGCAAAACCACAGCCAGATGGGCAGAAAATCACACAGCCCCTCAAGTGATGCTAGTTATCCAGACCAAATCACAGCGAGCCAGCAGTGGATAATATTCACAACGATCTTCCAGATGAGAGATGGAACGATTCCGACCGAACAAGTGGAACAAAGAGCACGTGGCAGGGGTCAACCACCATTACTTGGAGATGTGCCGCCGCATACTGACAGATGCACAGGAGACATAAATGAAAAAAATAGGAGCTTCTTCACAACGCTACTGAATATTTCTCGTGGGTTTCTTTCTTGTGTAATACCAGGAGTCCCTAGCATTCTGTGACCTGAGAACAAAGAACTCAAGGTTTCCTTTTTTTTTGAGAAAATTAAATAAAATAAAACTGTGTTGTAGATTTTTAGCCGATGAGAGTGAGCATCTGAAATGGATTAATTAATTCAGTTTATTTCTCGAGTAGAAGCAGCACCAATAGACAGTATTAAGTGCCTAATGAATACATAGGCAGAATTTCTAGCATTTATTTCCATTCATTTGTGAGAGAAAAAAAATGCCCTCTAGAAAGTCAATACATGCAGACTTTCGCACGATATATATTTACATATCATATAGCTTTAAAAAGAGAGAGGGAAGTAATACACAAGTGTATGCATACAGAGAGAGAGAGAGAGAGAGATGACGGATGACATCTCTTATCCAAGCACCTGCCTTTGGCAATCGAGGAGAAAATTCAATGCGAGAAGTTGACATGTTCAGACAGGTTTCTTCAAGAATAGAATATGTACATGCCTACGGGTAAATTTTCGCTAAAATTTCGTAAGAACCTTGTAGGTCTACACTCATGCCAAAAAAAGAAATTTTGGTTCAGAGTAACCAATCTAGGATGAGCTCAACGGATGATGGGTCGAAGGATTCAGTTCCTTGGAAGCATATTGCAAGGAGTTTCTCAAATGATTGTGGATCCGCTATCCAAAGTTACACCAAAATATATGGGAAATGAGCTTCTGTTTGGGACACCATGGAATCACCAACCTCAGGAACAAGGTCTCTGTACAACATGCTGTTTGGTACGTGGCCTAAATCAGGCTTCTGACTCTAAATTCGTGTGAAACAGTATACAGTTAGTATACGATAAAGTGGTCAAATAAGAAATAATGTTCTTCACAGAAAACCGATGTGAGGCATCAGCAAGACCAATTCCAGCTGGAAAGAAACTGAGCATATTCAGATCCTTCAGATTTTTCAATTGACTAGAGAAGAGATAAACTAATGTGCACGAACAAGAAGTAGCGTAAGGAATTTGCAAGATAAAGCGCCGATTTGGACGGGACACTGTCCGCAGGAGAAGCCCAAATGGTGCAAAATTTCGAGAATGGTAAACCCTAACCTTCGTGACCTTACAGCTAGCGGTTGCGTTCAGCAGGAAGTGGCCTATTGAAACCCCCTCTCCGATTCATGTACTGCCTTGGCTGCCGCTTAGTCACCGCTTGCATTCCACTCACGTCGGCCCCAGCGACAGGCTTACCTTTTGTGGAATCAAACCCTAGAGGAATCCCGAGCTTTTTCATCAACTCCAGCTCGTCCGGATCCGTGTCGTTAGGTACCACCGCTTCGCTGTCGGCGCGCGCACCGTCAGCGGAAGCCCCCCGCTGCTTCTTCGACTGATCCCTCGCGGCGCCATCAGCGGACTCCGAGGCGGCCGCCGCCGCCGCCGCCGCCGCCGCGGCACGGCGGCGCTCCTTGTCGTCGTTACCGTCCTCCCCCTTGTGCCGCTTTCTCCGCTGCGATTCCGGCGACGGAGACCGTCGCTGAAGGCGGTCCCTGCGTGACCGATCCGCAGAGCGGGACCGTGATCTGGCCGGCCGGCCGTCCGGCGACCTCGTCCTCGATAGAGCGCGCCGGCGATGGCCTGGAGACCGCGTCCTCTTGCGATGGTGATCCCTTTCCGTCTCTCTCCCCCTTCCCCTCTCCCTCTCCCTCTCCCTCTCTCTCTCCTTCTCCCTCTCCCTCTCCTTCTCCCTCTCCCTCTCCCTCTCCCTCTCCCTCGCTCGATCGCGCTCAATGTCCCTGTCCCTGTCGCGGTGTTCTCGGAGTTCTCTTTCGCGGTCGCGAGGCTTCTCCTTCTCCCTCCTCCGATCCCTCTCCCTATCCGCCATGGCCGCCTTCTCTCTCACTCTCTCTCTCTCGACCTATCTCCCTCACCGGAGGAAGCGCCGCCAGTCCCCGAGACTCTCTGGGCCCCGACGATGACGAAACATCTTATCATAGCAGAGCCGGTCCTCAGGAAGGCCCATCGGCCCAATAAAGCTTTTCCAGCCCACACTCTCTCCGCCTCTCCACCTTCAGTGCTACTAGGCGAGGAATCTAAGATATTCCGAATTTGAAATACCGCAAACCAAACAGTCTTTCACAGCAGGTGGCTCTGGGGCCCGCAGCGCATGCTTAAGAGTCTATGGTGGTAAAATAATAATTACTATTATGATTCTGGAGTGTTTTATAAAATAACTTTAAACATCCGCTACCGGTGGCGATGTGGGGCCCACACTGGTTGAAATTTATAAAAGGTAGGCCAAATTAGAAATTGAAACTAAGAAGAAGGTTTTTTATATAAAAGTGAACTTTAAAAATCAACTGGCTTACTCCCGCCCCATGATTTGCGGTAGTTTACAGTGGTGGTCTTCACTGCCTCGTCTTCCTCTCCGGCGCCGGCGCATCGGGAACAGGCTGGTGGGAGTAGAGGACGGCGCTCCCCGGTTTCTTCGGCATTTAATAGGTGCGGGGAAGAAGAAGATGGATCCCTTCCATTGTCTCTCCACGACAGCCGCTCTGCTTCTCTCCCCTTCCTTTCTCTCAAGCACAGTACAGGTTGCTGCCGGTGATTGCTTCTTCACTCCAGATCGGCGATCTCTTCGGTTACGAGCGACATCGACGAGCACAGGTGGCTGCCGGTGATCATTTCACTCCAGATCGGGGATCTCTTCAGTTACGAGCGCCATCGCCGATCACAGGCGGCCGCCGATCACCATCGCTAGTACCCCTCCCCTTTCTTCCTGCCGGGAAATCAGCCGGAAAGGAGGGAGGACAAGCTGCCGGCACATCTGCGGTAGTAATTCCTCCCCTCCGCGGACGGAGTACGCAAGGATTTTGAGATCCGCCTGGTTCCTGATTCTTCCTCTCCACTTCACTTTCTCCCCTACCACCGTTCCTCTCTGTGATCGCACCAATACGACTCCACCTCTTGTCTTCCGCCACCGTCCTCTCTGCCGCCCCCGACGCCGCCGCTTGCGGACTATTTTTAGAAAAACTTCAGAACACGAATTTCCCCTTCCAGAGATCCGCCACCGGGCCTTTTTTCCTGCTCAATGTCACCGGCTACCTCCAAAACGACGACACCACCACCACCAACTGCCCTGTGGGGCCCAGCCTAACCTGTTCTGTCTGTTTCCAAGCCCAATAATCAGAATCAAGCCCATTAAGAACGACTCCACCGGGGACCACCACTCGACCCCCGCTGAAGTGGGCTGGACCCACTCCTTACCCGGCCCATTTACGAACCTCCTTCCCCGATTTATCCAGTTTTCAAAAATTAGAAGAAAAAAAAGTCACCCTAGAGCGCCCCCGGCCAGCGTTGACTTTATTCAGAAATTCCCTCGTGAAAGTCTGAATTGTGGGATTGTCGCAACCGCGAGGTCACTACATCCCCCTCTCCGAAGTTTTATATACCCCGAGAGTTGATCAATGTGGGTATAATTTTCAGCATGGAACTAACCAGCGGCTTTTCGGTAAGATCTTGCATACCGGTGCGACAACCGATCTAAGAACATGCGTCGGCTTATCTGCCCTCTGATTCCGAATATATATTTCAATTAGAATTAGAATTAAACAAATTTTACTTGTGGGTCAGCCAGGATTAATATTTTTCAATATATGTTGTGATCATCTGAATTAGGCACGCAATGTCTGACTCTATTACTAGGGGAACCGGTGAAGTCTTCTTTGGGCTTGTGGGGCCCCGTCGGCTGGTTAGCAGTGGCCCGGTGTTAAGCGCCGACCTACTCTTTTTAAATGTGTTGGCTTGGGGAGAGGTGCCATGGTCTCCTCTCTCTCTCTCGCTCTTACCAGCTGAAGTTGCAGAGGAGACAGGGAAAGGAAGCATATGCGCGGTAGGAAGGCATGCGGAGCTTGCAACTCAAGAAGGGAGCCCTCAAGTGGCTCCTCTCAATCGGCAGGAGGGAGAGGAGAGGCGGGGACGGCGACGGGAGCTCCCCGACGGCGGAATCGGACGGCGTCGAGCAGCCCACCTGGCGGTGCTTCCCCTACGACGAGATCTTCCACGCCACGGAGGGATTCCATCCAGGTACTCTCCTTATCCGCGAAATTGTTCTCTCTCTCCCTATCTCTCTCTCTCCTGTGACTATGATGGAACGTCTGATTCCGGCAGGAAACCTGGTGGGGAGGGGAGGGTACGCGGAGGTGTACAAGGGGGTCCTCCGAGATGGGCGGAGGGTCGCGGTGAAGAGGCTGGCCCAGGTCTCCACGGAGGAGAGGAGAGAGAAGGAGTTCTTGACAGAGCTCGGGACGGTCGGCCATGTCCGCCACCCCAACGTCTCATCTCTCCTCGGCTGCTGCGTCGACCGCGACCTTTACCTCGTCTTCGAGCTCTCCCCCATTGGCTCCCTCTCCTCTCTCCTCCACGGTATGACCAGAAAACCTCTCTCTCTCTCTCTCTCGTTCTGAGCTTCTCCGATGATAATTCTGATGGGGATTCTGTGAAGACGAGGAGTTGCCGCCGGTGGACTGGAAGCTTCGGCAGAGAATCGCCGTGGGGACGGCCAAGGGGCTTCGCTATCTCCATAAGGGCTGCCGGAGAAGGATCATCCACAGGGACGTGAAGGCGTCCAACATTCTCCTGACCGCCGACTACGAACCTCAGGTAAGGCGGAAGATCGCCGGATAATCTCCGGCGAACGGTGGCTTCCTCCCCCAGATTCCGGCACCTGAATCTCGAGCTCCTCTTTTCCCGTCAACAGATCTCCGACTTCGGGCTGGCGAGATGGCTACCGTCGGAGTGGACCCACCGCGCCGTCGCCCCCATCGAGGGGACCTTCGGGTTCGTCCTCTTCTCCGCCGCCGCCAAGCTTCTTCTTCTTCTTCTTCTCTCTGCAGCCCCATTCACCTCGGAATCTCGCAGGTACCTCGCGCCGGAGTACTTCATGCATGGCATGGTGGACGAGAAGACGGACGTCTTTGCCTTCGGCGTCCTCCTCCTGGAGATCATCTCCGGGAGGAAGCCCGTCGACGGGTTCCACCATAGCTTGCTCAATTGGGTAAACCTTATGCTTTTCCCATCAGGGTTTGCTTCCCCTGTGAGTTCCTGTAACAGAGTTGACCAGCCGCCACTGCAGGCCCGACCCCATCTACACAGCGGCGCCATGAAGGAGCTGGTGGATCCGGAGCTGGGAGACGACTACGACGGTGACCAGCTCGAGAGGATGGTCTTCGCCGCCTCGCTCTGCACCAGAGCGGCGGCAGCTTGGCGGCCTTCCATGGACGAGGTACTTACTTTTCCCCATCATCCCCATCCTCCATCGCGCATTTTCCCAAAAAAAAAAGTCAACCAGATTTCACAGTCAACGAAAGAAATCTCCTTCCCTTGCCCTGAAGATCTCCCCAATTATCGTCTAAACTTGAGAATATAGGAAATATTAAATATATCGAAAATGACATTTTACCGAGTATAAAACGTGGTTGAATTCTAGGTGGTGGAAATGCTGGAGGGCGGGGAGATCTCTCGGGAAATGTGGAACAAGGCGTTGGAAGAGGGAGAGGAGCCGTTTTGGGACTTGGACGACCTGGACGACCTGGACGATATGGACGAGTTCGACTCGTCCCTCTCCTCCCCGTCCTCACAGACCAACTCCTGACCCAGCACCCTCTCGAACCGGATCCAAGCCGGCATTGAGATCCGAACCCGTCCACCAAAAGTCAGCGGCTCGCTTCCTGTACTGGAATGGTCGCATTAATGTCTCCGCCCATAGAATTGATGGGATATGAACAATAAAAAATTTAAATTAATCAGCACCCATGTAAATAAAATGTGTACTTAGTGTCTGTGTGTCTCCTCTCCAGAATCCGGTCAGAAGCCCGGAGAAAATCGCTCGGCCCGGCCCATTTATGCATTCAAAGAAGAATGTTAGGGAAGGCTGATGATAGATTGGAGACAGGCTAGCTCCATTATTTCTCTCTCTCTCTTCCATCTCTCTCTACGGCTTTTCTGCCACGTCACAGCCAGGGAAAAGATATCTGGATGGAGGACCCCCTCATTGGTGTAATAAAATCCTTGTCCTTGGTGTTGGCACCGACATGACTAAACTAGACAACCTTCATAATGGAACAAGAGGGAATTAAATGCGATGAACTAAGGCCCTAACTTTCATTTAATGACTCCTATTTTACGAGCACGGTCCCTAAGAACGCTCATCTGTTTGGAGCCCAACTGGGACAGTAGGCTCCACATTGCCCTGCCCATTACGGACAATGGGCCTAATAATTACAGCCCTCTAGATTCCTAGGCCCATTACCTAGGCGGAGTCCTCAATAATGCCTGGGGTTTGGCCGCACAGTTTCAGACACGAGCATAGCATGTAAAGCATCGACGTCTTGGGCAGGGATTACCTCAAGTGAGAGAGAGAGAGAGAGAGAGAAGAGAAAAACTAGCCGTTCATCGCCGACTTGAAGTGGTTGTCGTCAATCGTGGAGTAGATGTGACCCACATCTACGTGGTAATTGATCGCATCCCTGTAAAATAACAGGATGATTCGGTAAGACTCGAGAGAAAGATAGAGAGAGAGAGAGAGAGAGAGAGAGAGAGAGAGAGATCACTTGATCTTATTAGGTGGCAGACCCAAGCGCCGTACGACTTCGTCCACGTGCAATCCATGCTCGTTTTTACTGGAACAAAAACAGCAGCGGGTCGATGAGAAGGTCATTAACCAAGGCCGGGAATGAATGATTTGACAGGGCCACAGTTCCTGGGGGGGAGGGGGGTACTGGTCAACAGTGGCAAAAATGGATGAAACACTGCATACGATTTGATTGATTTGACTGATTGACTGATTGAGGGGACTTGGGATTAATCTCAGGTCAACGGGACAAAAAGAAAATTATGCAACTCTCAAGGGTTAAAAGTGTAGAAATCAAGCTCACAGGTTTGCTGGGTCGTTGAAGAACTCTAGAACCACGTTCAGTACGTCGTCAGATCCTTTGCTGCTGGAATACGCAGAGAACTGAGAACAGAAGGCAGAAAGTATGTGAGAAACACGAGAGATTCTGACGCTGGAGCCACGTGCGCGGATCCTCACCTGGTTGGAAACCGGGGCCTGGTATGGGACGCCGCCTGCGACAGAAGGCGGCCGGTCCGCGGCTTCCCTAGCCTGCAGGGGGACAAATCAGGTAATATCTGGGAAAATGTGTGGGTCGTCGAGTAGGGTAATGTACCTTGGAGCCAGAGTTATGGAGATGAACGTAGATGCACTCGAGGAAGTGAAGCGTGATGTCGTTGAAGTCGGTTATGGGCCTGGAGAAGGAGGTGAGGCGTGTCAGCCTAGGCATATCAGGTTATACGATGTGGTGTTAGGAGGGACGAGGAGGGCGGCATCCAGGTGTCTGAGTCTCTGAAAGGATTATGATCACTGTACAAAGTTATATAGATCAGGAGTGGCTGCTGTAGGCGTAAGTCAACTGCTTGTTGGTGAATACTGCTGCAACAGCGATTTATTTGTATTCAAGGGCGTTCTATCAATGCCTACAATCCCACCAGAAAAATACATCCAGTCCAAATTATTTTACTTTCCACGATTAATTTTGCCGAATCCCGTGGTTAGGAAAGCTAAAAATGGCTAAAAGTCAAACCTGCCTGATTAAAAAAAAAGAATGGATAAAGCATCAGCTTGGCAAGTGATCGCCAACCTCAGACTTGCAATGAATAAATGATTACTGAAAAAGCCTTGAAATATAATTTACATGCAAGTTAATATGTGAACTTATCCAATTTTGCCACGTTTAACCTTACTCTGTGATGCAGTTAGAATAGTGAGATCTATCTCAGTTTGGAGTGCTATTTTTCTTTGGCCAATTAGACAAAATCAATGACTCGTAATATGTGATGTTTGAAATCAATCCTATAAAAGTTTGCTCAGGCTAATTTCAAATACCATGTTTCGTGTCAAAGAAGATTAGGAACTGCTACCTTGGGAAAATGAAAGGGAAAAAATAGATTCATTGAACGTGAAATTGCCAAAAATTTCTACCACTTAACAAATGTTTCCAAAGTATCTCGGCCATAGGATTTAGATTGGATCACGTTCGTGTGTACCCCAACAAATGAAGTAGTACACGCTTAATACCTATGAAATAAAAGCTGAGAAGAGCGAGATCTGGCCAAAGGTGCAATACCAATTTTGTTCCAAGTCTTCTTGTATCAAATTTTAGAATAGGAAAATAAAAAGGACACAACCCGGTCAACAAGCAACTTCTGATGACATTGTGTCCTAGGAAGGATGCGACAGAATGGGAATTCACTCAAGGGCCGTATTTTGATGCAGCTAACCAAAAAGGCAGCATCACAAATATCATTTGAAGCCCCAGATGTGAACCTCGAAATCATTTTTAGATATAACTATTATATCATGGTCTAATATCATTCAGAAATTTAAACTTTTGAGAAGCAGAGATTCACCAAATGATGACAGTGGTGTAGATAATGCATTTTTGGTGAAAATATGCACTTTTGGTGCTAATGAGAGACAAATTACAACTTTTTGCATCACGGTTGCATAGTATCCATTTAAGCTGAGAAGAACACGCATAAGTAATGCGAACGGGAAAAACTATAAAAGGTGTAAACCTCAAAAGATAGTATGATGAACACAGGCTTACATTCATCTTGCAACAAGTTATCTCGTATGTTTTCTTGAAAGATAGATAGTATGTACATAAGTACCTGATAGAGAAGGCAACCGCGTGCTTTTTGCCATGAAAACCCTTTAACTGGCCATTGACCTTGACATACATCCCATTCCTAACATAAATATTCGTCACCAAACGACGATTGTCAATAATAAAATTTTCCCTTATATACAGTAAGTAATACGGCTTATGACAAAAAACAGAGGCAAAATGAGAACCGCCTCTGCCGTCAGGAGTTTCGTCCAGCGACACTTACAAAATCTTTGCCATCTCATTTGCGTCAGAGCTTTCGTTCACCCTGCATAAGGAAATGGATGACGAAAACCATTAGACAATCATAAAACATAAAGAAGGTGAGGCCACTTCAGTCAACAGGTGTTTTTTAAGAAATAATTCCACCATCTGTTGATGTCAATCCGGCCCGTGCCATCATCGAGCGTGAAGGAAACATCCGTGACCCTCTCCACCTTGCTCGTCACCAGCCCGACAAGCGTCACCTATCGCGAAGGCATCGAATAAATCACGCATGATGGCTCGACAAATCGAAGTTTACAGTCCTCCTTACCCTACCCCAGATATGAGAGAGAAGGGAAAAAATAAGCTCCCGATGAAACTTTACATTGGAGACTTCGACTCCGTCAACGACGAAGTTGGACTTATCATCGCTGAGGTGAAAGGCTTCGCTGATCTGCTTCACCGTCAGCGGGATAACACCTTGCGAGCCGCGATTCTGCGAGGGGAACAACACGAGCGAACCAGAAGAAAAATCAAGAGGTGAAGGGGTGGATGGAGAAGGTGAACTCAGAGAGAGATAGAGAGAGATGGAAGATGGCGGTTCCCTTACCTTCGCAGGAGATACGCCGGAATCGGGGACCTGTGTAGCCTGCGATGGCATGAACCCGCCGCCGGAGAAGAGAGCGGACCCGTCCATCTGCCCGTACATTCCTCTGACGGACGGCAATCGTAACCAATCCGATCGACTCTGCCCCGGCGACAGGAAGGAGACGATCTGGGAGCTGAGCTATGGTGGAGAAAGACAACCATTTAGCCGGTTCTTCCCTCTTATACAGAAAGTGGGGCTCCGTTTCCCGCCAATTCCCTCTTGAGGACCTGGACGTGGGACAGTGGGGGAGACAGAACAGGCCTTTGATCGAGTGAGCCCTAGGTTATTTCGGGGATTTTTTTAACTCTTTAAAATTATTAAATAAAGCCGAATAATAAATCAGAGAACTTGACCATTGATAACAGGGCGTAGTGCAGATTTATTATTATTATTATTATAATGAATTTTAATGGCTTATTCTTTCTTCCCCACTCTCTATGAGACGAATTCCATAATTTAAAAAACTATTTTTATTTAATTAAAATGTATTCTCTTTCTAATTACACGTTTAAATATTATAAATTTTAGTATAGAATAATGTATTTATATCGGCATGGATTCGGAGGGTTTTGGGGGCTCACTCCGGCCGTTGACCTGGCTCCTAGAATGGAGTAAACGGGCCTGTGTATTAGACCCAGTTTGCAATGTTGGCCTTCTGTAAAAATGGGCCCAAATAACGGTACTATTGGGCTTGCCCGAGGCGGCCCAGATGGGCCACACCCGTTGGGATCCCTCTTTCACAATTCAAAAAATGGACAGCCAACAACGTCTCCATTTGGCCGTCAGACCAAGACAGGCAACTACTATCTCTCTCTCTGTCGACGGCCCCCCTCTCACTGCTCTCCGCTTGCGCCGCCGCTTCCGGGGGGTGGAGGAGACGATCGGCGCCGACTCATCCGCTCCGGAAAGTGTGGTTCTGCCCCAGGAGGAGAGGAGATCTGACGCCGTGGAGGGAGGAGCGCTGCCTACGCTTTCAGCTTCCCGAGGTTTTCTTCATCTTCTTTTTCTTAGATTCCTGCCTGGCGTTCCTTCCTCGCGGATGTATTAGCGTCTTGATTCGAGAAATAGGGAGGGAAGCTGTTTTCCTCCCAGATCCGCGAGTTTTTGGGGTAGAAACTTTGTTTTCTTTTCATCGGAGGGTTTGTGCAAACACAGGGGCCGATCGATTCTATCTTTTGATGGGAGAAGGAATAGCTAGACGCCAAAAAAGAATTTTCTCTCTCCTGTTAGACGACGATTCGTCACATCTTGATATGCATTTCAGCTCCTCATATCTCCAATGTGAGGGAACCAGTACCCAGCGCGCACCTTTGGTAATGGTCTTCGGGGAGTTCATTAATGAATTAGGCTTCCGGATATGCAAATTCACTCGACGACCGAGGGGATATGGCCAATGAAACTTCAAGAAGCTATGGGAGAGGCGAGGAGCCAACTACTGCTCTCCATGAAGAGAACAGTAGTCATTTTCAAGAACAAAGACCGGTGCACGGGTAATTTTTCAAGAGACTCTTACCTTTTTCTCTAGTTCCTCTTCCTTTCTCTCTGTTTCTATACATCTTGAAACCCACCTATGGGGCATATTTGCTTCGCTCGCCACATTCTATCCCATCAATGGGCACGGCCCAATTGTCATGCCTGAGAAAATGGAAGAAACTTTTCTTTAAAATTTTTCATTAATACGTTCGAGTGATGTTTTTCCGTAGAAGGATAAGTGGACCGACTCGAAGGTCAACGAAGGGACGGTGGACACCTGAAGAAGTAAGTGGATACTCTTAAATTTATGCTTTTGTAAAGATCTTCATTTTTTCCCAGTTTGGTATGGATGAGTTACAAGCTAATTAGTCCAATGTAATGGTGCAGCATTTGGCAAATCTATATTTTCCCTTAACTGATCAAATCATGGGATCCCATATTATATAGGGCCTCATATTTCCCCTTCGACTGTTTATTTTTTTCTTGCTATCCCTACTGCGAGAAAAGCTATGGCAGCTTGCTGTGGGAAATTGACGCTCGGATCAGCATAATTTTTTCCATTTGAAACCTAACCGAAATGATATTCTGCTTAGGATTCTGTAGGGTACATTTGTGGTTGTAAAACATCGTCTTTTCCAATTTTTCTCCACTTCTCAATTTTATCTGTTCTTCTTATGTACTAGTATTCCATTGTTGTTTTAACTGCATGGAGAAAAATATTTTGCTCTCATGACGTTGATGCTTGGACTAGAAATATAGAGATTGGACATACTCGGTAATGTATTCAGTTCCCAGTAATGCATGTGCATAATTTGCGACATTATCTACATTAACGATTCCTTTAACTTACGTACCAGACATTTATTTGATACAATGTGCTTTTTGGGTTTGTTTGTGCAGGATGCCATACTCTTTAGAGCTGTCCAACGTCACAAAGGAAGAAATTGGAAAAAGATAGGTAATAATGAAAATAGTTCGATTATGTTTCGCGGCCTGTCTTAAATATTTTTCAAACTTTCCTTGTTCGGTAATACCTAAAGATAAATATTAATTTTTTTTCTTTCCAAAAATTGTCCAATGTTATTTTTGCTATGATTAGTTTACATGTCTCGAAATGCCTCTTTGGATGGACATTTCTATAATTTTTCTGAAATCCTGGACAATGTATGAAGCAGCTGGTACATTTTCTCGTAGCCATTTTGTGTCAATTTCCAATACAGACTCCTGGCCTTTTCCCTCCATTGTGGTGTCCTCTTCGAAATTTTCAGGACGTTTGTCAATATTTCCTTCTGATCTGTTGTAACCTTGATTTCCATGTGTAATCGGGAGACAATTTTAGCTTTGTTTTCATTTTACTCTCTCCTGATTTTCCAATTTTTTTGTTCAAGCCAGTGATCCCGATTTTTTTTTATTTGCAGCATTTTTCATACGCTCCTGTTGTGGATTTTGACCCTTTTTCTTCATTTTATAGCTGAATGCTTCAAGGATCGGACTGATGTACAGTGCTTACACAGATGGCAGAAAGTTTTAAATCCCGAGCTAGTGAAAGGACCTTGGTCAAAAGAAGTAATTTACTTTTTATGCAATTCTTTTATCATTCTACTCCGTGCTCTCTGTTCTGTCATTTTCTATTTTCCCTTTCAGTTTATCTAGATTTTTTCTCCTTTCCAGGAAGATGATATCATTATTGAAATGGTCAATAAACATGGGCCTAAAAAGTGGTCAACCATCGCGCAAGCCCTACCTGGACGCATTGGAAAGCAGTGCCGGGAAAGGTACTCGCAAATTCTCCTCAATTGATCTGTTTATTCATTCTATATGGCTTCTACTGTACCCATCTTATTATTATTGTTAATATTATTTACACAAAACGTTACGAGTGTGCTTCATGAAATTGTAACCTAATTTTTTAAAGTTCTAACGTCGTTGAGTCAATTATTAGATATTCATTCTATTGGTATTTATTTATTTTACTTTAATATCAAATTCATCGAGTATAAAAAATTTGATAACTTTTTTTTACTGCTAGCTATTTTATAACCTGCTACTAATTTATCCTCCGATTCTGATAAATTAAAACATATTCTGCTAGAGAAATTATAAAAAAAAATAATCTAAAACCTATAGATCGACACCATTTTATTGACCTATGGTTAATATAAATATACGGACTAGTTAATTAACAGTAATTAACTAGCCCGTCTATTTATGTATTGAATTACATTAATCATCTATCGCGCTATTAGTAGAGCCATAGATTAACTGTCATTCGTATTTTGTTGCTGGGGGGTGTTTCTCCCGCTCATTGTTGAACGCATGCCAGACACTTCACTTTTCCTCTTGATTATCTTGCTGCAATTGCTACTTTCTCATTTTTCTGGGTTTGTTTTTTCTGGAATTTTTACTAGTTATTATTAACTAGCATGATCTTCAAGTGAAAAAATTGTAGTAAAAGTTGTAATCTGTTGTTTGCACGTGTTGAAAGTTTTTTTGTGTCGATTGAAGATACATGTTACTCACAATATGGAAATATTGCAGATGGCACAATCACCTAAACCCTGCAATCAGCAAGGAAGCATGGACTCAGGAAGAGGAGTTGGCATTGATACACGCTCATCAGATCTATGGAAACAAGTGGGCAGAGTTGACAAAATTTTTACCTGGAAGGTAGGAGTCATTTCTCTGCCAATTTATTTGTCCCAATTGCCATTTGATGTTCGTTGTGTAGAATACTTTCTGATTCATGGGTTATACTTTTGGTGTTTATAACTACGTCCCTTTATGTTTATCGTTTTGCATTAAATGATTTATTAAAAAGCTCAGGTGTTCCATCCCATTTCACTGAAAAGTTCTTCCTATGAATCTCCAGGACTGATAATGCCATAAAAAATCATTGGAACAGCTCTGTCAAAAAGAAGTTGGACTCATATCTTTCATCAGGTTTGCTTTCACAATTCCAGGGTCTACCTCATGTAGAAAGTTCAAAGTGCTCCGGAGCTTCATCTCTTACTAAAACACAACAAAGGACTGGAGATACTTGTTCTAAAGACATGGACATCATGGAGATATCAGAGTGCAGCCAAGAGACTGTACAGGTCGGCTGTTCTCAGTCGGACTGTGAAGTGGCGAATGCAGCTTTGCGGAGTGCGGATGAGGACAGAAATGGAGAAGATACTGGCAACGAGAACATGCGAAATCCTCCCTCGATTTTGTGCTCGAAAGAGCATCACATGCAATGCATTTCTGTGAATTTATCAGATGAGAACTCAGTACCCGATGGTGGGATCTCTGAATGTGTCCTGGGCCAAATCGATTTACATGAACAGTCCAGCATGTCTTCTCTTGAAGATGCACGGAAAACTCCAGGACTGTTAAGGGATCCAAAACAGTGTCCGGCCCCTGCCAATGAGAAATGTGAATTCAGAGGATCTGTTTTATTTTCAGACTCTTTAGCTTACAACAGTTCCTATTCTTTGGAGAATGCTGTTGAGGGTGATGATGATCAGGATAATATGCATATTTCTGAGAATCCTTTTGCCGCTGCAAGTGACTCAAGGAGCTCTATTTTGTCGAATGTTAGTAATGTGGGTTACTGTACAGGTTTGGGTGGTGATGATCAGGATAGAATGCTCATCTGCCGTAATATTTTTTTGGAAAGGTGTGACCAAAGGCATCCTTCTTCTTGTGGTTCAAATGTTAACCATTCGGATTATTGTACGGGCACCACAACTAGCCAATCTGACACTCAAGATTGTGAACCATGTGATGGTTTTGATTATTCAGGTGGTGATGACCAGGGTACAATGCCAATACCCACCGGGTATTGTAGTAAATTTTTGGAGGGGAAGAGTGACCTGAGGAATTCAACCTCCGGGTCAGATGTCAATCGTTTGGATTATTCAGCAATTTCCACGACTAGCCAATGTGATATTCAGGGCTTTCAACCATGCAAAGTTCTCGATTATCCAGTGAATGCCCCTGATATGTTGTCTATAACTTGCTCCCAGATCTTCCCGTCTTCAGACCCTCTTCAAGCTTCATATGGAATCAACAGCAGCATGGATGTTGATGGGACTCCGAACTCAGAATTCTACACGATTCCATATGATTGTTTTATGCAAAACGGCAATCCTACTGTTTATAGGGTCACCGACCATGATAATTCCCACATATCTGTGGAAAGTTGTCAAGAACAAGAGCAAATTTCTGCGGAAGTAAATCTCTCTGAACCTGATGATCTCACTAAGTCTCATCCATCTTCCATTAATGAGAAGCGTGATTCAGAAGAAGATCGGGACTTAGGTTCTTTATTCTATGAGCCTCCTCGGTTCCCAAGTCTAGATATCCCTTTCGTCAGCTGTGATCTTGTATCCTCCAGTGATCTGCAGCAGGCTTACAGCCCTCTTGGCATTCGACAGCTGATGATGTCCTCCATGAGCTGCTCCACTCCATACAAGTTATGGGACTCCCCTTCAAGTGATGACAGTCCTGCTGCTGTCCTGAAGAACGCTGCCAAGAGCTTCTTATGCACCCCATCAATCATGAAGAAAAGACAGCGGGAGCTGTTATCTCCCATGCAGAATCAAAGAACTGGAAAGGAATCTGCAAAGCACATAAACCAGGATGAACAAGCGGCACCACCCTGTAAGAACGAAAATGGAAATCCATGCGCGGATGTTATACCTATTGAGGGCACTTTCCTTTCCTCGTATTACGAGGAAAAGACTGTAAATTCTCCAAATGAGGAGCGAAATATGGTTACTGTCGAAGGAAAAGACGAACATGCAGTTTCGGACAAGAGATCTGACTGGAGTAACAGTTCTGAAAACATGAAAGAACCAGGGGCACAGAGGTTTCATCCACCAAAGCATATCGGTTCCGACACAAGATCAGAGAATGTGAGTGTTTCCATTCCTTTTGTCAACTTCTAGACTTCTATATGGTAAGGGAGTTAGTTTTTTTTTTCCGAATATGTTAGCAAATGAACCTGGTGAAGATCATAAACATTATGAAAAATAAAATAAAATTGATCTCTCGCTTATTTATTTCCTAGTGAGGAGATCATATTCAAATTTATTTGGCAATGACCCTATTAGTTTTATATTCTGTCACACCCTCTTATGTGAGAAACCATATGTTTAGGTATCTCGTTAAAAAATAAATAAATACATGATTGAACTTAAGCAGGAGATTTATTTATTTCTTTATTTTCGGGTGGAAACCATGGAGGGGTTATTTTGTCCAAAAATCATCTTCAGCCCACAACAGTGTCTTTAATCTGTAGCGTTTTCATCATTGTCAGTTGACTTCCATTTCTAGTTTTGATCAAGTATTTTCATTTACCTTGTTACAGGCAGGAGTACTCGTTGAGCATAATATCAATGACATGCAATTATTCTCCTCCCGTGAAGAAAACATAGATATGTAAGATTGGCGACCGTCATTTTCCTCTACTTTTCGCAATATTAGTATCGATCTCCATGGAAGAACTCAGAAGAAAAATAAATATATCTAGATATTTTGTTCTTTCTCATGTTAATTAGTACGGGCAGCAGGCTTTCCTTCTTTAAATAATTTGTTTTTGGCATGGAGAACTACTATTTAAATAGTATTTTATACATAGTTTCTTTTTTTATTTCACGGAGAACTATTATTTACACTATTTTCATTATTTCTCATGTTAATTAGTAGGGGCAGCAGACTTTCATTGTTTAAATAATTTTTTCTTGACATGGAGAAACTACTATTTACATAGTTTTTTTTCACGGAAAACTATTATTTACACTATTTTCATTCTTTCTCATATGAATTAGTAGGGCAGCAGACTTTCATGTCAGAAATAATTTTTTTCTGACATGGAGAACTATTTATATTATAAGTTTTAAAAACATTTTTTTGGGCATTTGGAATATTTTCATTCTTTCTCATGTTACCTTTCTACATAGTTCTTTTTTTTTTTCATACAAACTAGCTCTGTATGCTCATTAGAAATTGACTCTCTCTCTCTGTTTTTCCAACCTTTTACTATCATCTTATATTACTATGGTTATGGATCATATATCATTAATCTTATCTGCCTCTGATCCATATGACCTGCTTCCTTTTTGTGGCAAGTAGACTAAATTAATAATTGGAGAAAAAAATTAAAAAATAGATAGTCATTACTTGTTCTTGAATTTTTTTCTCTTCTGATAATTTTTTTAAAAAAAACCCTTGCCTTCCTCAGATTTGTAAATACTCCTGGCCCCAAGAGAGGAATCGAGTCTCCTTCTGCATGGAAGTCACCGTGGTTCATGAGCACCCTCCTTCCAGGGACAAAGATCGACGCGGACATCCCAGTGGAGGTAGGTGGAATCAGATCGTCTACTGAAATCTCTCATCTTTCTCAAGCTCTGAATATCATCAGACCATGTGGCCTATCGTGAGACCGCCATGTGGCAAGGGAAGATGGACTTCCAGGCCCAAATCTAGAAAATGTTTGGGTGGGCCCACTTTTTTTTCTGGCGATATTTATGTTCAAAAAGTCAAACTTGGTCACCTGAAATTAATATATATGGGTATTTAAAAATTAAATTAAATTAACCTCTCTTTTTTTTTTTCAGAATTTTGGATACTTCATGAGCCCTGTTGATCGATCCCTCGATGCCATTGGGCTGATGAGATTGTTGAGCGTGCCGACTGCCGCCGCTGTTGCCGAAGCCCACGAGGTTTTGTCCGGCAGAAATCTTCAAACCCGCTTGCCATCAGAAAATCTGGTGAGTCATTTTAAGCTTTTTTAGCTTCTCTCTCTCTCTCTCTCTTGTTCAGAGCCCTTTTAGGGCTTTGACTTTCACACCACGTTGACTTTCACTCCTTTCCTTACCAGACCGAAGGACGTGTCCTTGACTTCAGTGGGTGCTGCACGACACCAGGCAGCGGATCCGAGAAGCGGAAGCCGGGCAGGGCGGTGACCTTTACTAGCCCATCTTCTTATCTTATGAAGGGCTGCCGCTAGAGGGCCACGTGGCAGTGGGGCCCATCGAATGGCTCGGCCCATGTTATTACCAGGAAGAACTGCGCGCTGTCCTCAGTCGCCGGCATGTTGTGTATTGTCGTCTCTAATATTTAGGGCCTCCGTGGGCCCTTGGCAATTACCGGCCCAATGGGTCTTCGAGGTTTTAATTATCTTGGCCCATCATGCGTAGTGGGCTCACATCCCCTGTCGACGATGAGACTTCCCACTCATATGCTCGTACTCAGCAACCCCCTTTCGGTATTGGCACACTTGGACCATGTATGTAATATTTATTTATAGATAAAATATTTATTTATTTATTTTATGATATACGATAATAATAAGCAATTGGGCTTTCAGAAGCTCAAATCCGACCCAATGGTCCAGACCCAGTAAAAGGAGGGAAACTGGGCCTTTGGACATATAACAGAGAGAGAGAGAGAGAGAGAGAGAGAGAGAGAGAGAGAGAGACGTTTCGGCTTTTAATAACATTATTTTTTTAATAATTTGAAAATGATAAGTTAAATGAGTTCTGGTTTAAAGCTGGACCATTCCCCACGTAAAAACAGGAAAAGATCGCCGTCAGAGCAGATGCTCACGGATATGCGCCGTCGGGCCACGTCTCGTTGACAATGATGTGAGATCGGACGGGCTTTCTACGTCGGGAAAATTACGAGATTATTGTTTATCGTCACGAGATTCACGTGATTCACGTGTTAATACGAGATGTGGACACCAAGATGGTGATTAGATCCGTGAGATGCATTTTAACAACCTTAAAAAAAAAAGTACACGGTCATATCGTCAAAGATGTGACGTGGCGCGGGATTTCCTCCTGGACAGATACCAGCTAGCTGACGTGGACGACTGGAGGATCATAAGCCATCTAAATCGTTTTCTGTCACGTGCCCGAATCCACTGCCACGATCTGCTCTTGTCCGGGCTCAATGAACCGATGACTGGGGCAGTAAGGCTCGACGACTGTGGGCCCAGGAGCTCCGAACGCGGCCCAGGCCCAGACCCAGACCCAGTTAGAAAAATCGGCGGAGGAGGAGTTACTGGACGGTGAGGTAACCGCCCGCTTGGAATCCCGTTGGGCGGCATTTCTGTGGACCTAGTGAGAGCTCTGCGTAGCGTCAGTGGGGAAGGGAAAGCAGGCTGCAACTGCCCAAAGGAATATTACAGCATCTGATCTGGATAATCCGTGGAGGGCTCCTAGGGTTCCCATGGAGGTAGGGGAGGGGAGGGGGATGGGTGGGGACAGACAGAGACAAGAAGGGATAGATTTTAATGGCGGATGAGTACGGGGAGTGTGAGAGTGAGATGACGCGGTTTGTGGAGCGGATGGGACTGCGGAGCAGCCTCCTCCCATTCTCTGGGTGGGTAGATAAATAGGGGAAGCAGATGGTGGGCGCAGCTGCTCCACAGGTTGCCACCGGAGCAGCAGCTGCGCTTTATGTGCCGCGCCGGAGAGTTCTTGCAGCTGTGGCGGCGGGGGCGGAGAGAGCAAGGGGAGGGACTGGGGAGTGATTGTTGAGTGGAGGTCCGGGTGTCTTGCGCCGTTGTTTCTCCCTGGTGTTGGTTGGTCGATCTAGTTTATTTCGAGGAAATGTCCGTGGCTATGGCGACGGGAAGCGTCGGGATCTGCGGTCGCCTGAAGTCCTTTGGTGGGGATCAACAGTTATGCCCCACTGGCGGCAGTTCTCGCGGCGATCTCCGTGCTGTGTGCTGGAATTCGTCGAGGAGAAGGTAACTGTCCTCGTGGCATTCGTCTTCGCTTTATTTGCGTCGGATCCTTTCTGCTGACGAGTTGAGATAATGGAAGCCTGATCGCCGTTAATCAAAATCGGCTCTCCCCAAGGAGATTCCTGTTTCTGGGTATCCAACGCTAAAGCGCTCCTCTGATTTTCTTTTCAATCAAATCTAGTCCGATAGTTTGGACGCTCTCTTTTGGTGATAGTCAGTTCACTCAATCTTTACTCGATGAAAGCGGCTCAGCAATTGAGGACTAGTTGCTTCGTCAAATCCAAAAGTCCCGTATCTCTTGTTTCTTCTATGACAGTCGATCCGTGTGATCTTTACGAGAATGAAGCAGCCCAAGAATGGCGTACAGCTGCATCAAAATTATTACAATGTCGATATACGAATGCTCCATTAATTATTAGTTAAATTAATTGCGACAACCTTCTGCAAAAAGGAGGTGTAATTGACCAGTAATACTGTTTTCAATTCCACAATTTGATACTTCTGGTGTTTTTTCCGGTTATTTTCTTCATATCCCAGATGATCTACGAACTTCCTCATCCAGAAAATATAATTGGTTGATTCATCATTTTAATATCGACCTGGTTTTGAGTTTTTTTCAGCCAACCGTCTTCCTTGGCCGTTCACATTGTCAGGGCTGCAACGCCATCTACTGTGGAGGTATTGAAATGATCATCACTTTGAGGTGATTTCTCTGGACTGTTTGTCATTTCTTAGATTGTTGGTTTTACAGGGGGGCCGTTCTAGTGAGACAGACCAAGTTCCCACTCCCAAGGTCACTATAGATCAGGATTCGGATCCAGATGCAACTGTGGTTGAGGTTACATTTGGCGATCGCCTCGGGGCACTTTTGGATACTGTAAGTGACTGCCCTTTCTTTTTTTGGAACTCATGAGGCTTTCCGTCCTTCTAAGCCTCTTGACCTCTTGATATTCCTTTTGCCACAGATGAGAGCTCTTAGAAACCTTGGGCTCAACGTTGTCAAGGCTAATGTATTCTTGGATTCCTCTGGCAAACACAATACATTCGCCATCACAAAAGCGTAAACTTTCTTTCTTTGTTTTCCATCATTCATGATCCTAGAAGTGTCCAGGCTTGTCGCCGTGCCCGGCATAGTAGTGATTGGATACATGGATGAGGAAGGCGGACTAAAGCAATATGCTTTTCAGGTCTACTGGACGTAAGGTTGATGATCCCGAGTTATTAGAAGCGATACGTTTGACGATAATTAACAATATGCTCGAGTACCATCCGGTAACCGTTTGTGAAAGATTTCACTTTTTTGTGCACTTTTAGACCGTTTGTATTCTTCCAGACTGAAAGTTTGTTCTACTGATTTTTTTCTCCTCAGGAATCCAGTTCCCAATTGGCAATGGGAGCAACCTTTGGAATTGAGCCGCCATCAGAAGAGGTATGGTTTCCAAATTTAGGTTCTGAGTTAGTCCCCATCTCTCTCTCTCTCTCTCTCTCTCTCTCTCTCTCTCTCTCTCTCTATCTCTGTTGCAAAAGCTTGAATCAAATAAATTTTTTACATATAAATATGGCATCACCTAATTTTTCTGGATAAAGAGCTCTGGGAACTTGTTTAACTGAATTAAATGATGTGTTCTAGCTATTGAAATAATCTCATTGGTCCAACTCTTGTTGACTCTCGTTCTCAAAAGGATCCTTTCCTAATCAGATGAACTGTTTCAGTGGTGTTAGGTTTTAGGTCGTATTTTATTGAAGACTGGGCCACCACTAAGGGAAAGAGATTTTGGTAGTGATCTTTCCATCAGAAGGATTCAGACCAACGAGGCCTTCCCTAAGATAATTGCTATCTGTGGATTTTATCCTTCAAGCGCAAGTCCTATGCATCTGGGTCCTGAAGAGGCGTAAACAATCGATTAGGCTGACAAAAATTAATCTGATAAATGAAGATTTACGATTTTTTCATTGATTGAAATATCACAGTGAGATAATTCGCAAAATATTGGAGATTGAAAGAACAACAACTGCCACGAATCTTATTTCATTAAATAGTTATGTTTTATTTCTCATCACAAGCTTCTATCTAACAAAGTTCATTCCATCATCATTCCCATGATCCTTAGAACTCAAGGACTCTGCGGACCTGACAACTATTTAGTCTATCTGTTCAATGCTACTCTTTCACTTGTTCATCTTGTTTGCTAACATACATTTACATAATATTTGGATCCTCTAATTTCTTTCTCCACATTGGTCATTAAGGCTTAGATAATGTCTCAAATTGATGTTTGTTCTAGCTTGGGATCTTGATCTCTCTACCATTACCTGGGTCTCTTCTCTTCTGTATCATTGCAAATCTTCTGATACAGCTCATGTACAGGTTGATATCGATATTGCTACCCACATATACGTGTACGATGATGGCCCTGATCGTAGGTATGCTCCTCTGGCCTGTATATACTCTGTAATTTTTGAGAAATTTCCAAATAATAAAACGATTATTCAATGTCTAAACGACAGGATCGGAAGGGTTGACTATTTATTTATTTTTATCCGGACGAATTAATCTCCAAAAAAAATAAAAAAAAATCTGAATTTTCAGCGAGCTATTTTCCTTCTCAATCTGAGCTAGAGGCTCTTCCTCCTCAGTTTGCTGGTCGTGGAGACAGCAGACCGGCCAGGGCTGCTGGTGGATATCGTCAAGATGGTCACCGACATAAGTGTGGCAGTCGAATCAGGGGAATTCAACACCGAGGTAGCCAGACCCTTCGTTTCATCTTCCTTATCCTGTTCCAGCGGACCCCTTTGCTCCTTCTCGGTCAGTCTTCCTTAACCTGTTCTAGCGTAATCTTTTCTCTCCTCGCGCAGGGACTCCTGGCCAAAGCAAAGTTCCACGTCAGCTACCGCGGCAAAGCCATCATCAAGCCCCTGCAACAGGTGAGTGCCCACCCTCCACACGTGCCAAATAATGCTCCCAACCAGACTCCACACGTGCCGTTACGGGCTCACAGCTCTCAAAACGACCGCTAATCTTCCACTCTCGGCCCTGCTCAGTCTCTGGGCATCCATCATACAATAAATATAAATAATATATATTCGCTTATTTATTTAGATATTTTTTCTTGATATGCTAATTATTATCTATGTTGTTGAAGGTGCTGGGGAACAGCCTGCGGTACTTCCTGAGGAGGCCCTCCACGGAGGACGCCAGCTTCTGAGTTGGGGGCGTGGGGCCTCCTCCAGTCAACGCGATATTTTATCCCTCTTGAACTTGGTTGGGGACTATCTAATTAATATACATGGGTGGAACTGGTCAGCGTGGGCTTTTGACCTGCCAGTGGGTGGGGGTGGGCCGAGCTAGACTGGAAGTTCGGCCCACATAAGCCTCAGAATTCAGCCCAAAAAAATTGGCCTAGTCGCCCAAAGACTTGAAAAGCCAGTCTGTGCCTCTCATCCTCTCTCTCTCTCTCTCTCTCTCTCTCCCCCCCCAACTCAGCCCGTCCGGCGGCAGAACCTGCCAAGTGGTTATCTTCTTCCGGTCAACGACCAATAAAACGGGGACGGGAGTTTGACCAAGGGTCAACATTTCACCAATATCAGGTAAAATGATTAGATTGATTGCCCCCCATAATGAAGAGCAGCTCGAAAGCTACCGAGCTAGAAAATTTTTCTCTTCAATTGGCGGATATTACATTAATTTAATTCACCTGTTGGCTTATCTCTTCAAGGAGTGACCATTCTCAGTAGACCTCAGCCATGATGAAGTCTTAGACCTTGTTGGGAGTTCCAACCTCACCACCCATCATTGACTTATTTCTTCAAGTTGGGACCAATCTCAGCAAAAGTCAACAACCATGATAAAATTTTAGACCTGGTTTGGAGTTCCAACCTCACCACCCATCATTGACTTACTTCTTCAAGGTTGGGTCATTCTCAACAGAAGTCAACAACCATGATGAAATCTTAGACCTAGTTGGGAGTTCCAACCTCACCACCCATCGTTGACTTATTTCTTCAAGGTGGAGCCATTCTCAGCAGAAGTCAACCACCATGATGAAATCTTAGACCTGGTTGGGAGTTCCATCAAATGGATTCACCAGAAGAAACTTCATACATCATCAAGAGAAAATAATGATGATGATGACGACAACGACGACGGTGCTAATAATAATAATAATAATAATAATAATAATAATAATAATAATAATAATAATAATAATAATAATAATGATAATAATAATAATCATACAAGGGGGTTGGAGCAGAAGCAAAACAAAGCTATCCAGGCTGCCGCAGGAGGGATGAAAGCTATCCATCTTCGGCAGCAATTCGCTCGGAAACGCCCCGTTTACAAAAGGCTTTCTCGACTCAATCTCCCACTGTGACTGAGAAGGCTCTTCTAATCATACATCTCTTCTTTCTAGCCGACGATGGTTACACCAGAGACTGCACATATATGAGAACAATAATGTCACCGCCGACAGGCGCCGTCGCAATGGAAGGTAGAAGAAATAAAAACGAGGGTAACCCAACATACTCACTCTCTTGCCTACGATCATACACTACATGCTCTGAGCCTTGCCCGCGAGATCCTTTGCCTTGCCGGCCTCCAAATCCTGCACAGAAGAAACACAGGGAGAGCTCATGAACTGCTGCCCATCTCAGGTTTTATCAGTTCTCAGTCCAGCTGATGAACAGACGGTCATTCCCATTTTATTGGAGATACAAAATGGGGGATAGGCAGAAATGTGCCCAGGTGAAACGAAGCAAACATAATCATTTAATCATTTAGAGAAGATATGCATAGTAAGTTATAATCATTTAATCCGGATTTTTTATCTTCTTAGCACCTATTTTAAGTAATGTCTTGGTCAAACATAAAGACGAATGATTATGAGAATCTGAGAAGCACCAACACCGAAGTTCAGATTAAGTGATTGAGAATTATGAGATTTGGGATTTTCTTACTGCCTCTGCGGTATGAGGCTGCTAAGCGCGCTGTTCATCAGGCCAAACCCAGTAAAAGCCTACTGCACGTTGTAGACTGACTATTGAGATTACCTAGGAAGAACATCTGGCTGTGTTTGGGAACAAAAAATTATCAAAATGGATGCTGTCTTGTAATATCTAAAGGCATCGATCCCCATTAACCAGAAGCCGATACATCCTTCCATGGTATAATAAAAAATAATAGCTACTTTTTAAATTTTATTTTCGATTTTCAATTTATTTATCCATGTTCTTGTGGTTTCAAAAACTAAAATAATCCATAAGATTAAAAAATAATGTAAATAAAAATTTCAAGCAATCAATGTAGATGCAGCCGATGTATCCTTCCATAGTAAAATAATAAATAATGGATGCTTTTTTTAATTTATTTTCGAATTTCAATTTATTTATCCATGTTCTTGTGGTTTCAAAAACTAAAATCATCCATAAAACTAAAAAATAATGTAATGGCTGTTTTCTTTAATTTATTTATCCATGCTCTTGTGGCTTCAAAAAATAAAAATAATCCATAAAATTAAAAACTAATTTAAATAACAATGCAAGCAATCAATGTAGGGCAAAGGGACCAGGAACATGGTCTTCCACCAACCTTGGTGCCAAGAAAAATATGAAGCTTTAGAGCCGATGATTCACCAAGACATAAAACCAAGATCTCGCCATGGGAAAATACAAAGAATTTGGAATGAAATTAAAGTATGTTCGGGCCATAAATATCCCTCTGAGAAAAAATGACCCTGAACCTTTTTCAGAGCAGAGGTGCTGCAGATCCTGCATGAACGAGAAAAGAATAGACCATGGCGCTCCCCCCATCAACATCTCGAGGCATAAACGGAATTAAGAGGATCCCAAGTAGTCTAAAACTGTTCGGGCTTGAGCGATCAAAGAACCGGATGGAAGATGCGCATGAACACGGTACAATCATACTGAGTTAATAGCAGACAGAGAGGTATGAGAAAATCAAGAGATGAGAATTACGACCCATAGAACACAAGATTTTCGCGACCATTACTCATCAGAAGCAGAGAAGAGCAGAGAAGACATCTGCTCGTCGGGGGTTTCTATGACTCTCACCGTTGCCTTGATCTCGTAGTAATCGTTCAAAGCCCATTGGTACTTGGACTGGTTCAGCCCCAACCAGTACGCCAGATACTCGTCCAGCCTCGAATGTGCTGGTAAAAATCCGACCTTAGAACCCTAAACAAGAGCAGAGAAAGACGGGAGGGGGGTGGAAAGCACCCAAAGTCAGCGAGAGGGTACCATCTTGGACCTTGGCGACCGCGTCCCAGAAGAACCCGAACGCGGAATTCGAGGGCGAGGAGCTGGGCTTGCCGTCAAACTGCAGCGGCGGGACCTGCACCGGCGGCGGCAGCGGCGGCTGCGGGGAGGGACTGGGAACCTTAGTGGCTGTAGGCGCCACCTCCATTCTCTTCGGGGTGGAACCGGGGCTGGGACTGAGGCCAGAGGGAAGGCCCAGTGGTCGGGGGCTTGGAGAGGGCGTCTTCGGGGTGGCGGGGGGAGTAATGAAGACGGTGTACCTCCCGGCCTTGCCAATGATTGGCGGCGGAGTCCCCTCTCGCGCGGCGGCGGCCATTGCCGGAGGCGGAGAAGCACCCAGTTGTCGGCCGAAGGGAACGGACGTCACTAGGGTTTACGGATCAAAAGCTAGCCAGGGAGGGGCACTGGTAGGCAGTAAAGCTCGGTGTACACAGTCAGAGAGAGAGAGCGGTAAGCGCATCTACCCACATCGAGGCGGACACGCCATTGGTAGAAGTCCCCCCTCCCCCCCGTTTTAAACCAGAGAGTCTTCTTCTTCAGATCTTTGTCGTATATTTTAAATCATATAGCCTTAAACATTCCCTTAATTTCCATAATGGCACCCTAACTGTAAGCGTTCTCCGCATTCAAATGGGGGGTATTTATGGTAATAACCGGTAAAAAGGAGACCTTTTTTTTACCGTAAGAAAGGCAGGAGGGAGGGGACGGTGTGGAGAATATCCGCTACCTTGCACGTGTCTGCGCATACGCGTTCCTCTGCATCCGGTTACCTTTCGGTATGGTCACCTCCCAATCGTCACACTGTGGCACATGTTTTTTTTTGTTTTTTACTTAAACGAGATCCGAGCGCCGCCTGCGCTAATCTGATTGGTCGGAGAGGGCCAAAGACAAGGACAACCATCTCTGATCCGGCCCGGCCCGGGCCCACCCGGTCGGCCCAAGCCCGGATTCCTAATAAATCAGGGCTCAAAAGCCCATCCCATAACGAAAAGTTGATCCGGTCCGGATAAAGGCTCAAATGCCGTGGTTATCCTATGCCACGTGTACGTAAAAAAGATATCCACATGGCAGGCCCCGTCTCTCGCTATCAACCCATCCATCGCAATGCCCCCCCTCCCACATACCAGGGAAATCGATTCCGCTCCGCTTGTGACTGAGAAATGTGTAGAAATAACAATCTCTCTCTCCCTCGATCTCAATGGGCTCCACATACCAGTGAAATCGATTCCGCTGGCGAGGGAGAAATGGACAGAAATTATCATTTTAGAAATAAATGGGGTTTCTTTCAAGTGTCCGGCCCGGCGGGATATTTCGCGGGCTTTTTTCCGGGCCGGCCCGCTAAAACTCAAATCGGTCGTCTTTTTTGCCGGTAGACTTCCGAGTCACCAGTTGGAATTGTTCCGAGTTTTCCTGACGCAATCTGAAGAGGAAGAAAAAAAACCGTGGGGACGCGCAGATTCATCGTTTTCCTCGTCTCCGGCAGCCATCGCCGCCGGCGAGTCGCCGGAAGTACCATGCGCCGGCGGTGAACTCCGCGAAGCCGTCGCCCGAGGGGGGGGAGAGAGAGAGAAAGAGAGAGAGAGAGAGAGAGAGAGAGAGAGAGAGAGAGTTATAAGTAAAAAAATGGCGATAATCTGATGATTTCTGCGAAGATTACGCATCAATATCCATCAAAAAAATTAGGGCCAGAGAGCAGGAGAAATGGTGCCGGATGGCACGACCTTCGAGGGCATCTACAGCTCGCTCCGCTGGCCGGCCCCGCAAGCGAGGACGGAGGATCTGCAGAGCCGCCAGTACACGCCGGATCTGACGTTCGTCCATGGCATGGCCACCGGAAGACCCACTCCCAGCGTCGAGGGGACCCTGCAAGAACACAGAAGAAATCGCGCCAGATCATAAATAATTGCACAGCTGAGGTAAAAACCATTAGATCCTAGTAGTGTTCCTCAGAGGGGTGACCTACCTCTGCCCACTGAGAACTCCATAGATCGAGGACGAACCAGTGGAAAGGGAGACCCCCCTGAAGATACTTCTGTAGCGAGGTCCCAAGATCTGACCTGAGCGCAAGAAATCACCAACTGGGACATCAGGTGCTGGGCACAGAAGGAGAATCCCACAATCGGGGAAGAATCGGACGTGAAATCATCCTTACCCATTTTAGCATAGTTGCTTCGGAGGGACGAGACCAGCTGTTCTATGGAATCATCTTCTTCTTCTTCTTCTTGCCGATGATTTAGGGTTTCAAGGTGGAGCCATAGCCCCGAGGGGAACCTCCGCCGGCTCACCGTCCACAGGAAAACCTCGGCGTAAGGGGTGGCGTGGAGGACGGCGATGCCAACCTCGAGCGTGATGCAGAGGAGGCTGATGGAGGAGTTGACAATGGTGAAGAAGATGTAGAAGACGGACGTTGTGGGGAGCAGCAACAGGATCGGGGTGAAGAGGAGGGAGCCGACGACGTGCTGCTCCACAGAGTAGTCGAAACTGTCGAGCCTCAACCGGAGGGGATTCCACTTCTGGCCCCTGCCGTTGAAACAAAAATAGTAATAATCTCATGATTAGTATAGGGATAATGACTACTATTTTATTATTTAAATCATTATTTGCGTTCACAAAAAAAAAACAGAAATAATTTTGTAGATGGGTCCGTTAGATTTGTGGAAGAAAAAAAAAAAGAGGTCAACTGTGTGTGGTTTAAGAGAGCGTGCAGACCCAGGTCAGGACTTACCTAAAGAGGCGCCACAGGGAAGTCAACGCCCAGATCTGCTGGGAATACAGGAAGGAGATGAACCTGTGGAGCACCGTCACATGAAGTGTTGCCAGTTTCAGCAAGTCAATGCACAGAGCAGCAGGAATGGTTGCTCCGAGGAGCATTCCAGAGAAGGCAAGCCCAGTGAGGGTGGATCTGAAAAGGAACCCCATGTAGAACCACAGAGTTGACCAAATCTGGATGGCGTTGAGCGAGACCAAGCCGAAGAGCTCTGCCAGCTCAGTGTTCAGCTTGAACCCTGCAGGAACACCCATGAGCCACACAGAGCCCGACCGCAGAAGATTGTCAGTGATGCTGCGGGAAGCCCAGGGTACCCACAAGCATATGCCTTCCTGATGAACGAGCAGGAGGAGACCCAGGACGTTTCCCAGAAGAAGATCAATGGCGATGCTTGACCAGACGGCATGCTTCCTCAGAGCAGCTCTGTGGGCATACTCCACATTTGCTGTGGAACTGAACGGAGGAAGCACAAGGAACAAGAAAGGAATGAGATATATAGTTATATATATATATATATATAGAGAGAGAGAGAGAGAGAGAGAGAGAGAGAGAGAGAGATTTTGTCAAGTCAATCACATATAATGATACCTGGAACCAGCTCCCTGAAGAAAGAAGGACCAGTAGAGAAGCTGGGAGCTCCGAATGCGAACGTTCTTCGAAGTGTGGACAAACAGCTTGACCAAACTCACGAGAAAAAATGGCTTTGGAGCGCAGCTGAGGAAGCTGTGAAAGAACTGAAGAATCACGTAGAGAAGAGTGCTGAGTGAAGCCACCATGAAGGCCAATATCTGCCAGGCAGCCATGGTGAACCTGAGAGCATCAAAATGAAGGAAATCTTAGAGCGCAGGAGGAGCCATATCGTCACCATCGAGGTAGGATGCCGAGGATGGAGAAGTTACATAGATATCTCAGAGGAGTTGTGCAGGGAACTGCTGAGACCTAGGCATGCCTCTGCAGAATCCTTGGCAGCATTGGCACAGTTGAGGGCCAGGGAGATGACATCCTGAGGTAATCAGTCCATTGCGCGAAACGTTAGCTTCTTCTTGCACAAAGAAGCTGAAGCTGGCAGAGTTGCTGGGCTTACCAGGTCAAAAGGTGGCCGCCGTTTGCGAAGGTCAGCCACCCACTTGGGCTTCTTGATGGGGATCACCTCTGGATTCACAGAGCTCCACTCGCTTGACGAAAAGTGATGCACAGCAAAAGATGGTAGCTCATAGATGATCAGCTGATTGCAGGTAGAAGAGAGTTACCAAATGGTGACTTCCAACGCCTCAAAAGAGAAAGTAATAGTCAAATGGTGAGCAGTGTCGCTGATCAGACTTACATACGTGCGCATGACTGACAGGCAACGTCTGACCATCTGAGTGAAAGTGATGAAGCTTCGGTACCCATTTTCCCATGAATCCCATCTCTCTAGAATCCAGCTGAACCCAATCACTGAATCTTATAGAGGACTGTCTATGCTTCTCCAGGGATCCGTTTAACTCGCAGCAACCGCATTCCCGTGTTCTATAATGCGAAGCTTCTTTCTTATTAAATGATTCTTCTTCTTCTTCATCATCAGCATCGATCTTCTGGCAACCAGGCTGCTTCAGGCTGCTTCTCATGTCTACCGGCACAAAACCATGGCTGTCAGCATCTGAAGAGTTAGAATTTCCATCGCACCAGGAACTCAATCGACAGTGCCCCAGGAGACAGAATCTTGACTGACTCTTCAGAGATTCGGGCATTCTTTTGTTCACGTGATCAAGAACATCCTGAAGCATAAATATATATCTGAGAAAAGCGCCATACAAAGCACACAAAATAATGAAGAAAAGAGGGGATGACCTCAATATCCACCTGTTGCAGGAGCTCCTCAGAAGCTCCGCCGGCAATGACAAAGTCCACGGAATCAAAAGCCGAATAAATGCACCAGCCAAAGAGCAAAGTGTGGTTATTTAGCCCGCAGGATGACAGATGCTGTGGCCACCACACCCGGCATTGCCTTTGCCTCATGTTCATTAACTATCATCCCTGCGCAGAGCCATGAAATACATGCCCCAGATCAAAAACCCATGCGCAATTCGGGAAAGGAAAATGAACGCAAACTATTGAGATGCAACCAAAAGACGACGATCAAAGGATTCTGAAAGATGATGCATCAAATAGATTTCCCAAGTGAAATGCCCCCCGTCCCTTCCATTGATCATTCGATGTGTCGTGGTTCAATCACTCTTCCATAAAGATATCGAGATATGGAGATACGATCATTCTTCGGAGGTGGGTGTCGAGGTCAACAGGGAAAAGATGAGCAGAGTCTACCAAACTCTTGGACATCATACGAAGATAGGATTCAATGGCGACGAGCGGCGAAAATTCGCAACCGCCACGAGCGGACGGAGATCGTAGCTCACCTTCTGTAGGAGGACGGGGGGGCGATGAGAAACAGTAAATGGAGAAACCCGTCCGTGGTACTGGTGGCGGCAGTACCTAATCAAATCCGGCAAAAGTTTAAAATCTGAATCCCGATAGGAGAACAAGTCAAAAGAGTGATCAAACTGGATAAAGCAAATCCACCACTTAAACCTGACGGACGAGGAACGGAGACGAAGGTAATGCCGTCTGACGATAAGCGTGGGTAACCACCTTAGCCGGACATTTGATACGCCCTCATCCAACGAGAGGCCTTCACTCGAGCTCTCAGCAGCAGGCACCCCTCGCCTCCGCAGGTATCTGCGGCGATGGCATCAACGCTGGCGGCGGCGGCGGCGGCGGGAACCGTCGCAGCGGAGATGTCGAAGACCACGTGAGAGAGGCGGAGAAAGCGAGCCCTAGCCGAGAAGGAACATGAAGGATCCGATAAGTAAAACTGGATTCTGAAATTGGGTAAACGAAATAAACGAACAAAGGATCCGATAGTAGCTAACCTGGTAGACGAAATGGCCGCCCTGGAAATAGAAAAAAAACATGGGCCGATCCAGATGAGGAGGTTTTTTCAAAAACCCTTAATAGGTTTTAAAATTATTTATAGCCAATAATATTAATTAATTGTTCATATACGTTCCACGGGAACACACGGAAATTATAAAGTGGGCTCCGTTAGTGGGCTGACTGGCCTTTTCAGGACTCGGCCCAGTTAACGTGGACCGTTGACGGAAGGGGTACGTGTCCACTCTATCGAACACCAGGCCTGAAACCTGCTCGCAACGGTCCCCGGAGGGCCGAAGAAGCGGCGCCGCCTGAGATCAGCGCAACGGTTGTCTATTTTTCAATTCGCCAGCGGCGGCAGTGGCCGGAGAGGAGGGGAATCGGCGGCGGGGCGGCGGCGGGGCGGCGGCGCTCTTCGCCCTCGCGAGGGAATTATTGAATCGGAGGGGAATCGGTGAATCGGTGAATCGGTGGTCCCCCGGAGGAAGATGACGACGAGTCACGCGTGACGGCGACTCGGGGTCGCCCTCCTCACACGCTGGCGGTGGGGATCAGATTCCCACTAGAGGCAAGACGGCGAGAAGAAAAGGAGAAAGAAGATGGAATCGATTCCCTTCCATCTTCTCCCTGAGACGGTGGCGGCCGAGCACCCGACTCAGCCTTCCGTCACGGGTCACTTGTGCCCAAGCCCGTTTTGACTTATGGCGCTGCATCTGGGAGCGACACGTGTGACAGAGCATGATTTTATTATTTTTTTTCAAAGGGACTCTTTCAAGAAAGAGGGTCCAGACGAAAGGCCGCCGCCCTTATCGTGGTCCACCGGCCGCCCCATGGGCGGATGGGAGGGCCGTTGAAGTGTCGCCATCCCCCCCGAGCGGCCGGAGGGGGCAGCGCCGCCGCCGACGTGAGAGAGACATGGCATACCCTGCAGACAAAAAAATTATAAATATACATTTATTTTGCCAATTATTGAATTAAAAAATACAAGACGGGAATAATAGCAATACCGTGAAAAAAATAATACGAAACCGGCGTTTGCCGCCACATGATCCCTCTATATCTCGTGTGATAGAGGGAGAGGAGCATGTGAGCTGCTCGCAAAGCTTGAAGCCGCAGTCTATCTCCGCCGGTCGATCCTGGGCCCACGGTTATCTTCTTTCCGACACGAATGGGCCCGTGGGCCCTCGGAGGGGCCATCTGCCACTTTACACGGCGTTTTCCCGATCTAAAGGGCGTTTGGACAAGAGATTCGGCGTCCAGATTTGTCCTCCCCCCCCCCCCCTACGAAGGCTATTTATGGAATGACGGCGACTCCCGTGCACGCCAGTTACTTTGTCTCGTTGCTATGATTCCTCCATCGTAAATATACCCTCCGTGAAGGATGTTACTTTATTTACAATCTTATATTCATTCATTATTGTCATTATTCTAAATAAATTATTTAAAATATTATTTCCCATCGCTTCCATCTCCATCGTTGAACGGCGTGGAGCGAAAAAGGGTGTGGATGAACGAGACTCGGCCGTCCGCCGCACACGTCGTACTCGTAGAGGAGGTGGAGAGTTTCGGCCATAACTCCAGAAATTTGACTTCTGGAGAGACCGCTTTCTGGTCAACGATTGCAAGAACGTGGTGGAGATCCGCCCTCTTCCTCCTCCTCCTCTTCTTCCTCATCTTCCTCTCGAGGGGACGTCTGCATGGAATGGCAGTGAAAGCCACCGGCCGCCCGCCACACTGGAACGGGTTCGTCAGGGGGTTTGACTCGGGAAGATGCAACGCATGCAGCCTTGAAGATCGATCCTCCTTCCACGGCCTCCCTCGTTTCAACGTGAGAAAATAGTCAGACTAGGACGAGATTCAGGACGGTAAGGAAGACAATCGAAACCAGTACTTGTCACCCTAATAGAGATGGAGAGAGAAGGAGAGAGAAAGAGGGGGGGTGTGTGTGGAGGGAGAGAGAGAGAGAGAGAGAGATTGTCTCGTGGGTGTGGACACTGGCCGCGACCTGCGACCCTTCTGATATATCCTGGAACCAATCGTTTAGAGCTTTAGGAAGAACGAAGATGTCGGGGGGTTCCTTGCGTGAAAGTGGTTATGGCAAGGGGGCGATATTATATATGACGTAATTATTCGATAAAAAAATTAAGTATAAATATTTCCACCCGGATCGGCTAAGCAGTTCTTAATCTGGAACTATCGTCAAACCGCGTAGAGATGCATTAATAATCTCAATAATTTTATTGGGATAAAAATTCCCGGAAAAGGCAATATATTTTAATAATATTTCAGAGCTCCGGTTCGATATGCCACACTAGGCGCCAATGAAGATGGCTAGAGAGGCCTTGACCAAAGGTGTTGCCGTTCACATCGGGACCATCTATCTACCAAAAATATGAGCTACATCCATAGGACCTACGAGATATGAACAAAAGTGGAAACTGGCGAACGGGTTCGGCATATTGAAAAATCGCGCATTATTTCCAGTCCAAGCAACTGGGCCGACTCGTCGGAGGCTGATACGTGGGGCCACGCTTGCAGCCCGTGCTGTCGCTGTCATCAGCTGAAACGTCTCCTGGTGGAGCCCACCCTCCTGTTCGGTTCGGGCGGGTCGGATAAGGAGGGAAATGGGTCCGAGAAGATAGCTCATGGCGGGACCACACGGCAGCGCGTCAACGCTTAACCGACACGTGGCGTAATATCCCTTTGACTCTGCCCTCGCCGACGGAAATGTCACCATCGATCTTCCATATTCAACCACGTCACATTTTCTGCAATTTTCTTATTCGAGAAGAAAATCAGCCATCGGGGGGGCCACTAGCTGGAGCCGTTCGATCTGATCAGTTCCACCGATTGACGGTGCCGATGGGGAGCCTTTACGCAATCGGATGGTTCCTTTCTCGTGTTCTGGAAAGAGAAAGAGGGTGGGAAAGGGGACGGGCGGCCGCACGTGCGGGCTCGAGAGGCTCGTGACTTTTTTTCCTAGGGTGGTTGCCCTCACGGTATTCACAGGGGGAGGCGTCGGGCGGTGGACGCCCTTTCAATCGGACGGAGCAGGAACCGCCATGTCACCAGAGGGTTCCGGCCGGACCGGCTCCTTCGCGTATTGGTCGATCGGACCGCCGGAGTCGTTGCCGGCGGCGCGGCTTCTATTCGTCGAGATGCTCTATTGGAAACGCAAGTACCCGAGTTTAATAGCGGTCTTGACCCTCTCATTAATAGGAAAATGTTCATAAATACGGATTTCACAAAAATAATTGGTACTAATAAAGCCATTATAATTGGGAAAACCGGGGTTCCTCGAAAATGCTGATGGGCCCGGGGGAGGGGATGATGGGGCCCACGGGGGAGATCATGGGCCATCAGATCGCAAGGTCCCCCGTGAATCACGCGGGGTGTACGGTCCCGATTCTCTGGACGGGCCCATCAGCTCAAGTCAAAGATCGTTTGTTTTTCTAGGAACTTGATACCGACACGTCACCGGTGACGAGAACCGGCTGCTGTCTGGGGGAGAGGGACTTATAAACAGGGGGAGGGCGCGTTCGAGATGTGGTGCTCTCCGGCCGCCGGCGGTCCACTTTCCCGTATTTTATTCAAAAATAAAAAAATAATATTTTCTGGTCTTTGTGGGAAGCGGGGGAGGGGGATTCTGTGACGGCCATGGCATCGTCCCTTCTTCTTCGGATGTGAAGACTCGGGAGGGCTCACTTCGTTCCAGCATCCGCCTGCGGCTGCTGCTCCGGCGATAATGGCGGGCGAAAAGGCGATCAGTCTGGATGAGATTAAGAACGAGAACGTCGATTTGGTAATTGAGGATCGATCCATCTCTTCGTCTCCCTTTAGTGAATTCCATACAGTTCCGGTTGCTCTTTCTTTCCCGATCGCGTTGACTTTGGGGGAACTGGTGCTCCTCGGTGGGGATTCTAGTTCTCCGATGGCTTCTCTCCTCCGTTTTCGTCGGCGATTCCTGCTGCCTTTTCGCACGGATCTTGGGGATCGGGGTGGCTGCGCATTTGGTTCTGGTTTCTGTGATGTGTCTGTTTTCCGGTGGAGTTTTGAATTTCCAATCCGAATTCTTCTCCCAAATTTTCGCGTCGGTGGAGCACGATATCGGATGATTTTTTTGAATCGATGCTGTTGACTTTGTAGAATCTGTCGATCCTATTTCGCTTCTGGAGTGAAGTGCCGTCAGTCTCGATCTGTTCCTGAATCCATATCCTTCCTCATTTCTCTGCTGTTCCTTCCATCTCGGTCCGAGCACACAGTTCCTCAATTCATCTCCATCTATCGGGAGGAAAACCTCCTCCACGTCGCGATTTCGTCGGAAATGAAACTGACAGGGGGGAGGAGACTCTCACGGAGAATTATTTCCATCGATCCATTTTCCTCTTCTTCTTCTTCTTCTTCTTCTTCTTCTTTTTCCCTTTCCTTTCTCTGAACTTCGTAGTTACTGAGAATTGTTTTTTCTCCGGGATCTCTCTCTCCTCAGAGACTCTCGCCACTTCTGCTGTACATCCCGCTTCCTAGAGCTTTCTTCCCCTCGGATGGGAATTCCATTCGGAAAATCAACCACTTCGAGTCCTCTAGCACCGCGTCCCTCGTTGATCTACTGAATATCAACGAGGCCATATCTGACTACCGCTGTTCTTCCGTCTCTGTTCGAGCGAGATTGGTCCCCTCCAGCCCGGAGGGAAACCAGAGTGAGGCTGCTGTGGCTTTTAACCTTTCCTGTTTTGGTCTGCTCCATCGTGATTCTTCTACTACACCGAGGGGCGATGTTCTTCTTCGAACTGAAGAGAAAAAGTTAAAACTTCTTTATCTTTTTCTTTTTTTCCATGGGACCCTCTGTGTGCATAAGTTTTGTTGGATAGCGTACGGCTCCGGAGTCATGAACATACGGAGATTTGGTGTTCGTTTTGTATCGTCAGGAACGAATCCCGATCGAGGAGGTGTTCGAGCAGCTGAAATGCACCAAGGAAGGTCTCTCCGAGGAGGAGGGGAGGAGCCGTATCGAGATATTCGGGCCCAACAAGCTCGAGGAGAAGAAGGTAAAGGGTTTACTGCTACCGCAGAGTTTACCTTACCTTCTTTCTTTTCCCGGCGTTGACCCCGCAGATTTTCCATGGACAACAGGAGAGCAAGATCCTCAAATTTCTGGGTTTCATGTGGAACCCTCTCTCCTGGGTCATGGAGATGGCTGCTCTGATGGCCATCGTCCTAGCCAACGGCGACGGGAGGCCCCCGGACTGGCAGGACTTCGTCGGTATCGTCGTCCTCCTGGTGATCAACTCCACCATCAGTTTCATCGAAGAGAACAACGCCGGCAACGCTGCCGCCGCTCTCATGGCTAACCTCGCCCCCAAGACCAAGGTAAATAAGTCAACTTCAAGTTCTGAGGATGAACCAGAGTTTTGTTGTTGTTCTTGAGCTTGATCGCTGTGTGTTATTTCCCAGGTGCTCAGAGACGGGCGATGGACCGAGCAGGAGGCCTCAATCCTCGTCCCCGGGGACATCATCAGCATCAAACTGGGGGACATCGTCCCTGCCGATGCCCGTCTTCTCGAGGGCGATCCACTGAAGATCGACCAGTCTGCTCTCACCGGAGAGTCGATTCCAGTGACCAAGAATCCGGGAGACGAGGTCTTCTCTGGCTCCACCTGCAAGCAGGGCGAGATCGAGGCCGTTGTCATCGCCACCGGAGTCCACACCTTCTTCGGCAAGGCCGCACATCTCGTGGACAGCACGAACCAGGTGGGCCATTTCCAGAAGGTGCTCACCGCCATCGGTAACTTCTGCATCTGCTCCATCGCCATCGGCATGGTGGTGGAGATCATCGTCATGTACCCGATCCAGAGGCGAAAGTACAGAGACGGAATCGACAACCTCCTGGTTCTCCTGATCGGAGGGATACCCATCGCTATGCCCACTGTCCTGTCTGTGACCATGGCCATCGGCTCCCACAGGCTCTCCCAGCAGGGGGCCATCACCAAGAGGATGACGGCCATCGAGGAGATGGCCGGCATGGACGTCCTCTGCAGTGACAAGACGGGGACTCTGACTCTGAACAAGCTCTCTGTGGACAAGAACCTGGTGGAGGTTTTCACCAAGGGGGTGGACAAGGAGCACGTTCTCTTACTGGCAGCCAGGGCATCGAGGACGGAGAATCAGGACGCCATAGATGCCGCCATGGTCGGAATGCTCGCAGACCCCAAGGAGGTATGTCCCCAACCTCCATCCCCCTCCCCTTCCTGAAATAAATTGAGAAAAAAAAAAAACAGAAGAACTTAATTTTCTTCTTACCTTGGTCGCCATCATCCGCAGGCGAGAGCTGGCATCAGAGAAGTCCACTTCCTGCCCTTCAACCCTGTGGACAAGAGGACTGCGCTGACTTACATTGATTCCGATGGGAACTGGCATCGCGCCAGCAAAGGAGCTCCCGAGCAGGTCCAGCGTCCTGCCCGCTTTTTATCGATTCCATTTTCGGTTTTGGCTTATATGCACTGTGTTGAGATTTCTCGGTTGACCCATCGGAAACAGATCCTGGATCTCTGCCACTGCAAGGAGGACGTCAGGCGGAAGGCCCACTCTATCATCGACAAGTTCGCCGAGCGTGGACTTCGATCCTTGGCTGTGGCTCGTCAGGTCCGTTGACTCATCCACGTAATGGTCATGGGAGCGCAGTCAACAGCGCTCCCTCTCTCTCTCTCTCTCACACACACACTAATGTTTCTTTCTATTGTCGTCAATTTCAGGAAGTTCCCGAGAAGTCAAAGGAGAGCTCCGGCGGTCCCTGGCAATTCGTTGGCCTCCTGCCTCTCTTTGACCCCCCCCGGCACGACAGTGCGGAGACCATTCGAAGGGCTCTTAACCTCGGAGTCAACGTGAAGATGATCACCGGTACATAGTCAACCCTTTCTCCCCTCACATCATCGCTCTACCGTATGTACTGGGCTCAACGCCGCCTTCTCCAGGTGACCAGCTCGCCATCGCCAAGGAGACGGGAAGAAGACTCGGCATGGGAACGAACATGTACCCCTCCTCCGCCTTGCTCGGCCAAGACAAGGATGCCTCCATCGCTGCTCTCCCCGTCGACGAGCTGATCGAGAAGGCCGACGGGTTCGCCGGAGTGTTCCCAGGTAACTGGGTGGAAACTTGATTTCTTCGGCTCTGTAAACCTCCATTTGATCTCATTTTCACTTGCGTTTCTCTCTCTAAATCCTTGCAGAGCACAAGTATGAAATCGTCCGGAAGCTACAGGAGAGGAAACACATATGTGGGATGACCGGAGATGGTGTGAACGATGCTCCGGCTCTGAAGAAGGCCGACATTGGTATTGCCGTCGCCGACGCCACCGACGCCGCCAGAGGCGCCTCCGACATCGTCCTGACCGAGCCTGGTCTCAGCGTCATCATCAGCGCCGTTCTCACCAGCAGAGCCATTTTCCAAAGGATGAAGAACTACACGGTAAAGTTGGTCTATTCCCCTCTTTCTTCGCACTACAACCCAAGATACCCGTGCCTCATCTCATTCCGTTTTCTTTCTTGGAACTCGCAACAGATCTATGCCGTCTCCATCACCATCCGTATTGTGGTATGTGTCTTGATACTCCCTCTCTCTCTCTCTCTCTCTCTCTTTCTCTTTCTAGATATATCAATTATCTATATATACACACTTGGATCGTGGTCCTTTGAATGGATATCAGACAATTTACGATCGTGTTTTACGGATCGAAGTGCTCGAATTTAATCGCGGATGTTGGTTTCTTCTAATGATGCAGCTCGGGTTCTTGCTCATTGCTCTGATATGGAGGTTCGACTTCTCGCCCTTCATGGTTCTGATCATTGCCATCCTGAACGACGGTGAGCTCCTATCACAGACGACGGAGAACATCAAATCTCTCTCTCTCTCTGTCTCATGACAGAGTCAACCCCGAGCAGATCTGGATGATCGATGCTGACCTCCTGCCATGGTCTCCGCCCATTCCTTCCCAGGAACGATCATGACCATCTCCAAGGACAGGGTCAAACCATCCCCCCTCCCGGATAGCTGGAAGCTGAAAGAAATCTTCGCCACCGGAGTCGTCCTGGGCAGCTACCTGGCCCTGATGACTGTTATCTTCTTCTGGGCAATGAAGGACACCGACTTCTTCTCGGTACCCCTCTCTCTCTCTCTCGATACACGAATGACGTGGGAGTGGTTTGAGCTGGATTCATGGGGGTCTTGCGAGCTCATTCGGTCTTCTTGATGCAGGAAAAGTTCCATGTTAGGTCGATTAGGGGCAACAAGAACGAGCTGATGGCGGCGCTGTACCTGCAAGTGAGCATCGTCAGCCAGGCCCTCATATTCGTGACCCGTTCTCGAAGCTGGAGCTTCGTAGAGCGCCCCGGATTCCTCCTCATCACCGCCTTCATCATCGCTCAGCTGGTAAGCCCCCTGAAAACTTGGAAGAAGAGAGAGAGAGAGAGAGAGAGAGAGAGAGAGAGAGAGAGAGGGAGAGAGAGAAGCCTGAACTCGTCATGCATGTTTGGAACAGGTGGCGACCGCCATAGCCGTCTACGCCAACTGGGGCTTCGCCAGGATCAAGGGCATCGGCTGGGGCTGGGCCGGAGTCATCTGGCTCTACAGCCTCATCTTCTACTTCCCCCTCGACGTCATCAAGTTCGCCGTCCGCTACATTCTCAGCGGCAAGGCCTGGGACAACCTCCTCCAGAACAAGGTATATATTCTTTACAACTATATATATATATATAAATAAATACGTATGTATTGATTTCATATAGTAAGGTATATATCGTATATTGATTTCATTCGGGTGGGTGGACGACAGACGGCCTTCACGACGAAGAAAGACTACGGGAGAGAGGAGAGGGAGGCTCAGTGGGCCATGGCGCAGAGAACTCTCCACGGGCTGCAGCCGCCTGAGGCCACTAACCTGTTCGCCGACAAGAGCAGCTACAGGGAGCTCTCGGAGATCGCCGAGCAGGCCAAGCGGCGGGCTGAGATCGCCAGGTACGCCCCCTCGGAGTCAACTTTTAGTTAATTAATCAATTTGTGGTGAGATTTTTCCTTTTTTTTTACCGGGGTTGACGTTGACCTTGGGGGTGGGTGCGTTGACTGGGCAGGCTAAGGGAGCTGAACACTCTGAAGGGCCACGTGGAGTCTGTGGTGAAGCTGAAGGGGCTCGACATAGATACCATCCAGCAGCACTACACGGTGTGAGGACGACGGCGGCCAGGGAGAAGATCGACCGGCCCGGATGGATCCTCAGAGGCCGAGCGATGGCGCATACGGAGGCAAAGAGAGAGAAAGAAGAGGGAGATAGAGAGAGAGAGAGAGAGAGAGAGAGAGAGAGGGGGGGGGGGGGGAGGGAGGGAGAGGGGCTGGGGATAAGGAAGGCCTTCTTTCTCGTCCTTTCTCTCTCTCTAAAGGCTGCTGCCCCGTCGCTCCTCTGGGGGTCGTGATAGTTTGCTTTCCTTGGTGCCTCTTTCCTCTCTTCCCCTTCTCTCTCTAGACCCGGCGGAGCTACCGCTGCAGGCCCGAATAACCGCGAACACGCTGCTGCTACTACCATTTTTGCTTTCTTCTTCCCTTGAATACCATCTCGAGGGCCCTCGTTCAGCCCCGTATTTGTGGACCCTGTACAATGAACCTCTCCCGATTCTCTTCTTGTCACACCTATTCCATCCTTCTTTTACTCTCTCTCTCTCTCTCTCTCTCTCTATCTCTTCTTTCCTGCTGCGCAGAGGGGGGAAAAGCCAGCCCATGTGGCGGCGCTGGCCCGGCACGGTGATCGAATGCTCCCCCGCAACCCCACAACGCCGCCGGAGGTATCGTACTCTCGCTCCCTGCGCGCGCATGTGCGGACAGCTAGCGGTTGCCCGGCGGTGCATGTGCCCGGGGGACCTCTCCTCCCGCCCCCCCCCCCCCCCCCCAACCCTCCTGTTCCCCTTGCCTGGCTCTGATCGTCAGGTGTTTGCTGGATCGCCTGTGATGTGAAATCGCAGAAACAGCTCGTCTCAGAGAACGGAGGGGGGATTAGGGTTTGGAGGGGTAGTAAAGGAGGGGATCAGTGAGGAAGGAGAGCGTTTCTGGGTGAGTCGTAGCAAGAGAGAGAGAGAGAGAGAGAGAGAGAGAGAGAGAGAGAGCATTTATAGGAGAGCTGTTGTCATGTTCCCCCGAGCACATGGGAGAGGGCACCCATCTTCCTGGTAGCTGGGGTGGCAAAGCTTCCATGTGCTGCCATGTGCCCCCTCCCCTCCTCCCCTTCAAAGCTCAGCCTCCCACACCGTCCCCCTCCCGTGTCGATCAGTGGAACATCTCTCTCTCTCTCTCTATCTTCACCCTCTTAGGTGGCCAGTCCTCTCTCCGGCCTATACGCGCCAGCCGAGCGCCTCCATTACCGAAGGGGTGAAACCTCGATCCATTTTCGCCCACGTCTCCCCTCACGCTCCCCGGTGCTTAAATGGCGCCCTGCCCCAGCCTCCTCCGCTCGCCACCGCAAACTTCGATGCTCTGAGAGGTACGCAGAATCTCTCTCTCTCTCTCTCTCTCTCTCTCTCTCTCGCAGCTTCTCACGACTTCTCTCTCCTGTTTCAGGGCGGCGCCGCCGATGGAGACGCAGAGAAGCAAACGGAGGAGGGTGTACTCGTACGAGCCCCCCATGCAATCCATCGCTGACTTCGCTCACAGCTACCTGGCCTACCTCTTGCCAGCCCTCCTCAAGATCGAAAGGATGAGATCTCGCCGGAGGATCAGAGTCCAGGAGGTCGAGGAGGCCGTGAAAGCGGAGGTCAACCTGGCGCTGGTGGCGGCTGCCGGTGGCTTCGCTTGGAGCCGCGCGCTGGAGCAGAAGCTCCGCCACTGCACGGCCAGGCCCCCTTCCATTCTCTCTCTATCCCGCGAGCAGAAGAACTCGATCGACGGCGGCGCCGCAGTCCCGCCGTCAACTTCCGGGGCCTGCAAATGCGAACCAGAGAGGGCTGGAGCTTCTTCGTCTTTCTCTGCCTCCGAGGGGAAGCCGCTGGAGGGAGGCAACGACGAGCTCCAGGATCGGATGAGGATCTTGAGGAGGATTCTCCCTGGCGGGGAGGCTCTGGGTTTGACCGAGCTGATCTCCGGGGTCAACAGCTACGTCGTCTGCCTCGAGCTGCAAGTCGACGTCCTCCGGTCTCTCGTCGACACTAGTTGACTGGGACTGTTCCGATCTCGGCGCCGTCATTCCTCCAAGAAAAGGCGATGATGCGACCCAGAAGAAGAACAAGGCGACCAGTGATTAGGAAGCCCTGAAATCACCCGAGGCGGAACTTTGACTCTGAGAAGGACCTTCTTGGGGCATGAGATTTCGGCGCCATGCCGCCAGCTAGATCTTCAGGACAGGAAGGTCTCCGGCCTCGACTTCTGACTTTTCACCCTTGCTGCTCCAGCTCACTGGTTTAGGGTTTTCTGGGCGATGGGTGCCAATAAATTTAGGGTTTTCGCAACGTCCGAGCTTGGCACTGACGTACAGGGACTGTAGCAGAAATAAATTTCTCAGGGGTTCTCTTGCTGTCAAAGATTCACCCATCCCCTATGGGTTTCTATTTTTTTAGTCAACTTCTTTATAAAATATGGCTTTTATTTTAAAAAATAAACCTTCGCCATATCCGAAAATCCTCATAAGTTCGCCGCATTTACCATATAATTTATTTTAATGGGGAAAATATATTTCTATAATTTTTAAAAATCCATTATGAGTATTTCATATTTATGACAAGACCTTCACGAAACCTTTGCTTGATGGGCCGTCTAGGTGCCAACCGGCCCAGTTTTTTTCCCGCTACCAAATGAGATCCTCCTATTAGGTGATCCTCGTTATATTGAGGGGGATTGGGCCTGAAAATAAAGCCCAGTGAATGAAACTAGGCCCAGGCCCATTTACACCAAATTGGGCCCCAAACCAAATCGTCAGCCACAACACTACTGGTAGTGATTTCTTAACATAAAAAATTAACTCATCTATTAAATCGATTCATTTTCCTGGGGAATTGTAATAAAAGTGAATGGACAGTCAGTCAAATTCAAGTTTTTTTTTCTCAAAACCAGAGCTCTAGGAAAACTCAAGTCTATTTTCATTCACCTAGGCTTTATTTTCAGGTCAAATCCCTCCCACCCTCCAAATAACAATAATCAATCAATATGAGGAGGGTTTCAATGAGTCAGTCAATGACAATTGGGATGCATGTATAGCCTAACAAGATATTATTATTAAATGTACAATGTCTCTATAAGTCAAATCATGTAAAGAATGAGGAGTTGCTCTCATAAGTAAACACTCAAAGGGTCGATCACCAACTTCACTCAAGCTCAACAAGTCTCTACCACAAGGCTTCAGTATTTGATGTATTGCTGACACTACATAAGAATAAATCACTTGGGGAGATCAACCCTAATTTATTTATCAAAAATAATAAATATGATCTAGTTGAAACTACTAAAAATACAAGGTTGATGATTGAAAATATATGTAATTTTTTAGGAGACATTTGATGGAGATTATAATGAGAAAATATTATCTTTTTTGTAATAAGTTCGTTAGAAACCACAAATCTAGGTGGTGTAGAAATGAAATATTATTTGTGTGTTAAGAGAAGTATAATAGAAGATCAAGTTGCCACTATAACTTATCTTTTTGGAGATCTAATCAATAACTAGTTCTTGTAAGAGATCTAGATGTTCTTTAACCTCTCATGTAAATTTGGAAGCAAATAATACCATTAGCCTACTACAATTCATTGCACATTTTTTAAAATAAATAATTGTCGAGGGTCTCTTACTTAATTTAACAATCTTACATCGACTTGAAATAATCTTGTGATCAAGTTCTTACTTAATGATGACTGAGCACTTGATTGTTTGAGACAATAGAGAGACGATGTTGAAGAGCTTGACAAGGAAAATAACATCTTTCCATCTCTTCTTTGGAGTTGTTATATATGTTTTTTGCTCCTCACAAGTTACTATCTTTTTCTCTAATATGTTAGTATTTTCAACAAATAATTCTTTTTAGGCTTCATCTCAAATAGTAGAAGATTTTTTTTAAAAATTTTAATACTTGTGATAATTAGTTCACAAAAGATGTGTGTGTGTACATATTTATTACATCTATATTATTGATTGTAAGAATGACTTTAATAAGAACTCAAGGACACTTTTGTCTACAACCTCTATTATTCCTCCTAAAACTCAACTTGTTTTACTGGGCTACCAATCAAATGATGTTTTTCTTTACCCAACTCTACTCATATTTAGTTCCCACTTAATATGCCTTTGTGAAGTTTATAACTCTATTGAAGAGTTATTGAGAAATAATGACTACCCCATTAAATGTGGATGTTTTAAATGGAACTTTTACGAAGCTCATGTCTACTTCTAAGATGTTGATGATTGGCACTCCATAGTTGCAAAAACCCAACATACATCAACTAAGCAATTATGACTAATCCATCAACTTGATTTTAGATTAGTGCCTCATTTGAAATAAAACATGTTTGAGGAGTAAGAAACAAAATTTATAAAAAATATCCTTTAGCTCCTTTCAAAAACACTCTTACAACTTTTAATATATATAAATATACCCCATGTGACTCAATTATCATAAGTATTAGAAAAAAAGTAGAGATGATTATTTTTCTATTATTTGTGATGAAGCTTGAAAGAATTCACTTGTTAAGAATTTTGACAAAGAAAATGATAGAAGAATTTAGATGAGTAAGTAGGCTTGATAACTTTAAAGAAAATGAAAGATACTCTTTTGTCTATCTAAGCTCTTTAATATCATCATTATAGTATTCTAATTGATCAAGTGTTTAGTCATCAATAAGTAATAAGTAATTCTCAACATCATTTTAAGTTAGTACGAGATCATCATCGATAGTAAAGACCCTTGACAACCATCTATTTTGAAAAGTGTGTAATGAATTGTGATAGATTGATGGTGTTATTTGCTTCTAAAGTTGTGGAATAAGTTCGGGAATAGCCTGATTTCTAATAATTGATTCTTGATTGGATCTCCAAAAAGATGACATTTAATGTTGACTTTCTCTTTTTATATGCTTCACTTGACACTTAGATCTTTCTCCCTTCATACTCAAATTAGATTCATGGTGTTAAATAGACTAATTTTCTTTAAAATAAAATATTATCTCATTATAATTTACATCAAACCATTTTAAAATTACCCATACTTCAAGATATCAATCACACATTTGTGGTAATTTCAAATGGATTATAATTTATTTTATGATAAATAAAGTTTAAGATCTCCACAAGTGATGCATTCTTATGTAATGTTGACAGGACATTAGATTTTGAGGTCTTGTGATAGAGACTTATTGACACTTAGTAAGACAATGGTCAAATCTTAGATGGTTTATTTAAGGCAATTGGGCCAAAGTTTTTCTTGAAAGAAAAAATGAGCTCATCTCAAGATAGAGGGGGCCCAATTTATAAGTAAAATGACTGGTCAAAATATTGTAGGCATTTAATGTAAAAGAAAAAAAATAAAAGAAAAGGTGGGCAGCTCAAAAATTAGTGTTGAGCTTGAAGAGTTATGGGGTCTCTCAAATACTTTCATATTACTTAGAGTTTATTTGCCTAAACTCAATATGATCATCTTCTTCTTCCTATTATCTCTTCAATTATCCTATGTTGTGTCTAAAGTCATTATATCATATAATTGGAGAAGATTATGACATTGAAGGTAAATAATAATTTTTTCAAGGTGATGAAACATATCGACAATATTGGTGATTGTGTGAAATAAATGGAACACAACTTTTTTAAGTTAATACAATCCAACAATGAGTTAGAGATCAAGTTAAACTAAGTAGGATTGAAGCAATTGGCAAACCAAATGACCCCTCCTCTAGTAGATAAAAGCTTACACATCAGTCATGCTTGTGTAGCTCTTGCTTAGATATAAAAGAATGAGGTTATTTCTCTTTCTTGTTATCTTATTAATATATTTAAAATATGTTTGAATATATTTATGTATTTTTTTATTCTCTCTCTCTCTCTCTCTTGTTATGTATTTATGTATATGACTACTTTTATATAGAATTATGCTTGATAATATTATATTTTATGGGTTAATTCATGTTATATTGTTATTTATTATTTTTATGTGATGTGGAAAGGAGACTATAGTGGCCATGGTGATATTGTGAGTTTCTTTCTACGTGATAGATAGTAGTGATGCTTATTGATCTTGTTACTTTACAATTTATGTCAATAAAGACCTAAAAGTGTATTAGAAGATGTAACAGTAATAGTAAAAGATTATATTTTTTTCTTCGACTTTTTAGTGCTTGAAATAGAATCTTCAAATGAATGAAGTAAGACATACATCATCTTTGAGATATTATTTCTAAACATTACTATGATGAACATCAACCTCTCCACTAGAATTGTTCAATTTTAATATGGGCAGTAAATAGTAGAAATCAAGATATTTGAAAATTTAGAATCTCACAAGACGCGTAAAAAGTAGACTATCATATAGTAGACCTCATGTAAGTATGTGACATTAAAAAATTAACAAAGTTGACATTGTAGATAGATGTGTGAAAGAAGAGTTAGAGAATTTAGGGTCTCAAGATGTGGACATAGTTAAAGATATACTTGAGGAGTTAGCAAAATAAAGTGTGACTGATCACTCTTAATTAGAACTCAAACCTTTTCTACAAAGTTATATATATATATATATATATATATATATATATAAGAGAAACATACACATCTAGTCATAGTAGCACTTAATCTTATTGAAGCACAAAAATATAAAATTATTCAATTGTTAAAAGCTTGTAATAAAACCATTGGATGAAAAATGTTTGACCTAAAAGACATATACATGAGTATCAACATACCTCATATTTATTTGGAAGAGGATGATAAAACTAGTAAAGAACCACAACATATATTAAATCTAAATATGATGAAAGTAGTTAAAAAATAAGTGCTTAATTGGTTAGACACTGGATTTATTTATCCAAATTCAGATATTAAATGAGTGAGTCCTATGCAAATAGTTCTTAAGAAGTCATTTTATTGTAATTAAAAATGATGAAAGAGAATAATTACAAATTATGCTAATTACTACTTAGAGGATATAGATAGATTATCAAAAATTAAATGTTAAAAACTAGAGAA